CACCACTGATGTGTATTTAAAAAGAAGAGGTGAAACCCAAAATGTGCATTGTACAACTAAACAGCTGAAAATAATACATAAAATATAAAGTGAATGTGCGTGTAAAAGGTTTTAGTTTAGCTTACTAAATTTATAGAACACTTTCAAAACAGCTAGGGATGACCAAAGAGCTGTACATACAATATAAACAACAAGAGGCGAAGAAAATAATACAAATAGCAACAACTGCTTAATAAAGCAAGTTAATTACAAATACACACATATATATACACATGCTATATATAATATATATATAAGACACATATATACAACACATATATAAAAGACAATGCCATTAATTCTGCTGTTCCATTGTCGTCAACACATATATATATATAATAAAGCAAGTGCAGACAAGTTAGGTAACATTAACATGCTTAAAACTATACATTTGACTCGCATAAATAAGCTATTAAATGTATGTTTGACATTAAAAAGCCTGCTTTCAACTAAAACTAATCCAGCAAAAATTATGTAGGCTAAATACACGTAATTCTAAATATTTGTAATATAATATAAATTAAAATGAAGCTCTAATATTGATAAGCGTTAGAGTTCCTGATGTTTGCGGGAAGAGCATTCCACAATTTAGGTGCACAGTAGGAGAATGCCCTACCTCCCACGGTGCTAAGTTTGCAACGAGGCTGAAACAAGGTGAGCCCCGAAGGGGAACGAAGACTATGAGAGCAAGAGGATGTAGATTTTAGATTACATATATAAACAGGAGCAGAACCGTGAACAGCTTTAGAAGTTAAAATCAAGGCTTTAAAATCGATGCCTGACTATTACAGAATTTCTGCAAGTTTCATCAAATCAAATGTAATACTTTAAGATCTTTTTAAGACCATTCTGAATTAAATTTCAGACTTTTCACAGGGCTAAACTCTAAGGTTGGTTAATAGAAAATATTTTGAAGTAATTGTGTTATTTTTTCACACATATTTTAAATAATGTGTCAAAACAAGCAAACGCCAATCGTAAACACTTCTTTTCTACATAAAATTTCTTTTAAAAAAAATTCATCTAACTTTTACATGGTTAAACTTGATTTATTATGGAGAAAATTACATTCTGCGTAAATAATCAAAAAGGCATTATTTGTTGACTTCTGGTCCAAATGGATTTAATGTATAACTCTGATGTGTTTCTATTATAAAACCTATTATCTCATGTGTATTTATGAATATTATGTCATGTAATATAAATATTATAGAAGATAATGTAAAAGGATATATTACTCTTATTAAAATGAGCAATTGTGGAATTGTTTTAAAGTTTACCTTTCATGACTTGAAAATTCAGTGGGGAGAATTTGCTGGAAACATTTCTAAGGGTGCTATCACACCTGCCTTATTTAGTTCGATTGAATCGCACTACAGTTCGTTTCCCCTTTTGGTGCGGTTTGTTTGGGCAGGTGAGAATGCAGCAATCGTACTCCAGTGCGCACCATAAGCGGACCAAATAAGCGTACCAAGACCTGCTTGGAGAGGTGGTCTCGGTATGCTTTCAAACGAACTCTGGAGCATTTGTTTGTGGTGAGAATATGATCCGTACTAAAACAGGTCCAACTGCAAAAAGTAGTGCGCGTTTTGGACTAATTCAGCACCCGTAGGCCAATGCGCAGTGCATTATGGGATAGAGAGGAAAAATATTTGTTGACAGCGCTTTACCAACAGAGAGACAGAGGGGAAAACATTACCTGATGGATCGTTGGTATTATTTCTGCAAGATAACCATGGTGCAGTTTAGTTAAATTAATTTACACCTCCTCCTAAAGTGACGAGCCATGCATTAAACACTGTTTTCCAGCCGCGGCCGCGCTTCATTTTCGTAATATATAGTTTGTCTAAAGCAGGGATACAATCAGCCAGCGCAGTCGTCCCTCCAGAGTAAAAGGTTTTGTTTACCTGCAGGAGTTAACTGGCATTTTCCCGCACGTGAATTCTGACCAATCAATAAGCAGTTTAGGAAATATGTTCAACAACAACTGGCCAATGAGAGATGTGGATTTTGTCAGATGAGTACATTTTGGTTCGTTTCAACTGGTTCGGACCAAATCCAGCAGTGTGGTGTGAAAACGACCCAAAGACGGCAGAAAATGCAACAATGTATCATTTATTGCGCTTGGTCCGGACCAAATGAAGCGAACTACAGATTTGAAAGCACCCAAAGGGATGTTGTGAATTGTCTGTCTTTGCAATAGTGTTGTCACGATACTGGAATTAGGTATTGAACCTTCATTTCCTAAGAACATTTGACCGCATTCTTACTGAGTGTAACCACAGATGCAAGGACACTGGAGCATTTTAAAGATGCGAAGATCAGCCGATTCATCAGCGGATCGCCCGTATATCAGCTTATAAACAGACTGGCTGATCTTTGAGAACGCATTTAAGACCGCTCAAATGTTAGCTGGAAATGGATGTTTTTAAAATCTCAGCACCGACTGGTATAAAACACCACTGCTATGACAACACTACTTAGCAGTAAAAACTTTATGGAAATGAGTTGTTGGTGATTGGATGAGTGTTGGCCCGTTTTAGTAGCTTTACGTGGACATAGTAAATTAAAACCTGTTTAAAATACAAAAATTCTGTGAATATAAGACCTTAAGGCCTAAAATTGTCCTTTTTAAATTTAAGACACTTTTGTTTCGGAACGTATCTCGTTTGCCCAGTTAGCGCGGTTCGATTGGCATATGTGAACAGGGCAATCGCGCTCTGTTCCGCGCCAAAGTAATCGCTCCGAGATCGCTTGAGTGAGGTGGTCTCGGCTCGATTGAAACGAACCCTGGAGCGGTTCAATTGCAGTGAGAAAGCGATCAGATCCGAGCGCGCTTATATCACAGTGTTATGGATATGTAATAGGCATACGGCTATATGAAGAGAGAATTATGAATAGGGCGGGAAGTTTCGCGAGTCTCCGGATGCCCGCAAACGAGTGATGATCTCCCGGTAATCTCGCGTCTCTCTCCCAGTCCTCAAATAGGCATCGTCGCGCACCCTTCTCACCCCTCCCCACCGCATCTCTCCTCAGACATGTCACGCGCGCACCCTGTCAATCACCACCAAACCACCACCTCTCCTGACAGCTAAGCGGGACGCTGCAAAATAAACCCTGACACTCTGACCAATGTGAGGAGAGTTTACTCGCACGTGACTTGTTTTAGCTCTTTTGGTCCGATTAGAAACTTTGCAGTGTGAAAGCGAACCGCTCCAAGAGCAAAGAGCAACAATGTAACAATTTTAATCTCTGTTTCGGAACAACTGAATTGATTCACAGGTGTGAAAACACCCTAAGACACTGTGAACACCCTGTATTGTTAATAATATTATTATATTTATCTTTTAAAACTGTTAGGTTGTCATAAAATACCCCATGTAAATTCCAGGTTTTAAAGCCAGGTGGGAGGCACTGCTTTTGTTACCCGCATGACAGTAAGATATCTGTTAATAACAACTGCTGACAACAAATCTGAAGGGCATAGTTCACATTGTAGCCAGAGATAATACTGGAACAATATCAGATTTATATACTCACATCGGTGCCATACTTAGAGAGGGCAGCGTTGGCAAGCTGTCGAATCTTCTCTCTGTACATCTGAGCCGCACGACTGTTATACTTCGCATTAGTGTCATTGGTGGTACAGCCATGCTGGCGGAAAAAACCCATCTGTGCACAAGGAAATCACATGAAATAGGAAGTGATACAAAAAGCATGGAGTCTACAGTGAATATGATGCAACTCTATGCATATTATAGGAGAACTGACCGCATTGGCGTTTCCTCCAACCTGCATGCATCTCAGCTGAAACCAGTTCCAGTTGGAATCCAGTTCTGTGGATCTGAAAAGACAACGCTCCACTCTTTAACACATACTACTAGCTCATACTAATAATGAATGTCACATTCTGTAATGGGAGAGATAAAGAAAACCTTGGCAGACATTCACATGACTGCACACATTATATAAAAACAGGAAAACAACAGAGCTGACCTGATAAAGCTCAAGTGCACTCCCAAAGAGCGATGTATTCCAGAGCAGTCGATGCACAGAAATACTCCATATGAAATACTGGCCCAGCTCGGGTTCTTAGCCGCACAGTCAAAACAGGCCTAGAAATAAATACAAATAATAATAAGTTGCAAAAAAAAAAAAAGTTTGTGTATTTTAGTGTTGTCAAAAATATCAAAATTTCAGTAAATATCGATACTGACATTTAAAACTATACAATAATTTTAGTTAGTATTAGGGATACTTATAATAACCAATTAACATTAACCGAAAGAATGAATTTTTAATTGATTAATGGTATCAGTTGAATAGTTAAATGGTATTGAGGGTATCAGTTAAACAAGATATAGTTGTGGTTATAATTTAGTGTACAACCAACAAACCAACCTCCATTTGTTCTTACTAAAGATCCATTTTTAAAATAGCCTCAATAGCCTAATTAGACAAATCCAATGATTTAGCCTACTTGATTTTTGCCATAAAACATGTATGCAAATCAATGCAAAACTATTGCAATACGCAATAGTAAAAACTATTATATGCTAGAGTAGCCCACAGCCTACTTAAAAAATAAATAAATAAATTAAAAAGTCAATAAGCGCCGTGTTATTGTCTCATCCCTAATCTGACCCGTTAACGGTTAATATTCGGTTAATGAACGGTGGCTGTCGGTTGGGAAAATTAACCGAAATGAGCACCCCTAGTTAGTATCGATACCGGCTTTGCTCACTCGCTTCTCATTAATAGCAGTTGACGTATTCGCTGCATGGTACAATCTCGAATATCACTATTTTTCAAGGTATGGTATCAAAGTTAGAAATTCCAGTATTCGTAGTCTATTTATATAATAAATTATTTAAAGCTTTGGTAACTTGTATGTATGTATGTATGTATGTGAGTGTGTGTGTGTGTGTGTGTGTATATATATATATATATATATATATATATATATATATATATATATATATATATATATATATATATATATATATATATATATACATACATATATATATATATATATATACATACATACAAACAGTTGAAGTCCCAAATAAGTCCCCCTGAATTATTAGCCCCCTAGTCCTTAAAATGGTGTTGAAAATTAAAAACTGCTTTTATTCTAGCCGAAATAAAACAAGAAAAAATAACGTCAGACATACTGTGAAAATTTCCTTGCACTGTTAAACATCATTTGGGAAATATTTAAATAAATACAAAAATTTAAAGGGGGGCTAATAATTCTGACTTCAACTGTAGACACTCTAGTTATGGTGGGTTCACTTGATTTGCATTTGAGTAAAATGTTTTTATTAAAAATTATTTTGAGTAATGAAAAAATTCAAAGAACATAATTTAGGTACTTTTTGTTGAACATAATAATAGTTTATTATAAATAAAATATTACATATTTTGAAGCTTAAATATTGAGTGGGAAAGTGTAAGTGTGTGTGTGTGTGTGTGTGTGTGTGTGTGTGTGTGTGTGTGTGTGTGTGTGTGTGTGTAAGAAATGTAAATACATTCACATTTCTTCTTAATATTTGTTTGTCAGCAAAAAATTTATATCTACCTAATGTTATTTTCTATATGTTATTATCATTGATGATACAAAGTGATATTTTTCTTGTTTGAATTAAATAAAAATGTCTTCTTAATTAAAGGCACATTATCAGTAGATTAGAATATAACATGCGCATCTATTAACTGCAAGCCAAGAAACAACAATAAACCCTTACATTTTTCCCTCAGAGTTGTACATAAACAAATAGTATAAACAAAATGAAAAATTAAAACAGAAGAACTAATTAAACAAACAATGTTTTAGGCTTTTCAAAAACAGTACAAAAGTAAACTAATAATGGCCTGCTGAAGCCAACATCTGGTACAAACCTGCTCATAAAAACAGACTATAAAAACTTCACCTCAACTGTTAACAACAATATATTAAAGTCATTAATAAACATGTTATACTACACTTACACTTGACAGTTCACTAGAGTATATATAAACACACACATCAACAAATACATACAAACTAACCATATTTATATAATGTAAATCCTACTTTCGAGACTTTTGTAATGTGTATGTACATTAAATCGTGATTCCATTATCTTATTTACATCTTTTACGAGTATGATCCGTGTTTGGGACACTTTACAGAAGCAACTTTATGATTATAGGAGAACATTATTATAGGATGAGTCATTTTCCACCGCCACTGCGTCATTCTCAAATAACAGACACACACCGGTGAAGCCGAGACCCGCTGATTTCCTTCAAGACAACTTAATAAAACCTACAAGCTAGGTAATACTCAGTCATTAGCATTAAACAGTTTATTAGTTACATGTTTGCTTGTCAGGTGTGATGCTGACAGTAAACAAGACGTGTTGGGTGAGGGGCCCATCAGCACCGGCTTAGCGACCAACAAATGACACGTAATCCCACAAGTACCACACATATGGATGTCTCTATATAGGCTAGAATGATTGCCAAAACATACCCACATTGATTACAATAACACCTTGCGGCTTACCTTGTTAGTTGGTATGGAGCGCAAACGTTTAAAAATGGTGTGAATTTCTGTCTTGTTCGGTTCCGACGCCATCTTGCCAACTGAGCAGAGAGAAAACAGACACCGCAGAAGATAAAAGACTTGGCGGAAGTGACGTTCATGAAAATTAAAAGTCTCTGCAAGAGAAAATTAAATTAACTAATTGGCAGATAAATTTGTAAAGATACATTGCACGTGTTACTGAATTTAATTTATAGCACTATGCACATTAAACAGAAATATAAGTTTAAAAAAATGTTTTTTTATGTTGAGCAGGAGTTTTTTGCAAATTTATTTTTTTTAATTAAGAGAGCAACTTCAAATCCTGATTGGTTTGATTTTGATTTGATTTATTATTTTCATACAGAACATTTCATACATTTTCAAACAGAAATTTCATACATTAAAATTCTTTAACAAAAAATACATTTCAACATGGTCGAAAATACAGCGGGATGAAACACAGGCTTATTATTTTCCTTTTTACTTATCTCTTCTTTTTACAAGGGACATGCTTTGCATGAGATATATTTCATCCTATTGGATTTTTTCTATTGTATAGACACATTTAAATGTATAACAAAACATCCATATACATATATATATATATATATATATATATATATATATATATATATATTGATAAAGATTAAAACATTAACTATATTAACTAGAACAATTGACTATAATCTTAGAAACATAAATATTTTTCAATCAGAATATATAAAAACAAATAGGTTAAAACTTATAAAACACATTTCTGTTGAATATATATATAAATAAAATGTTCATAAATCAATTATTTATTTGTGTATTTAAATGACAGTAACATTAATTTAAAAAATTATTCAATTTCATTTTATAAAATAAAATGTAAATTGTAAAATGATTTTTTAACAACTTTCATCAATGTCCAACTATACTAATGAATGTAATTACAAAATTATAAGGTGTTAAGGAGTTAAATGGCTTCTTTATCAATTTTTTTCACTTCATTTTCATTTTGACTTAGTCCCTTTATTAATCTGGGGTCACCACAGCAGATTGAACCACTAACTTATCCAGCCATCACTGAAAACGCTCATGCACACTCATTTTTACACACACACACACACACACACACACACACACACACACACACACACACACACACACACACACACACACACACACACACACACCAGATAATTTAGCACGGGAAGAACATGCAAACTCTGCACAGACATGCCAACTGATCCAGCCAGGGCTTGAACCAGAGACTTTCTTGCTGTAAGGCGACATCGCTACCCACTGCGCCACTCCACCACCTCTTTAATGGTTTCTTCTACAACATAAATTAAACACACACTATGACAAAAACATGATTTTTAACCAGTTGTTTTTAAAATGTATGTTTAAAAAAATAAACTATTATTAAACACATACACATTTGGAATGTGTGAGTCTGTACAGTCTACTTCCTAAAAGTACGTTTTTCTTCATTTTAAAATGTAAAATTTTATAGAAAAAAATATAATAAATATGACAAAAAATGAAAAAGAAAATAAATCAAGGAGAAAGAAGTATTAAATACATCAGAAGTTATTTATTTAGTTATTGTTATTATTCATTCATTCATTTTCTCTTTAGCTTAGTCCCTTTATTAATCTGAGGTTGCCACAGCGGAATGAACCGCCAACTTATCCAGCACATAATTTACACAGCGGATGCGCTTACAGCTGCAACCCAGCACTGGGAAACAGCCATACACTCATTCACACACATACACTACAGACAATTTAACTTACTTACTTTAACTTACTTAACAAATAGCACTTAACAATAGCAATTACATTCAGAAAAAAGAAAGAAAGAAGAAAAAATAAGAGACAAGCTAAATAAGTAAGAAAAATACATAAACAATAAATTAACATGTATAAATAAATAAAAATACATTAAGAATGATTCAGTGAATAAAAAAAATCTAGATCTAAAACTGAAGTGAATATATAATAAACTCAAATGTATAATATGAGAAATCAAAGAAACATCAGAAACTTCAAACTCCGATCATGCGTCTTTTCCACGGGAAGTTGCGTCACTTCCCCTATGAGCCACTGACGTGTCTGATCGTGAGCGTTGATTCTGACTGCAGGCGAGCAGAGCTGCGCACGTTCACGACAGCGCAGGGCAACTTCAGAGCACATATTTATTTTTTATACGCGTTTGGTTTTTGTTGAACGGTGTTTGTTTTGTTCCCCGTGGTGTCGGCTTCATTGGTGACTGGCAAAGATGCTGGACTTCTTCGCCATCTTCAGTAAAGGGGGGATCGTGTTGTGGTGTTTTCAGGGCGCCGGAGTGACTGAATCTTTTACCGGGCCTGTGAACGCGCTCATCCGCTCCGTCATCCTACAGGTACGTTAAAACCCCGATCCCCGCGGCCTGCGCCGGATTATTACTGATGTATCCGGCCCAGCTAACGCATGGTTTGAGTTGTGAGGTTTTAATGTGACTTACTATAAAGTAGGAGATCAAATACAACTCTAATATTACACTACAGGTGCATTGGGCGGTATTTTAATCGGAGTTTTAGATGGGGTACGTTTGACAGTTACGTGAGTTGCGTAATCTCGATACCTTGTTCACACAGCCGGATTATTACTGATATATCAGCTTGTCTGGCCCAGCTAACACATGGTTTGAGTTGTAAGGTTTGATGTGGCTTATTGTGAAGAAGAAGATATAAAAACAACACTGATATTGAACTACAGGTGTATCAGGTGCCATTTAAATCGGAGTTTTGGTTTGGGTGCGTTTGACAGTGACGTGAGTTGCGTAATATTGATGCCATGTGTTAGAGAGAGATTCACACAGCCGGATTATTATTGATACATCAGCTTGTCTGGTCCAACTAACACATGGTTTGAGTTGTAAGGGTTTGACTTGGCTTATTGTGAAGTAGTAGATAAAAAACAAGACTAATAATATTAAACCACAGGTGCATTAGGTGGCATTTAAATCAGAGTTTTGAATTCGGTATGTTTGACAGCAACGTAAATTGCGTAATATTGATGCCATGTGTTGGAGAGAGAGCTGAGGTAAATTTAGTTTTATGTTTGAATCTTTATCTTTTTAATATAATTTCATAAAAGTATTATTTGCAAATTCTAAATAGGAAAATCATATTAGCAGCCATTGACTATTAATGTAAGGTTACAACGTTGTTCACAGCTAATTAAACCGTGCTAATGTTGTTTTACTGTCACACGTGCTATTTCAGACCTAAAATAAAAAAAAAAAAACAGCACTAATATTGAACTACATGTGCATTGTGTGTTATTTAAATCAGAGATTTGGATTGGGTGTGTTTGACAGTTATGTAAGGTGCTTAATATTGATGCCACACTGTAAAACCCAAAAAGTTAAGGTAGCTCAAACCATTTGAGAAAACGGATTGCAACAAACCATTTAAGTTCAAAAACTAATCCTAATGAGTACTGTCAACTTAATCCATTTGTGTAAATGCAATTTGAGCACTGAAAAACCCCATAAATAAAGAGAACTTAGACCTATTGAGTACTGTAAAACCCAATAAGTAATGGAAACTCAAACTGTTCGAGGAAGTGCTACAAACCATTTGAGTTAAACTAATGAGTATGAGTACTGTGAACTTACTCCATTTAAGTTCAAGTAATGAGATATTTAATTAACTCATTACCTTCAAAACTCTTTTCAAATGAGTAGAATTATCTTTCACTACACATTTCATTTGATAAAGTTGACTGTTGGGTTTTACAGTGCATGTGTTAGAGAGAGAGCCGAGGTAAATTTGCTTTTATATTTGGAACTTTACCTTCTTAATAACATGTCATAAAAGTATTGTTTGCGAATTCTAAATAAATTTCAATTAAATAGTGCTAATGTATTTTGAAGTCGTACTTGTATGCAATTTTAGACAACGTTTTCAAAAGTAGCCATGTCATAAGTTGTCAACTTACAATTGTGTAAAGTAACAAATTAAAAATATTCAAACTACTGTTATTGAGTAGTTTTTCCTCAGAAATTGTAATTTACTAAGTAGTTTTAAAAATGTATACTTTTACTTTCCCTTGAGTACATTTTTAATTTTGTATCTGTACTTTTACTACAATACTTTTCTTCAAACTGCAGTCACTATTTTGTCTTGCCTATGGGGATTAGAAAAAATCAGTCCTGTGATTCCTGCCCAATCAAATCGCACATAGATGGTAAATCACATCGTAATAAACAACCTCAATACATGGGTGATTTATAATTGCAGCAAGCTATTTGGAAGCAATAAAACTGTCCAAGAAGATGTCCAAAATCTTTACACGACTGTTTAGATGCATGACACTGATGAGAAGATGATGGATGTTTACTGTATGATGACCAAAATGGACTTAAACTCCTAGTAGGCACAGGACATCAACAATGTCAGATTGACATTGTTCCCCAACCTCCTCAACCTTCCCAGGTTGACATCAGAACCCAATGCCATGCTGATGTCAATGTCCAACGTCCAACCTAAAATCAATCAAATATCAATGTCTAATGATGTTACAGCTTGATGTTGTGTGGACTGTACCCCTATGATGTCTGTCAGATGTTGGATTTTAGTTTCCATACTTGATAAATAATTTGATCAAGTATTTGATGTCAATATTGATTTGTTTTAAAATGTTGGCTCAATGTTGGATTTTGGTCACTTTTTAACAGCTTAAAATCAATCAAATATCAATGTCATTTGAAGTCGTTATTGGACATCAAAATAACGTTGTCCTCGGACGCTGGCTAGACACTGAGTTTTGGTCACCTGACATCACAACCTAAATCTAATATTAACGTCTTATAACGTTGAGTGCCTGCTGAGCAATAACTAAATGCACTACAGAATGTTACGTTTACACACACATGCACAAATTACATGTAAATGCATCAGCTTACTTTGAGTAATATTTACAACAGATACTTTTACTCCACTTGCACTACATTTTTATTCAAGTAATGATACTTTAACCATGGTATGATTTTTCAGTACTCTTTCCACCACTGGTCACTTTGAAATTTGGAATAGATTTCAAATTAAAATGTAAAATAGTTAATTTTTTTAATTTCAGGTAGATTATATAATTTTGGTTCTAAATGTAGTATATTATTTCGCTGTTTGCGCATACAGTGCTTACTGCAGACTGTCAAAACAAAGCATATGTAAACTCATAAAACAAAAATTACAATCGTCTTGTGTAAAGAAAAAAAAGACAAAGAAAGGTGTAGTATACAAACAGATGTTAACACTTCAATATGTTCCATCTGCCGCCAATGTATACCAATATAGTATATTTGTAGGGCTCGCAAAACCTGGTAGCCCAAAGTCATGAGTGTGTTTTTTTCACGTTTACTTCCAAAATCTATCTATACCATGCCCAGCGGGCCATCTAGATCAGGGGTGCTCAATCCTGTTCCTAGAGATCTACCTTCCTGTACAGTTTAGCTCCTACCCTGATCAAACCCACCTGAACTAATTAATTAGGACCTGAAATCCACTTGATAATTACAGACAGGTGTGTTTGATAACGGTTGCAACTGAAATCTGCAGGAAGGTAGATCTCCAGGAACAGGATTGGCCACCCCTGATCTAGATGGTCCGCCAGGCATGGTTTTGATGAATTTTGGTAGCCTGAAAAAAAAACAATAGCCCCAGGTCTTCTGGCTACCAGATTTTGCAAGTCCTGATTTATATATTTTTTTTATTACAAATATGTTACATTTCTTAAATAAAGCTGATTTTTAAGCAAATTTTAACTAATTTAAGACGTTATGGACCTTTTTTTTCTGGACAGAAAAAAATGTAATTGAGTAAGTTTATGCCTAAAACCACAAATAAAGAACATCTGCCAATGGAATAAGAAAAAATTATAGGGTTTTCTGGTTTAATTTTTAAAATATATAATTTTTTAAAAATATGTCTTAAATTGCTCGGCTCACATACTATTTTCAAAATATTTAAGAAACACCCTGTTATATGCAGGTGGAAATTTGTGATTGTTTGGTTCATAAAAAATGAAAGCAATCAATTCCATGAAATAATTTTGAGAAGTAGCATCATTAATTATAATGTAACAATTCCTATGTTAAAGCCTATTTGAAGTAAAACGTGCTTTTGTTTTTATATTTCCAGGAGAGGAGTGGAAATAACTTCTTCACCCACAACACTCTCAGTCTAAAATACAAGTTGGACAACGAGTTTGAGCTCGTGTTTGTGGTGAGTGTTTATTTTGCTTTCAGTCTAAATAATGTGATCTGATCAATAAAACATCAAATCAGTCTTTAACATATGTTTTCTGATCTGTCTCAGGTGGGTTTTCAAGCAAATCTGATGCTGAAGTACGTGGACAAGTTCATAGATGATGTCCAACTCCACTTCAGGGATCGATACAAAAATGAGCTGGAGCAGAGAGGAGCTCTAAAGTTTCTCCTCAATAATTATGAGTTTGGAGATGACTTCCACAGACTTCTGCGGTGAGCTACTGCTTTCCCACGTACAGTAAGACTGGGAAATGCAAGGCTGTCATCATAAATCAAAAAAGTTTCAGCAAAAAATATAAACACTTGGATTTGAATATTAGTACTTTTGTCAAAAATAAATCTCATGTTTTTAATTCAAGACAAGTTCACTTTATCCGCCAGTTAGGCTTAAGGCTAGACCTAGACTTAATAGCAAGCACAATAGCAGTAAGATATCTTAATATATGTCTCTGCCATTGATTTATCTCTAGATGCACACCAGTAATATGTGTTTCTATGTCATTTGTATAAAAAGCTGCTTAAATACCCTAATTTAACTTGCAATGTCATATTTGCCATGTGAAAAAATTAGTTTTTTTCAAAATAGCAAAACCCTTTCTAAGTTGTTTGTATAGGTTTGTATTTTACAGTGGTAAGCAAAGTTCCAGAAATGTTACATCCATAACAGAGAGATGTCACATTTAAACAGAGCTTACATTTAGTCATTTAGCAGACGCTATTGTCTTAAGTGACTTACAATTAAGGAGGCATTCAGTGATTTAACAAGAAAAGGCAATACGTACAAGAAGTGCTAATTATTCAAAGAAACTGTTAGTGCTCAGAGAATTAAGTGCTAGAGCAGGGGTTCTCAACCTTTTTCACTTCGGGACCCACTTGCTCTCCGATCCATTTTCCCACCTGTCTGACATTTTCTCTAAAATGTTGATCTGAACTGTCCATTTAAACCCTTATTTATTAACAAATATATATTATTACTATTATTAGTTTTAGTTTATATATAATTAAATTTAAATAAAATTATTTTTATATAAAATGCTAATAATAGAAAGTAAAAGTAGAAAAAAATATACGACAAATAGAAAAATGTATAATTTTGTTTAAATTTAATTATATATAACACTAAAACTTATAGCCTAGTTTATAAATTGTGTGTGTGTGTATTTAAACAATCTGTGTATGTTTAAAAATTATATATAAATATATATATATATATATATATATATATATATATATATATATATATATATATATATACACACATACATACATACATACATAAGGATTTATATATTTATATAATTTTATATACACACACATACACACACACACATATATATATATATATATATATATATATATATATATATATATATATATAAACACACACACACACACAAACACACACACAATTAAATATCTATTATTCATAAATATAGGGACAAATGTAAAAAAAAAAAAAAAAAAAACCTAAATCTTTTGATGCGCGTCGATCTGATGGCGGTTGAGTTCGCAGCTGGATATTATTGGGAGATCGCTGACAGGAACAGTAAACAGCTCAGCCCGGGCGCGTCTGAAGCTCCTATGCAAGTTAATTGTACATTCTATGACAGAAACACAACTGAGCCTCGCTAGATCCTACTGTATGGGCGCGTGTCCCTTACAAAACACTCACAGAACATTGATTTGCACAACTATGCGGATTAAATAGTTCACACAATAAATACACAGAGACATTCACTTTCCTTTCACGCATAGTTTGTGGACTTGCGTGTAGTTGCAGACGCAATCATGAGTCTGTTTTTGCACCGAGTTTAAAGTAATCAATTATATAACAGGAGAGTGCTTTACTTTGATCATTTTAATGTCGCATATTAATAATGAAATCCAAAAACTACAGTATAATGTTGAGTTAATTTTAAGCTATCTCACGGCCCACCGGCAGGATTGCTGAGGCCCACCGGTTGAGAATCCCTGTGCTAGAGTTTTTGTTTGGTAGAGAGAGAATTTTTTCTACAGGTGGTTTGTCAAGCCCACTCACCTGTATTAAGCACACTTCACAAATGCATAAGGCTTTTTATTAGATCTGTAATACAGTTTTCGCAAAACTATCAAGCAGCATAGCTCTTTTTAACATTGTTAATGATGTTTCTTAAGTAGCAAATCAACGTTCTGAAGGATAATATCATACTGAAGATTGAAGTTTAGCTTTGCATCACAGGAATAAACACCATTTTAATTTATTCTTAAATAGAAAAGCTTAAATTTTAATAGTATTTTTAACTGCAGTTACAATTAAATAAATAAATATCGTACTTTTAAATACATTAAAGTCTTGCCAACACAAAACGTTTGAATAATAATGTGGTCATTCACTACATTTTCATGTTATCGTCATGTAATATAATATCATAATTTAACTATAAACAATTATTATGCAACATTTGTAGTTTGCAAGAGGTAAATAAATAATAAAATAATAATAAGATAAATAATCAGACTCCTTTGTGTTTTGTAGGGAGGCGGAGGAAAGCAGCAAAGCCAAGGGCCCCGCCAGTATGAGGACTTTCGAACAGTCCCAGAAATCCAAGAAAACTGTGAAGTCTATGATCGAGACCAAGGATGCAGACAAAAGCAAGGAGCAAGGAGGAAAGAAAAGTAAAAACGCCAAAAAGGAAGGTGGGAGTCGATTAAATCTGGAAACTGCTGGAGAGAGAGTGAAGTTGAAAGTTTATTGGTTTGTTCACGTGTTTTCTTTTTTTCACTATCAGCTGAATCAGGAGGGGATAAAGCTAAAGCTGCCTCGCAGGCTCCCGCAAAAAAAGCAGTGGAGAACGGGAGTGAGAGTCTGACCCAGGATGAGATTGAGAGGAACCGTGCCAAGTTCATCAGCAAACAGCTGGGTGGAGGAAAACCAGAAAAGCCCAGGTAGGAGACATTATGCATATATGGCAGATGAAGATCCATTTTTGATTTCACCCCGTAGTAATGTGTATTCTTTTTGTCAGTGCAGTCACATGTGGATGATGCGAAATGCAGGTGTAAACAATTTTGAGCTTGTCCACTTTTGACCTCTTCCAGAGATTGTTGAAAATGATTTTTTTGAGTATCGAATTGTAACTCTCAAGTGGTTGAATGCAAAAGACCAGTGGCACTTCACTTTAGACATATGCCAATATTCAGTAATTCTTTCCACCGTAAAAATCAAGGAACTTTGCTGCAGTACCATGGAAGTACGTGAAACTAGTCCCCAGCTTGGTCACTTTTAACATGGCACTATTTTTAGGCACTCAGTAATATTATTGAAAGGACTTTGCAAGTTTGATATGGAAAACAAACTCCTGAGGACACATCTGGTGAATCTTCAAAGGGAACAGTGTACACAATAACCTCATTCACATCACCATGGCTACCTTTACAATAAAATGAAAACATGATATAAGGTACTGTCAATTTTCATTTTGATTTTAACAACTAAACAGACACCAAAAACGTTCGGCATCGTTTAGCTACATATTTATATGACCGTCATCTTCACTGTATGCATATTTATAACAAAACGGAGCCTATAACATCACTTCCTTTCATTTTCAGTGAAAAATACGAAACCCTGAAGTTTGCTGTATATCAGTTTCAGTAATCAATATTGTCTATTATAAAAGTAGAATAAAACGTTTATGCATTATAGGAATTAAAGGCAATCAATCAGTCAATTGTGCAGAATCAGTGTAGTGGTTACATAAATAATATTTTATCTTTGCGCTTTGCCAAATCCTGTTACCTGTGAACAGTAGATTCAAAAGAAGGGGATAGTCTGGGAATATGTCGTTGGATATAGACAACAAGATTAATTAAATATCACGTTCAATAAATATACTGAGATTAGATCCAGTCAGCAGTAGATAGTTGATTAATCGTCCGACGTGCACAGCTCTTTCCTGGGGTTCTGTGCTCAAAGCAACTGCTGACTGTCTGGAGCTCAGATGCACACACACGCTGCAGCGCATGCCAGAATGACTGTGTGGTCACATGATGTGTAGGTATGATGTGAAAAGGTATTCGTGTTAACAGGGCCTTACACCAGAGTGAGAGCGTAGTTTTTTGCCATATTAGCCTTGACAATAGCATCTTTTCATTTTCTGTCAGTCATAATATATGATGTAACTACAGCAAAGTCAAGCTTTAAATAGTAAAATTATCAAAAAGTTTTGATCATATTAAAGAGAGATGCTAATGATCTAAACTGATTCAGTGATCTATGCTAAGCTAATTGGTCCGATGGACAGTATTAATCCACACAGCGACAAAAGTTGAACTATTTTGAAACTTGACCGTAACAATGACAAACGGCAGAGGATCATGAGCTCACAAATGCATTTAAATCCGCAAAGAAAGTGGCACGCGCCACGTTTTCAACATTGCATTAGATGCGAGATAAGAGTATAAAGAGTTAACCTGATACAGTACAAGCTGCGTGGAGCGGTTACAAGTAACAAAACACAATTAAATACATATTTTGCAAGCTAGAGAAAACAAAGAGGCAACTATTTTAACCACACGTACTTACACTTGTGAACTGGAGGAAGAAACTAAATATGAACGGTGTACTGTAAAGTTTCTGTCAAGCTCTGACAAAGTCCCATACATCAATAGTCTTTTCTGATGCTTCCTTTTACAAACGGCCGATGAATACCTTGTTGTAAGTTTGTAGATTGCTGAAGCACTTGTCAGAAAAATGACAGGGACACAGCACAAGGCTGGGGCTATAATGTTGAGGTTTTTTTGCAAAAATAAGCTTCAATCACTGACTCTTCACAGCCTCATCTTTGGGTAGGGAAAATAACTTTCCCTCACACCTCAGAGCACAGTGTCTTCGCAACATGATTCAACCAGCATCTGTTACAGTGTTTGTGGGTGGAGCCAGGGGTTTCAATTTTCCCAGGTTTGCGCATGCAACCAATGGCCGATGGAGTTCTGTATCGACATCACACCGACACGGCTAAAGATTCGCTACCTCAACGATTCATTTTAACCACTTTGAGTCAACTCTTTTATAAATGAATCAACAGTTTTAAACATGCCGCACTTTCAAATTTAAGCCTTAGCTGGATATTTCACTTCACTTAGAGCTGTGTCACACACTACATGGAAGGTCATTTTCAAAAGTTTTATTTTTATATTTAAATATTTTACTTATTTTTATTATTATTACACAGTAAGTCCCCTAAACCTCAAGGGAAGCCAAAGGGGAAGGTGAACCGTGTGTGGGATATGGGCGGGAAGAGTTCTGGAGAGCTGGACTACAGTGGAACCAACGGCAACAACTCCAATGACGCAAAGTCTGAAGACAATGATGCAACAGCTGAACCGGTGAACAGTCCATCCTTATTCCCCATATAAAGACTTAGCACCATGTGTTACTAAATTACATTTAAATGTCGAAGATTTAAATTATGGCTGCATGAATCATGTCATTTTTGTTTCTATTTGACCTCGTCCACTGCACAAAATACAACAGTAAAGTAATATAACGTTTGGTACTAGGGCTGCACAATATATTGCTTCAGCATCAATATAAGTTCAGCAATAGTCACATCACAGGATCTGCAATGTTGAGTTGGGATTGTAGTCAAACTGAAAACACAGTTCTCAACCCACAACACAGGCATAGTTTAACCCTAATAGAGGGAAAGATTTTTAAGGCCTGGGACTTTGCTTTCAAGTGAATTTAAACCATTTGGGCATTAGAAATGATAAGTTTTGTAGCTTTAACAAACATAAACTGTATTGAATTGTTTATTCAATGATGTCTACAGTAGTCAACATTTGAAATGGATCAAAAAAGTGTTACAAAAAACAAGAATGGGTGGTGTTGGATAGTTTTAGGACAACATTGATTAAAGGATTTTAATTTAAATGTTGTCTACTCTATACAGTGTTATTTTACATTTGATTATTTAGGTTTAACACCTCGATACTGTTCAGAAAACTGTAAAGAACTGTTTATTTTGTTTATTGTTGTTGATCTATTTCAGTTTTTCCCAACCCTGTTCCTTAAGGCACACCAACAGTACACATTTCCAACATCTTTCTAACATTAGAAGAGATTCAAAAACCTGATGTTAATAGGTCAGATAAGGGAGACATCAAAAACATGTAGTCTTGGTGTGCCTCCAGGAACGGAGTTGGGAAACACTGCTCTGTTGTATTAATTTCTGCCTGTAATTTGTTTATATATTATGCAGATGCACTGATCAATAGAGTTATTTAAATTGTCTTGGAAAATTGGCCAAAAAAATGGCCATTATAGCAAATCTGGTTCTTAAATTCTCCTCTTTTTATCCCCAAACACGCATGCATTCCTTAATTTTTTAAGTTAAGACTATATTTGCAGATGAAATTTAGTAACCGTGTTCCTCTTCCAGGCCATCCAGGTGGAGTCAATGAAAGGTGACCTGCGAGGTGTGGATTACGAGTCTTCAGATGATGAGGATGAAGAAGTGGAGGAGGAGGAGAAGAAGGTGGTGGTCACAAACACTAAGAAGACAGGGTAACGTGTCAAAGCATTGAATTCTGAACATCTGAACTGGTTTCTTTGAATCCTCCGCTGTAGAGATGCCTCATTCTGATGTGTTTTCTCTGTAGAGCTAAAAGGAGTGGTTTTGGGGGGATGTTTGGGATGCTGAAAGGCCTGGTGGGATCAAAGAATTTGACTCAGGAGGACATGGAGCCAGTTTTGGACAAGATGAAGGACCACCTCATCGGTATGACATCACTCACCCTTCATAGCAAATCAATTGATACACTTTTGACTACATTTTTGTTTTTTTAATCAAGTTTTTCAGAGTTCTTAAAGTAAAAATAAGGTGGACAGTCTAAAATCACCATCCTAAAAGCTATTACCTATTACTGTTTATTGGCTTATAGTGGTGCATCAGCTGGAAATCGTACACATTCAGAGAAAATATCTGACCTCCATGTTGTAAAATGAAGTGGATACATGTTTTTTTGGGTAGATCAGGGTGCTGCATTTAAAATAAAAAATGCAAAAATGATATATGAAATGTATGGAAATGTAAAAACCTTAATTAAACTATACAGATTGCTTCCCACAGGTTTTAAATATACTTGCGGTGGTAGCCAGATTGAAACACACCTTATACCCAATGTACATTGTTAACTACATGCGACAAAACAAGTGATTTTAACAATATTTTTATTTATTATACACCGTTTCTTTCCAATAGGTTGAAGTTTTTTTTTTTTTTTTTTAAGACTGTTGAAATAAAAAGATTTCCACTATTTGTTTTACTTTTATTTTATTCAGGGGCCATGTGCACCCTCTGACAGGTAAAATCTGCTGCTGACATTTTGTACAGTGTTGCCAAAGCATGTTAGATATGTATAAAATACATCAGCATCATCAAATTAAAGAAATAAACATACCGCAAATGTGAAATGAATGTCATAGAGGAATAAAAACATCTATGGAATAAAAACCTCTAAAAATTATAATAATTACAGGAATAAAAGTGACTTTTTAAAATGAGGCAAATGACTTAATTAACCATTTCTACACCAACGGTGTACAAACATTTTGCAGCCAGTTTAGATGTAATTTTGTCCTCTTTGAGTAAATTGAAAGGTTTATCGGAGTCGTTTTATCAAAGAATAATTATAAAATGTTTCTCCCTGTCTTGCAGCTTTGCACGCACTGTCAGCTGCAAAGCCAAATGAAAGTAAATTAGGCTTAAAATAAAAATGACGACAGCTTTAGAAAGTCAACCCAAAAGACGAATCCCGGACATTTTAGGAGATTTAGAAATTAAATTTAAGTCCCAAAAAGGCGCATCTCTGTAGGTCTCTGGGATTGTCTGTAGGAGTGTTGACTGTTCTCGCACACACAACAAGTAGGAAACATGCAGAACAAGAGAAGATTTTCCTCTAGTTAATGGATCGTGGATGTTTGGCTATTGGGCGGATACAAAAAAGTGTAAAAGATAAATGTCACCAAATATACTTGGGCGGCGGTTAATATACCTGCGCGGCCCACCCAAGTAAAGGATATGTGTGGGAAGCATTGAATACATTTATATAAATTCATCTAATACCAAACTACTATAGTCAAAAAGGCATAATTTATTTGACTAAAAGAAATTTCATATAAACAAATAATTAAACTAAGATTATTCATTCATTCATTCATTCATTTATTCATTTTCTTGTCGGCTTAGTCCCTTTATTATTCCGGGGTCGCCACAGCGGAATGAACCTCCAACTTATCCAGCGTGTTTATGCAGCGGATGCCCTTCCAGCCACAACCCATCTCTGGGAAACATTCACACACACACACACACTCATACACAACGGACAATTTAGCCTATCCAATTCACCTGTACCGCATGTCTTTGGACTGTGGGGGAAACCGGAGCACCCGGAGGAAACCCACACGAACGCAAGGACAACATGCAAACTCCACACAGAAACGCCAACATAGCCAAGGCTCGAACCAGCGACCTCCTTGCTGTGAGACGAAGGTGCTGCGTCGCCTAAACTAAGATTATATATAAAAAGATATATATATATAATTTAAGTAAATTGTTAAAATAGTATAATAAAATAGACAAAATAAAATATTTTATAAAAATTGAAATATGGTTTAAATAAATATCATCGGGGTATTAAACAAATCGAACTTGCTCAAGCCATAATGATTGATTTAATTAAGTGATTATTTTGGGTCTCTATCTTTAAAAATATTGAAAAGTTCATCTGTGATTAGTAAGCGAGATTCGATCAAAATGAGAAATTATATACAGTTGAAGTCAAAATTATTAGCTCTCCTGTGATATTTTTTTTCGAAATGATGTTTAACAGAGCAAGGAATTTCTCATGGTATTTCCTATACTATTTTTTTTCTGAAAAAAGTCCTATTTGTTTTATTTCAGCTTGAATTAAAAGCAGTTTAAGTTTTTTTAAGGTCAATATTAGCACTTGATTTTAGGATGTTTTTGTGAAACTTTAAACATATTTAACATGGCATAATAGCATGCAACTAACCATCATCTTAACCCACTGTATGTTGTTTGTTCTTTTTAATAAATGTATGATTACTCTGTAAAAAGTGTAACCCTACATGCAGTATAACTGGATCAAGCTACTTTACTTTGTTCTCCTCAGCAAAGAATGTAGCAGCCGAAATCGCCTCTCAGCTCTGTGACTCTGTGGCCAAGAAACTGGAGGGCAAAGTCATGGGCACGTTCACCAGTGAGTCCAGCACACACCTGCTGATTAGCCCATCCAAACAACAGCCTTCCCACAGACATCTGCATGTTCCCACACCGATATGTCCACTGTTTGTCTTTTTGGATAAGGTTTTGCTCTCGTTAATCTCGTTCTGGCTTTTCTTCCTCCAGCGGTGGCCTCTACGGTAAAGCAGGCTCTGCAGGACTCACTGGTGCAGATCTTGCAGCCTAAGCGACGTGTGGACATCTTGAGAGATGTGCTGGAGGCTCGTTCTCAGCGCAAACCCTTTGTCATCACCTTCTGTGGGGTGAATGGTGTTGGAAAGTCCACCAATCTTGCCAAGGTGAATTGTTTGGTTCATTTTACCAGGTTTTGCCTATGGGGTTTATGTAAAATACATAAAACCCTTTGTTATCCGCGACACTGGTGGCCATTAAGTGAATTGCAGGCAGCGATCAAGCATAAATAATTCATTTGCAAGAAACTGAATTTTATTCACTGCTTTATTATACAAAAAAGAAAAGTACAATTTTCCTGTAAATAGCTAAATAAACGCACCAAATATATGACAGTAGTGAGAAAAATTCTGTTAGGAAAGCATCAGATTAGATCACATCAATATGAATGTTTGCATATTGCTTCATATTGACAGTGAGGTCATTATAATGTTGCTCTTCTTAAGAGGTTTTCTAATTAAGAAGATACTTTGAAAAATGTTTGAATCTAGCAGCCATTTACATCCATAGTAAGAAAAAAAAATTCAACAGAACTAAGAAATGAATGAAAGTTTGGAACAAATGTAATGTAGAATTTTTATTTTTTGGGTAAATAGTCCCTTTGAAATCAAAAGTTGTGTTTGTTAATGTGTTTCTCAGAGATGGGTTGCGGCTGGAAGGGCATCCGTTGTGTAAAAACTTGCTGTATAAGTTGGTGGTTCATTCCGCTGTGGCGACCCCGGATTAATAAAAGGACTAAGCCAACAAGAAAATGAATGAACGAATGTTTGTTAATGTTGATATTGACCTGAACAGAAATTAAGCAATGGTTTAGAATTATGTTGCTTAATGTAGCTGAAAAGAAAGTTCACACAAAAATGTAAATTACTACATAATTTACTCAAGCTATCCTCGGCGTATATGACAGTTGTTTTTGTTTTTTTGTCAGACCACCACAGTCATAGTCGTAAATGTTTTTCCTGGCTCTGCCATGCTGTATATTGATTTGATAGTGACTTATTTTGAACCTTCTTAAAGCACTTAAATCTGTTAAAGAAACCCATATGCTGCCAGGAGGTTGACACATGTTTTAAAAAGTAGCAGCACTTTATTAAGCTGTAAAAAAATGTGTGTTGATTTTAAAAAAACAAAGAATAATAAAAAGACATTGAGCATCTGCATATTAAATAGAATTAACTATTTTTCTGTTTATTTATTTATATACAGTTGGACCTGAAAACCCCTGGCAAATTTTGACTTCAGTTACTTTTATTCAACCAGCATTACTGAAAATGAGATGGGCTTCTCCCTAAAGATAATAAAGTGATGTACAAGAAAAATCCTCAGCTTTTATTCACATTTGAGCAAAAGCTTTAATTCAAAATTTGCAAGGGTTAAAAGGGTTCGGGTTTGACTTATTTTTGTACAGATCTCTTATTGGCTGATTGAGAACGGCTTCACTGTGCTGATCGCGGCCTGTGACACGTTCCGTGCTGGAGCGGTGGAGCAGCTGAGGACTCACCAGCGCCGGCTGAACTCTCTACATCCACCTGAGAAACACGGAGGCCAGCCCGCCGTCCAGCTCTTTGAGAAGGGCTATGGCAAAGATGCTGCGGGGATCGCCATGGAGGCCATTGCCTTTGGTAAAATACACTTTTCTTGTTCTAAACCTGTTTTGAGCTTTTTTTTGTTGTTGAACGCAAAAGAAGATATTTTAAAGAATGTTGGAAACTGGTAACTATTGAGTTTCATTGTTCGTTTGAGTTTTACAAGGGATAGTTTACCCAAAAATGAAAATAACTTAATAATTTGCTTGCCCTTGTGTGGTTTTTAAACCATAATCAGTTTCTTTTTTTTCTGTTGAACACAAAAGAAGATATTTTGAAGAATGATGAAAACCGGTTACTATTGACTTTTTGTTTTTTTGCTATGGATGTCAATGGTTGTTCTTATATATGTTTTTAAAATATTTTTTGTTTTCAACAGAAGAAAGAAACTCATACAGCTTTGGAACTACTTTAGAGGCAGTAAATGATGAAAGAATTTCTTTTTTTTTTTCCTTATTTATAGTTTTTGTCTGGTTTCATGTGCAAAAATATATAAAAGAAATTAATCTAAGAGTCATTTTCTAGACACACAAAACATTTGTGAGGCTTTCATAAACAATACGTCATGATGTTAATGTGATATTTCAGCCAAAACTGAACATTCTGTCATCATGTAATCACCCTTTTCTTTTTCTAAATATTTTAAATGCTATAGTATATATTTTTTAAGGATGTTAGAAACCGATAACCATTGACTTTCATTGTTTGTTTTCAACTATGGATGTCATTGTCTGCCGGTTTCTTATATCTTCTTTTGTTTTCAACACAAGAAAGTAACTTATACATGTTTGAAACTATTTGAGGGCGAGTAAATGTTGACAGAATTTCTATTTCTCTTCTTATTCATAGTTTTTGTCTTGTTTCTAGTCTAAAAAATCTTAAATCAAGAAGCATTTTCTAGACATGCAAAACATTGTTTGGCTTTTAGAAGTACTAATTGATGATCTTAACATGATATTTGAGCTAAAAATGAACATTCTGTGATCATGTACTCGCCTTTTTTCTTGTACTAAACCTGTTTTGAGTTTCTTTTTTCTATTGTACACAAAAGAATATATTTTGAAGAATGTTGGAAACCGGTAACCATTGACTTTTGTTTGTTTTCTACTGTGGATATCATTGTCTGCCGGTTTCTTAAATTTTTCACAATGTCTTCTTTTGTTTTCAACACAAGAAAGAAACTTATACATGTTTGGAACTACTTGAGGGCGAGTAAATGTTGACAGAATTTCCATTTCTCTCCTTATTTAGTATAGTTATTTCTCTCCTATAGTTTTTGTGTTGTTTCTTGTGCAAATATCTAAAAAAATCTTAAATCAAGAAGCATTTTCTAGACTCGCAAAACATTGTTTGGCTTTCAGAAATATAAAGTCATGATGATAACATGATATTTCAGCCATAAATGAACATTCTGTGATGTTCTTACCCTTCTGTTGTACTAAACCCGTTCTGAATTTCTTTTTTCTATTGAAAACAAAAGGAGATATTTTGAAGAATGTTGGAAACCGGTAACCATTGACTTTCAATGACATTTTATGGACATCAATGTCTGCCAGTTTCTTCTATTTTTCAAAGTATCTTCTTTTGTTTTCAACAGAAGAAAGCAACTCATTCATCTTTGAAACGGATGACAGAATTTCTATTTCTTTGCTTATTTATGTAGTTTTTGTCTTGTTTGTAGTCCAAAAATGTGTAAAATTTATAAATCAAGAATCATTTTCTAATTGGGAAAAACAGAAATCCCTTTTAAACAATGGTTGCAAGAATTGTCTCATTATCTGGCATTAGAAAGAAATCTAAATATTGAAATATAAGTCCCTTTGTAGGATTTCTGAAGGAAGCGGAAACAAATCGTGTCTGTATAACTTGCATCACCTGCTGCTAATATACCACTGTTTTGGTATCTTTAAATTGTATGTGTTTGTAAATGGATTTATTTATTTATATACTTGCAATTGTTTTGTTTTTGTAAATAATTTAGTGTTTTGTTTTCTTTTAGTGCATGTAAAATTTCCTAAAAATAATAATGAAGACTATGATTACAAAAAATAAATACAATTAAAAACATGATTTCAGAAATAGTAAGTCAAAATCAAGTGAGTTTTTCCTTAAAACAAGCAAAATAATGTGCAGATTAATGTGTGAACTTTTACTTTAAAGGACATGAAACTGTAGAAGTGCATTAGCTAACATCTCTGTGTGTCTGCAGCCCGTAACCAGGGATTTGACGTGGTGTTGATCGACACGGCAGGCCGTATGCAGGATAACGCTCCGCTAATGACGGCTCTGGCCAAGCTGATCGCCGTCAACACCCCGGACCTGGTGCTGTTTGTGGGAGAAGCTCTGGTGGGCAATGAGGCTGTGGATCAGCTGGTAGGTGTATATTCAGAAATGACCTCTAGAAGGCGCTGCTCCAAACCGTTTGAAAAGTCCAGCTGGTTTTGTGCTACTTTAAAGGAATAGTTCACCCAAAAATGAAAACGACATCATCATTTACTCTTCCTTGTGTGGTTTTAAACCTACTTGAGTTTCTTCTGCTGAACACAAAAGAAGATATTTTAAAGAATGCTGGTTGCTGTTGACTTTCATAGTCTGAACAAATACTGTGGAAGTCAACAACCACCAGCATTCTTTAAAATATCTTCTTTTTTGTTCAGCAGAAGAAACTCAAACAGGTTTTGAACAAGTGAAGGGATTTATGAGAATTTTCATTTTAAGGTGAACTATCCCTTTGGGTTTTTAAGTTATTTTACATTAAATTTCATGTTTTATTTCTCATGATTTATTTATACTTTGTTTTTGTTTTATTTAAATTATATTATTTATGCTTTTGTTTTCATTAAAATGCGTAGCCTAGATAATGTTTAAAAATATATCATTTTTAAATAGAAATTAATAATTGTGATCGACTAAATCATTTAGTGAATAAAAAATATGGAAAGTTACTTTTATTGTATTACAAAATATTTAATAATACAAATAATAATAATAATGGAAACAAATGCAGTGCTGTTGAAATTCTGCTCATCAAAGAATCCTGAAAAATAGAAATTCCACAAAAACCATTTTAATTATGAAAGATTTAACCAGATGATAATAAAAATAATAATAAGATAATAAAAGAAAGATAATAACTTTCATGAAAAATGTTAAATATTGAGAAATACTTGTTTTGGTAACACTTTAAATTAGTTTTTTATTAGTAGTTTTTACATTTTAGTAATTACATGTTTTTTTATGTCAACTTTCTTTTTTAATATCTGTGCTTACATTAACAGGTCTTGAAATTGCGACCATTTTGGTCGCATATGCGCCCGAAATTTAATCTATGCGACCTCATAATAAATGTGGGAGCATTTGTGCGACTGGACATAATGGTTGTAGTGCGACCTGTTTTGATTTTTTTTTTCTAAAAACGTGCTGAATCGCTCTTCCCTTCCCTCTTCCACCGCTTAATTTGTTAATATTAGCTGTCATTCACTCGAGGCTTTCCGCTGTCAGATGACGGGGAGGGAGCTTTTGTGACTGCAGATAATGCAAACGGCTGAAGAGTGAAAAGTACACGGGTTTACAAACCCCACCTAAAGTTATAATAATAATAATAATGGCGCAGATGAGAGCGGTCATGACATGTGGTGAATGTTGATCCGCCAGCTGAGATCAATCGAGTGTTTTCGGAGTAATTATTAGGCATACATTTTGGAATTATTGCACACAAATATCAATGTCATGTCAGCATTAGTTAGACGGTTGTTTCTGTTTGGTTTTTTTTATCCTAATTGATGTTGTTTTAAAATACAATATATCCCTTAAAATACAATTTGCAGCGGTGCTCATTCATTTTTGGTGGGTGCTCCTAATTTTTTTTCTGGTGCTCCCAAATATTTGAAGTTGGGAACACCGGTGCTGCCACATAAAAAAGTTAATTTCGAGCCCGGATGAACTATAATAACTAATACAATTTCAAATAAAATGATTTGTCCATTTTTACCACTTTGGTAACTCATCTATATGGCAATTTGTTAGTATTAAAATAATACCGAAACCTAATAATGAATTCAATTAAGCTTGAGGAAACATTGACCTGTCCTGACTTCCATCTTTCCATTTTGTTCTGTCAATATTGAGACACTAATACATGCATGTTTTCTGTGTTCTAGGTTAAATTTAATCGAGCCCTGGCTGATCATTCCAAGTCAGACAAGCCTAGACTTATTGACGGCATCGTCCTCACCAAGTTTGACACTATTGATGACAAGGTAAGACTTCATTCCGAATTTTTAGTTACATTTTTTGCGCTGAAGACCTGTCAAGTTTCTGTTTGTCAAGCTAAATGCTTCGAACATTTTTTACTCTTATTTTCAGTGGCAAACTTAACCCTTGTGTATTGTTCACATTTGGTTATGTTCGTGGCTGTTTTTGCCCTATTGATGTCCGTTCAATAGTTATAATGACATTTTTGATTGCAAAGCCTTGACACCACATATAATCAAGCATTGCTGATGGTTTTCCCTGTTGGGAAGAGGTACTATTTGTCTTTTTTTTTTACTGTTGATCATCATTTGGCACCTTTAACCCTTTAGATAGGCTTGTGCTTTTATATGGAGTTCTGTGGAGTAAGACAGCAGATTATAGTGTGTGCAGATTAAGGCTGATTTATACTTCTGCGTCAAACGCGGGCGTATGCTAAGGTGCTGACGCATAGCACCTTCACCGTGGCCATTGGCGTAGCTGATGTGCACCTCTCAAAAAATGTAACTACACGTCGCAACAACGCGTAGCGCAAGTTCTGTGATTGGTCGGCTTGGTAGCACTGATGAGTCTGGGCGGGACCGAGAGCCGCGCGAATGGTGCGAGCCTGATGGAGCGATTGTTTACAAGTGTGGAGTCCCGTGAAGGAGTTTAGGATGGAAAGTTTTGTTTTGTGTTTACCTCATAGTTAAAGTTGTTGCACGTCCGCCGGTTCCTGCCTCAAAATGAGCGAGTTTGAGCCACTTGTACATCCAGGAAGTGTTCAGGAAAAGCAAAACAGCAGCGAAGAAACTCGACACAGAGGAACATTTACACCCCACTGCCAACTAGCGTTTCGGAAGTGTTAATGCAGACCAACAGAGACAGCGCGCAGAAGTATAAATGCACAGCTACGCGCGTTGCATGCGCCGTGGGTTACGCCGGTCACTTGACGCAGAAGTATAAACCAGGCTTTAGTGAAAGGTTAAGTACAGGAAGGTCTTTCATTGAGCTGCATATGCTAGAGGCGCTCGGTTTAAAAATTCTTAGTGATTTACAAAGTCCTTGAAAAGGACTGGGAACCCTGTAAGAGAAACTTGTCGCTGTTGCCTACAGGTGGGAGCTGCTATCTCCATGACGTACATCACAGGTCAGCCCATCGTGTTTGTGGGCACCGGGCAGACGTACAGTGACCTGCGCAGCCTGAACGCCCGGGCTGTGGTGAGTGCACTGATGAAGGCCTGAGATCATCCGCTTCTGCCGGCTCTCCACAGTGACCCTCTCAGCCTACGTGTTGAAGTAATAGGTGTTTATTGCTTTCCTACAGGTTTAACTGAAATTCAGTTCATATTTAGGACTTTTGTGTTTTTGTTCCAGGAAAAAAAGGTGTTTAATTCAGTTTAATGAGTGGAAGGATTATCATTTGACTTGATTTCACCTCAGCCACCATATTTGATTGACATGCAGACCAGCCAATCAGACAACAGCACTAATATATGACGGTTTTTACATTTGAGATGCTAATAAGTGTTTTTGCACTTAGTTTTGTTCGATACAAACAAGTGTTCTTATACTTTCAGCTTACCAAAAAAACTCAAATCAAGATGGACTGAGGTGTTTTCAGATGTTATACAGTAATATATTCTAAATGTATTTTTGTCTATTTTTATTTGATTAAGTAAGTAGGTACATTCAAGATCCAAACCGTTTCATGAATTCACTACCATAGTGCCTCGGCTCATTGCATTACAGTTGTTCCTGAATCGATTGCGTACATAAACGCTGCCTTTTCTCGTTCTTTTTTTTTTTTTACTCAGGCTTTTCATATCGCTGGATATGAAAGGTATTAAAAGGTATTGAAAGATCTGGCGCGTGAGATTTCGAAGGCGCCTCGGTAAAGACTTTAAAAATGCTGCGTTAAACCAAACTATCCCTACGATGTTACATATTTGTTTTAATTGATCAGTGACTGTACTGCCATTTCCCCTTTATCGTTTTATTTTAGAACAAAGTCAGGTCTTAATTTTCTTGCACCTCTTATTAATTTGTGCTAGCACAATGGCAAGACTGGAGAGCTTCATAGAGAAGATTTGTCGTACTTTAAGAATGTGTAATATTTCTTAAATAAAGCTGCTATAATAGCCTGTATTTATGACTTGTTTGTTACTAGTGCTATGAAGTAGTTTCTTTCTGTACTGCTATTATCTTTTTCCACTAACATAAATGAGCAATATCACACAAATAGCAGTGCGATGTGGCTGTTTTTCGGCACTGGTGGGAGGCGTGCGTGGGCTCATGGACGCAGGCTAAGTGCCTTAGTGTCCCACCAGTGACGATATACAGCTACTCGTGTGATATAGAATTTATACAACAGCTTGACGGCATAATTGTGTATATACAAAAGAAAATCAAACACAGTCTCAAAATCACTTTTGTACGAGGAACTACTTCCGCTGTTCATTCACATCTGCAGCTGACGACAGAACAGCAGAAACCGTTGCTCATTCACAAACGTCACTTTAGACTAGAGATGATCAAAGTAGGGCCCGCAGACCTGTTTACCCATTGTAACCTTTAATTTACCCCACCGTCCCATCTGAGAAGAGAATGATGGAGAGGGTTGGGGTGAATGCCTTTAAAAGGGATCGTCATTTCTAATTTGACGTAACATTTTTTTGTTTATTTACTTTATTCCCTAGCGTAATGTCTAAAATGATGAAGAAACGGGTGATTTTGATCACATTTTAAGATTATAAGGCTGAAATGCCATCAGTCTACAGATTTCTCTGTTGCAATAGGGATATCACAATAATTTACTTCGAAAAGGCCAAAGCAAACACTACCAGATTACTATGGTATAAATACAGCAATACAACATACAAAAGAGAGATCAACCAAAGAGCATAGAATCATCAAGAGGTGACACTCTACTGCCATTTGGGAAACAGCCACTAGATGGCGCGGTGGCCATTTTGGAATGAAAATCTGTAAAATAGTCAGTAAAATAAACTATTGAAGGTGCTGATGATTGTGATAGTAAGTGTTGTATTGTCGTCTTTCAGGTTGTATCTCAGCTTTAATGCGCTTCTTAAATAAATAAATAAAAAACAAAGCAACTGCTTGCCATCCTGACAGCAATGAGATCCAATGAACAACCGATCGCTTCCAATCCAAAATGGCGGAATCCGGGGCTGTTGCTGGGCGCTGCTGTTGCAATGAAACGTTCTATTGAGTGTCGCCTACTGCTCATTCTAAGCTCTTTGGATCAACTTAGAATGTGGCTTACCTTTTCTGTAATGATTTGTTCAGCTGTAGTTCGAGACGTACACTGAAAAAAATGCTGTTTTTCTTCCCAAAGGACATATACAGTCTCTGTTGCCGTCTTGTGGCGAAATGTCAACCATCTTTGCTCTGCTCAATATGACAGGCTAATGGCTGCCAACGTGCTGATCCACTAAAATATTTAAAAGTCACTATCCTTATTAATAAACTGCACAGTTGCGATCCAAACAACTACATTCTCAACTAAAAAAGCCTCAGAAATACTTTGTTCTCCAACAGCTGCAATATTTGTCAAACTGTAGTGTCCTCTGCTTGCCACTCGTGTGGACGGAGTAATAAACAAGGGTGAAGATGCTGTATGAGTGCTGATATTACTTTAATATCTCATGGCTATCAGCCAATTAGATTCAAGAAATATATAGACTCCTGTTCAATTGTAAAGGAGGTTCTGATGAATCATTTAAGAAATTGAAAGATTATTTTTATTATCAATTAACAGTACTACAAACCTGAGGTAATGAATCCAAATGCTTCATTCAAGTTACAAAACCGCAGATCCCACTTCTTATATAAATTCATAAAAAATGTATTTGCTTACAATAATAACAACACGTTTGGTACCAAACAGATGTTTTATTTTAAAAGAGCATATAAATACCTAAAAGACAATTGTAGACAGAGCTGATAAAACTGGGGAGATCAAATACAAAAGGTGTATAAACAACTGTGTACATGTCTTTTCTTTAAATCATACATGACTATAGATGGGATCTAACTGTCAAAGTGCAATAGCATGTACTGAAAGGAGCGATGGCATCATATGATCCTCAATTTGGTGAAGAGTTCAAGTAGTTTCATGGAAGCTGAGCTGCTTCTACAGGTAAAGCTTGAGAAATCACGTACATTTTGATTTCTACATCAGTCACCCTGACAAAGAGTTTATTGCATTTCCTCCTCGCAGGACAGATTTGGTTTAAAAAAATGTCTCAAGTCCTAATTCAGTAATGTAACGTAATGCTTTTGCAAGAAGTCTCCTTCAAAGATACAGTAGAGATAGTAATACTATGAATGAAACACTCAATTTTTTTTAAAAATCGGATTTTCCATTATTAAATGTTTTATTGATGTGAAGTCAAAGCTGAACTCAGTCTTCAGTGTCCTGATCTGTTAGAGATCATTCTCTTATTATTATCTGCTAGCAAGTGTTTATTGTTACATAATTAATAATCATAGTTCTTATTGATACACTGTAAAACCCAACAGTCAGCTGAAATGAGTGTAGTTACCCAAAATTGACTGAAGGTTATTTCTACTTATTTAAAAAGAGTTCTGAACTCAGTGTTGAAGGTAATGAGTTCATTAAATACCTCATTCATTAAATACCTCATTACTTCAATGGAGTAAGTTCACAGTACTTGTATAGATTAGTTTAACTCAAATAGCTTGTAGCTACTGATTTCCTTAAACGGTTTGAGTTGCCTTAACTTTACAGTACTCAGTTGGTTTGAGTTCTCTTCATTTATACTTATTTACTGTGCTCAAATTGCTCAAAAGTTCACAGGACTCATTAGGATTAGTTTTTGATCCTAAATGGTTTGTTGCAGTTGCTTTCCTCAAATGGTTTGAGTCACCTTAACCAAAGAGCTTAGAATGAGCAAGAGGCGACACTCAATAGAACGTTCCATTGCAGCAGCAGCGCCCAGCAACAGCCCCGGATTCCGCCATTTTGGAGTGAAGAGGATCGGCTGTCCATTAGATCTAATTGCTGTCGGGATGGCAAGCAGCTGCTTTGTTTTTTATTTATTTATTTAAGAAGCGCATTAAAGCTGAGATACAACTTGAAAGACGACAATAGAACACCTACTATCACAATCATCAGCACTTTCAATAGTTTATTTTACAGACTTATAATATGCTGTTGTTCTATTGGAGTTTTCATTACAAAATGGCCGCTGTTTTAGTGGCTGTTTCCCAAATTGCACCAGAGTGTCGCCTCTTGGTCATTCTAAGCTCTTTGCCGTAACTTTTGGGGTTTTACAGTGTATTAAAAAAAACAATCATGAAACCGTGGCAACTGTTTGATAAACAGTAATTCCACACACGTCATCATAACTGTAGGATCTGACTGAAATGAATGCATCCTTGCTAAGAAAAAGAAATGCTACAGGAACGTGATGTATAGCAATTATATAATCCATTTTACAATAGTTTATGAAGAACCATGTCCGCTTGTTAAGTGGTGACGGATGAAATACTGCTTCCAGGTCCAAACCGCTACTCATTTGAATTGAGAAAATGTGTTTAAGACCTCTTTGTAGACAAATTTGATATAAAATCATGGTGTACACTACAGTCTCTGGATTTTTTGCATTACAGACACCCACATTTTAACAATTTGTAAAAAATCATTAATTTCATATTAAGCATGGATATATATATATATATATATATTGCGATCGTCATTTTTGAAAGCATGACATCACTTTGTAAAAGTGTGTAATGAGTTGTTTAGTCTCTCCATACAGTTTGATATATTGCTTGAACCCAGAAGCCGCTTCTCGGCACATCACACTTAACAAGCGGATAACACTGAAGACTAATGGCCTGTTTTCACTGAGTGGTGCGGTACAGTGTAAAATGACGAACTCGAGCTCATGAAAGTAGCGTGCATAAATGAGTCTTTCAGCAACCTAAAACATGAACAAACTGCCATGTTAAACTTACCATCGCCTTTTGGACTGTTATGAACTTGAAATGACGGAATTACTTTTTAACAAGATGTTAATGTTACATGTGCTGGTGAAGAAGAAAGATGAGAGATTTGTACGGACTGTATACGTTTTGTATTGTTTATGAACCCAAATAAGGCCTAAATGTATGTTTTGGATATTTTTTTTGTGATTGGTGATATTTCAGAGACTGTAAGGCTCTCAATGTGTTCATAAACACTCACTTTATTAGGTACACTTTACTAGTACCGGGTTGGACCCATTTTTGCCTTCAGAACTGCCTTAATCCTTCGTGACATAGATTCAACAAGGTAGTGGAAATATTCCTCAGAGATTTTGCTCCATATTGACATGATAGCATCACACAGTTGCTGCAGATTTGTCAGCTGCACATCCATGATGCGAATCTCCTGTTCCACCACATCTCAAAGGTGCTTTATTGGATTGAGATCTGGTGACTGTGGAGGCGATTTGAGTACAGTGAACTCATTGTCATGTTCAACAACCCGATCTGAGATGATTCACGCTTTATGATGCATCCTGCTGTGAGTAGCCATCAGAAGATGGGTACATTGTGATCATAAAGGGATGGACATGTTCAGCAGCAATACTCGGGTAGGCTGTGGCGTTGACACAATACTCAATTGGTACTAATGGGCTAAGAGTGTGCCAAGAGAATATCCCCCACACTATCACACCAGCACCAGCAGCCTGAACCGTTGATGCAAAGCAGGATGGATTCATGCTTTCATGTTATTGATGACAAATTCCGACCCTACCATCCGAATGTTGCAGTAGAAATCGAAACTCATCAGACCAGGCAACTTTTTTCCAATCTTCTATTGTGCAATTTTGAAGAGTCTGGATATTTTCTCTTTTTCGGACCATTCACTGTAAACCCTAGAGATTGTTGTGCGTGAAAATCCCAGTAGATCAGCAGTTCTGAAATACTCAGACCAGCCCGTCTGGCTCCAGCAGCCGTGCCACATTTAAAGTCACTTAAATCCCCTTTCTTCCTCCTGATGCTCGGTTTGAACTGCAGCAGATCGTCTTGACAATCTCTACATGCCTAAATGCATTGAGTTGCTGCCATGTGATTGGCTGATTAGAAATTAGCCTTAACGAGCAATTGGACAGGTGTACCTAATGAAGTGGCCAGTGAGTGTATGCTTTTATTTATTTTAATATATAGTCGCAGATGTTACAGTAGGCTATTTCGCATTATCATTAATCTGCAGCTATAATCGAATCCTGTTTCTAAAAAGTTTAGTTATTAACATTCAAACACAAGTAGGCCGGTTTATGTATATAAAGCATCTGTTTTGTATATAATGTGTGAACGACCCGTATAGCTCTTTGATATCGGACGAGAATGACATCGGCTGCAATTTTCTGTCGTACACCACACCCATCAAAAGGGTGCCATTTGGCAGTGGAGAGACAAGCCTGATCAAGATGACCCACACTGAACTATACCACCCAGTGGAAACGAGTAAGTGATGATGCTGAAAAATAATTCACATAAATAAATCACATTTAAAGAAAATCCCAATAGAAAAAGTCTTTTAAATATAATTATAATCGCACAATAAAATCCAGTAATACGGTGAATTCTTGCTAACATGAGCTGTCACTTCATACTTTCTTCCCTTTTTCTCTGTCTTTAATGTTGGAATGAAACACGACCTGGACATTTATTAATCAATTCATCACTAAAACGATATTGCTGGTGTGTTTAATGATATGAAGAATGTGAGACTGCATTGCTAAAACTCTCCAGTTCAGTTCGTTACAGTATTTATCTAGCACATTTGACCGGTCAAACTGTTTTAGGATGGGACCGGCCTGCCCTGTACGTCATCTTGGTCCACACTTCACATACCTGATTTAAAATAATAACAATAATAATAATCTCCCTCCCTCACTCACTCACATACAGTAAAGCGTTTCAGAAAGGAGTTCACAGTGGTGTTTTTACTGACGCTTTCCCCCGCGTGACGCCAACCGATTGTCACGGCGCTCAGAAAACATGAGGAAAGAGTCTTGTTGTGCGTAGTCGAACCAGACCCGAGCGGAAGGGGGCGACGGAGCTGTGGGACGTCCCAGACTAACACTTGTGTCACGAGTGGTAGTCTGGACAGAGAGAGAGGAAGATCTCAATATTATTTCAGAAGCCACAGGAGGACAGTGGATAGGTGTAGTGAAAAACAACAACGACAGAAGCTCTTGCGCTGAATTCACCTCTATGTTTCTATTGTTCTAGAAGCAGGCACTGAAGGAAAGAAGGAAGGAAGTAGTTTAAAGTGTCGTCATGCTAAATTCAAGGGCCTTTAGCATGCAACATGAAAGCCGTTCTAACCTTGTAGGAGGTTTTTCTGGGTCGTGAAGCCGTTGTGACTTTCTTCTCCTGGTGAGATGGGAGATCCTAAATGAATCGAGTATAGGAGTCAATGAAAACCTGTAACATGTTTATAAATGAAAGACAGAAGGGATGCATGATGGAGCCTTTTCACAAAACTGTTATGGCACATTTAACGGTCATCAACATCTTAATCCTTGAAGGGCTTTCCATGCCTTTCTATTTCTCCCTTTCTTTATGTGTTCAACACTTTTTTTCCCGTCAATTAATTTTATTTCACATAACTTCATTATAGAGCTGCACAATTAATCGTTAAAAGATCGCAATCTTGATTCGACCCCCTAGATGATCTTAATCCAGCATTTCTACGATTCTGTCAATCATATTTTCAAGTTCAGGAGAAAAGAAAAGGCGGCAGTCTTTTCATTGTTTCACACATGTTGCTCAGTGACACCTCCAAATGATGTTGAATGAGTCACATACTGTATTTATAAGGTATAATTCACCTAAAAATGTCATTTTTGTCTTAACATGATGTTCTCGCGATCGGGAAATCACATGTGACATGAGCTGCTGACCGTGCGCTGTTATCACAGATAGGGCGGGCGCGAACAGAACCTGCTTATGCTGTGAGTAACAAGTAATACAGTTGCAAATAATATTCAGTTTGTGGCACAGAGTGTTCGTTTGGGAGCCGCGCGCTTAATATAAACAAGCACTTAGCAGTCAAAATGAAACCGAAAGTGTGCACTTCATTTAAATGATCATATGGCATTTTAGAGTTTGATTACGACAAGCATTTGATATGTTTTTTCTTTCATAGCGAACCCACAGTTGTGCATGAATATAAATGTTTACAATGTCAGTATAACTATTCTAGCCGATATATTGTTGAATATAATCTGATAATGGCAAACGTCTGATTTTACCAGTGAATAAATTAGTCTAATGTGACAGATTGCAAGCATATATCTCAAACATAATAATTCAACATCAGAATTATTAAAAGTAGAATAGAATTCTTTATAAAAACCAGTAGACCTACACATAATATTATTATCGATGTTGTACCATATGTTTGTTTTTACCATACCTTTATTTTACATCTACAGAATCGTGAGAAAATCGTGATCTTTATTTTAAGCAAAAAAATCGCGGTTCTCATTTTAGCCAGAATCGTGCAGCTCTACTTCATTTGTAAACTAATTAGTTTTGTTTTCTTTGCATATAGGGATTTCTTTGGTTGTTACTTACATTCTGGGCAAATAACCTTTAGAAATATGTTTTCTGACAAAAATGGTGACGTGTTCAATACTTATTTCCCCCACTGTATAACGTTATACTGAAAATAAAAATCCCCTACATCTCGGATAAACAAACAGAGAATACATGTTTATGCCTAAACCATCCCTTTAACTAATAATATATGGCACGCTTAATAATAAATTCATGACAAGTTTAATAAAATGTAAATATTTTAAGAGTTCCCTCTTCAATTCCACCTCTATTCCCCATTCCTCAGACAATAGAGTGGAGGAACTATGACGTCAATTTGTATGTAAAAAAATTTGTATTTCAGTCAAATTGCTTAAATAAGGTCTGTGACTAACACAAACTCAAGATACGTTCACGTTTTGTTCTACGACATAAAACACATCAGTTACAGCAAACTCTTGATTTTTTTTAATGGGTTTTGCTTCTTTAAAAAGACGGTTGCTATCACGTTGCTAAATCGGACTACAGGCAGTGTCGGAGGCATTATACGTTGTTGAGCTGATCTGTTTTGGAGGGCAGCTCGCTTGTGTTGGGCATTTGGATTTGTCTGTTATTTAAGTATTTTCATGAAGAGTATTTTATAGTTTGTAGTGATTTTCTGATCTGGAATTCATACTATGAGTAGATAATTCCTTCACATGTAAAGACCCTCGAGACAGATTCATTTGTTGATCATTTATTTAATTATACGATATTATGGAGATACAGCTCACCAGTGCAGTCTGTCTCTGTCCTGCTCTCAGTAATGCAAACGTAAATAATTGTGTAAAAATACACACATATTAACTGTCATTTTAACCTGATCAAGTGATTTTTCGTTGTTTTTTTTCTCCATCTGAACACATTTTACTCTGTCATAACTGCAATATTCACACTCCTTAAAAGATAAAGCATATGTGACTGTATGGGCTGCTTTTCACTGTACTTCGTGACATAAAAAGGAAAATTGAATGTTCCTCAGTGTCCAAGATGGAACTTGCAGGCATTTAAAGAATTGTCCCTCACACCTCGTTTCTGTCATCTGTTAAGCTAAGCAGACTGTGTGCACGTGAGCGATACACTTATTTAAATATGCCTTATGATAATACTATGTAGTCACATTTATAGTTTTAAAACTTTTCAAGAGTTCACGCTTAGATATTGCTTGACAACTGTAAGCAACTGTTGGCATGCTGTCCCGGGAGAGAACCCTGAGCTCGGAGATAGTTGAGCCCAGGGCTCCCGCCAGGTCCATAGAGCATGTGAGGGGAGTACCCCTTTTCGAGAGCTCCCCTTTTTGTAAAGGAGGAGAAGGGGTGGATGGGAGGTTTCTTCGGAAAACGAAGATAAGGGAGTAATATCTAGCTAGGCTACTTATAGTGAGTTAGGATAGATCTGATTGGCTAACTAATGAGTGTAGATAGGCGGCCAGCTGCAGTCATTTATATCACATGCTCCTCTCGAAATGAGTTTGAAAAACTTCACTTAGAACAACCGTAAAGCAAAATAGATTTTTTTCCACCTAAAATCTATCCAAAATGCACATAGGTCTATGTGTTTTTGCGTATTTATTTGTTTATAATATATAGCGTGGATTATAATATAATATACAGAGAGATTAACTCTTTGTCATGAACCATATTTCTAAAAATAAGCTGGATAAGTTGTCTGTAGTAGGGTGGGGCTGACGTCACGGGCGAGCGTCCTGCAGGCATAGTCCGTTTATAGCAGGGGTCTCAAACTCGCGGCCCGCGGGCCATTTGCGGCCCTCAGTGCAATATTTTGTGGCCCGCGCCGACCGCTGTACACTGACAGAATCAGCGGAGCGGGGAGAGAGAGTGCTCCCCGCTCCGCTGATTCTATCCGTACACAGCGGTCACTGGCATTCCCCGCCCGCCGTGTAAACAAAGGAGCGGGGATGCCGGTGACGTCACCACGCACCCCGCCCTTTTGTTAGACGCTGTGACGGGCGGGAAGTGTGGAGGGGCGTTGTCGCGCGCGTTCTGATCAGCTGTGTTGTCGCGCACGTACTCAAGAGCGGTGTTATCGCGCGCCTACTGAAGGGTGGGACCGAGGGTGTGTCGCGTCGCGGGGGCACTTTTGATCATTTTGGAAGGGCACTTTCTATGCAAAACTAAAAAGGGCATGTGCACTGCACAGGTTGAGCCCTATGTGTGCACGTGCCTGCCCTGCATCTTATATATATTATAGGTAGATACAGACTGGTACAGACAGGAGTAGGGTGGGGGTGTTTTATTTATACACATATACGCCTTTTTTTTAGGTGAGGGAATGGAAGTTTTGAGTGAGTTCCCCCACTTTTTTCCCTAGGACTTCAATAAGTCAAAGTACAGGTCTAGACTTAATGATGATCATCTTCAAGCCATACTGAGGGTCTCAACTGCTTCCACTCTAAAGCCAAATGTGGTTCAGATTTGTGAGAAGAAGCGCTGTCAAGTCTCAGGCAGCAAGAAGTAGGCAAAAGATGCCATGTTCAGAAGAACTGTTCATAATCTTCACTCAATGTTCTATTAATGTTCAGGACACTTCATGTTCAGAAGAAATAATTAAAACTGTTAATAATGACATTTGAGGACTTTTTTTGTGAAATCCCTTATACGGCCCAGCCTCACCCAGACTTTGCCTCCTGCGGCCCCCAGGTAAATTGAGTTTGAGACCCCTGGTTTATAGCCTAATGTTAGCTTTTCAGTTCCTGCGTTTGCATTTAAGATCTAAAAGTGCTTAAAGTTGTATCTTTGTGTGAGGATTATCCAGCTGGACAAAACGTGTAAGTGTAATGAACAGTGTTTGAACACAGAGCTTATTATTTGCAATCTTCGAAAAGCCTATGGGAAAATCCTATAGGGATTTTATCGAGGGAACCAATTTTATGCTAGCAGCCGATTAGCCTACAAGGTGATGTCACAGTTCCTCCACTCTATAAATGATGGATCATATCCTGCTGGTGGCTTTTATTGGCAGCCCTTTTGGTTTATCATCTCAAACAATACTTAAAGTACTAAAGTTTCACATTCATCAGCAAATGTTCCAAAGTTTTCATATCAGTGCAGATCTTACCCCAGCCATTGGTCACCATGTCCCGCTCTACGTCCCGGTTGCAAATCTCATTGGCCAGCCGTTCGAAGTACTCGGGCAGGTCAGCGTATTCATTGCCATACGAGATGACCTTAATTCCCTTGTCCAGCATGTTATCTCGGAGCTTTTTGAACTCGCCCACATCCTCCCGCCTCACCAGCATGAAGTGCTCAAGGTCAGACTTGTGTTTGACCGCTTCGAGAAACAGCGCCTGGAATGTGGTGTCGTCCACCGTCCTCCCACAGCCCAGGAACACAAAAGACTTTGTTTCATAGAGTTTCTGGATCTCCCTCTGCAAAAAAAAAAAAAAAAAGCATTTTATATAGATGCACTCCTCTACAAACTAGGGCTGCATGTTACATCGTTTCAGCATCGATATCGCAATGTGCACAAACACAATAGTCACATTGCAGGATCTGAAATATCAGGTCAGTTTATTCATCCATTGTTTTTCTTTTGTTTGGTTTTTAAGGAAAATGACTGTGAAATACAAGTGTATTTAAAGGTGCAGTATGTAAGTTTGACACCTAGTGGTTGAACTAGGTATTGCACTCCAGTTTCAACACACATCAAGCGCAGGTTGCCAGATTGATGACACCAACAGGAGTGTGCCCGACTATCGAGCCTAAAGGCTGATTTCAGTCCTGTTCTAAATAAAAGCAACGGCACACGACAGAAGGAATATTCTCCATATTAAAAGGAGTCTTTATCCTAACCAACACCTTAAATTTATATTTTAGAGACAGCTTCTATTTCTTGCAGATAAACAACAGCATAAGCTGATAATGATCACCTCGTGTGCTTTATTCAGTGTTAAATGCTAATAATGTGAGTTTGAATGTAATTTTACATGACATTTGTTGCCATACTACTGAAAGCAGCAGCAGATATTTCACCTCAGATCCTGAAAATAAAATAAGCCATCTAAATTTGAACTTTAGAACTGGGACTCAGTGCAGGCCAACACATATCAATGATTCAGCATCTACATTTAATAATGCTAAAGAGGTTTAATATGTAATAAGCAGCCGGCAGCTAGTTCTCTGCAACTCTCACATGGTTGCCCACTGAAGCTAAGCAGGGCTGCGCCCGGTCAGTACCTGGATGGGAGGCCACATGGGAAAGCTAGGTTGCTGCCGGAAGTGGTGTTAGTGAGGCCAGCAGGGGGCACCCAAACTGCAGTCTGTGTGGGTCCTAATGCCCCAGTATAGTGACGGGGACTCTATACTGTTTAGTGAGCGCCATCTTTCGGATAAGACTCATTAAAAATCCCAGGATGTCCTTCGAAAAAGAGTAGAGGTTTAACCCCTGGTTATAACCTAGGGGTATAACCTATATCATAATTGGCTTCATCACTCTGTCTCCTCCCCACCAATCAGCTGGTGTGTGGTCTGGCGCAAAATGGCTGCCGTCGCGTCATACAGGTGGATTCTGCGCACTGGTGGTGGATAAGGAGATTCCACCCATGTGTAAAGCGGTTTGAGTGTCTACAAAAACGCTATATAAATGTAAGAAATTATTATTATTATTATAGTTAGATTACGAACCTTACCATTTCGTTGAAGTGCAGTGAGTGTACTATTCTGTGCCTCTGAATGGCTGTATTTAAATTTCTGTCGTGTTTCGTCTGGTGCAAACAGCCAAATTGCTTAGCACTGAAAATCTCATCACAAAGTGTTGTTAGAACACGGGGTTACAATGTAACCTGCTCACCTAATGCTTACGTTCGTAATGTTTATACTATAATTTCCAATTAATAACCACCTAATGTGGAACTCTGAATCTGCGTCTCATTTCGGAGTCTGCTAAAGTCCACTAGAGGGCGCTTTTTGGTCATGGATGCATACTTTGAGAGCCTTTCTGATGAATGAAATATGCAGTTTTACACCAAGGCAACCCAGTGTGCTAAAATATAACTGGCTAAACTGGCATTAGGCAGGTTAAAAGAACCAAAACAAAAACAGAAGTTCTGGCACATACAGCCCATTTTCAAAGCAGAATATCTGACTTCAGCATTGTTTAAATGTTCACTTAGCATGTTTCTTAAATATCTGCAAACATATTATGGTATTTTTATGCTTTAGAAGAGTCATAAACTTACATACAGCACCTTTAACCTTAATAGAGTGGACATTTTTATTTGCTTGTTTGCTTGGTTTTTAAGGCCTATGACTTTGAGATTTTAAGTGTATTTAAATCACTTAACATGAATTTATAACATTTGAACTATTATCAAATATAAATTGTGGATATTTTTATACAATAAAGTCTATGCAGTGTTATTTATTTACATTTGATTCTTTAATTTCTGTCCCTGAATATAGTTAGACCCTCCAGATTCATTTATGCAGGTTATCTTTCCTACGAAATCATCCCAATCAATATAAAATTATGAATTATTTCCAAATTGAGCTTTTTAAGTCAACTGGTGAAATGATTCATGTTCCAATATACAGCTGAAGTCAAAATTATTAGCCCCCTGTATATTCTTTCCCCAATTTCTGTTAAAGAAGAAGAAACGCATTTCTAAACATGATACTTTAAATAACTCATTTCTAACAACTGATTTATTTTATCTTTGCCATGATGACAGCACATCTTGTTTAATAAGATATTTTTCAAGACAATAGTATTCAGCTTTAAGTGCAACTTAAATGCTTAACTAGGTTAATTAGGCAAGTAAGGGTAATTAGGCAAGTCATTGTGTAACAATGGTTTGTTCTGTAGACAAATATTGCTAAAATATTGACCTTAAAATGATTTTAATAAGTTTAAAAACTGCTTTTATTTAAGCCGAAATAAAACAAATAGGATTTCTCCGGAAGAAAAAATATTATTAAAAATACTGTGAAAAATTCCTTCCTCTGTTCAACATCATTTGGAAAATATTTGGGGGGGAAATTGAGGGTGAATAATTGTAAACTGAACACTATTTATCACAGAAAAACAAAGCATCGCAATGTCAGTTTCTTCCAATATCGTGCAGCCCTACTACAAACCCTACCAATCAGCTATGAGTTTTTTGCAAATCAAGTTACTTGCATCATTGCGTCAAAACAAAATAATGCAATTTTCCAGTATATCATACAGCACCAGTCCTCCAACCCAGTGAATAGTCAAACCTCCAGAGGTGTGACTTTACGTTCTCCATCAACTCACCATGACTTCTGTGTTCCTCAGAACGTTCTGGTAGCCAGCAGGATGCAGTACGATACCACTAGGGTTGGTGTAGACGCCGTGAATATGGAGTACACTCAGTCTTCTTTTCTCCTGAGCCCATTCCAGAACCTACACACACACACACAAACACAGCTATTTTATACTCCACTGCTCCCAATCCGGTCTCCGCCAGGAGCGTCCGGCTGCTTTTAATGACTGCGGCTTCTAATCAAGAGGCATTTGATGGAAAAGGTGCATAAACACCCTGCCTAAAGGCCACGCTATGGAAAAAGCACACACGGCCTGATGAATAAAGACGCAGGGAACTGAACATGCAGTCACTTGTGCTTCCGAGGGCCCTTCAGGTGAGCTGCTGTGGGGTTTACATGCGCTAATGCACTACATGACGCTTGTCCAGGACCATAAGGCTGATTTTATGGCTAAAAGCTGAAGCTTCCAGTGCTTTGTGCTGAGGGAAATTTATGGCCGAAGGCAAACAGAGATGAACCCAGTGCCCTGATCAACAGACACTGACTACGTTTGCATAGACATCAGGAGTCTTAATTATTTGCCTTAATCTGATTAAGACAATAATATGATCAAGGGTTTTACATGAGTTGCTTTTTGAATGTTCCTTTCATGTTCCTGTTTAAATGTTAAAAGCTCATAGATTTATTATTACGTCATCATTCAATGCTAGTTTCCTCTGGCGTTTCAGGCAAAAACAGTTTGATATTGAGCATTTCGTTTTTAATTTTGCAACAAGTTTAACTACAGATTAAACTATAATTAGGGGTGTGACGATTATGGTTATTACCGTCATCATCACCTATTTTTAGTTTATTATTTATTTTTTATTTTTTTACTTGTAGGATTGTACAGAAAAACAGAATAAACTAAAAAAAAATTTAAAGGACTTAAAATAAAACTTAATTTTTTTTTTTATTTAACAAGTTTACATGACGAAATGTAAAATTTTGCTACAAGTTTAGATTGAGAAACGAAAACACTGCCTGAATCTTTTTAAATAAGGGGCATAGTTGTCTTTGTTTCGAAATGAGTAAATTTTTTCCTCCATCAAATAAATATAGAATGCCTACTAAGTTAAATCAATCTGTCCACAGAAAATAAGCTTTTTAAATGCACCGCTGTAATTGCTATATCACAAACCTCTGTCAACATTTTTGATACAAGTCACTACTTTAAAGATTATGACTTGAGAATCAGATTTTACCTAAGCGCTGTACTTTCATTTTCTCCATCTCACTTGCGGTGAGTTCAGGTGACGGAGTGTTTTGAATTAGTTAAACTATCCTCAGTTTAGTGTATAGTGTCAAACTGGAACAGAAGTGTCAGTATAGACTTATTCAAAACAGGTATCAGAGATAGTCTGGTCAAATGTAGGTTTTCTTAAGAGAATTGAACAGAAGCAGCCTGTTGACGAGAGACATCAAATGATGAGCCACAGTGACGTAAGACAACAAATCATACATAATTTGACTTATTTAAAGCAGGCTTTAGAAAACTATAGCATATAATAATTTTGTATAAATAAGTTTATAAAAATGTGGCCAACTATATATTACAGAGGTTTGTGTAGCAACAATTACAGTGGAGCATTAATTAAATCCTCGATTTTTGTCAGGAGAAAAATATTTTTTGAACGAATTTCGTTTGGTATAATTTATATTTTATTTATCATAATTTTAATTTATTTTTGTTGATCACTTATCTAAATAATAAACAAGAATAATGAATAACATTTGTGGTGAGGTGCAGTGTCCTAGGGTTTGCTGCAGCCAAAACACAAACTGGTTTGTTAAATTAAATGATAAGTAGAATAAAAGTGAAACATTTAGTTTCGAATAATGTATTACTGTTAACTGTATGATTAAAAATAAAAGAGTAGCCTATTAAACTGTTGTCACGGTGTATGACAACACTGATCTGGTCAGTTTTGCTTTTGTTTAATCAAATCGTTTGAACATTTTAATATTTTAGACAAAGTAGTTAAAAGATTGCATAATATGTACTCTTAATATACTCATAATTAAACATCATGTAGCCTGCTTTTAGAATAACTACCTGACTCGCGTATTAAGGGCTGCACAAGCCCATAACAGGGTTTTATGCATCCCCAATATCAAGAGAGTGACTCTGGAAGGTAACATAATTGCACACACTTGATTACTACTTTAATGTGTGAATGTATTATTGAATGTATTATCCTTTAAATGTGCATGCTTAATCAGGTCATTAATAAGGTCTATCGATTGAAAGGGTTTTAGACAATTAATTGAGCATATATAGATATGCGGTTAACCGACATACTGCTTGATTTCTTGCTTCATCACCGCGGTAACAAAAAATCTGTTACCGTCACAGCCCTAACCATAATGCTTATTAACTTACTCGAAGTGCATTTTAGCACAAAAGCTGGTACCTTCTTCTCATCTGTGAGATCCAGAGACTCCAGCTTGGTTCCTTGGTGGGCGGCGTAGATCTCTAACAGGTTGTCAAAGTTGGTGGTGAGCACCAGCGCACCGCTCTCCATCAGCTGCAGCACCGAGCGGAGGAGATGCTTCCCGGCGTTCTCCATCTTACACTCCAGGTCATCAAACACCTCGTACAGGCAGTCTTTAAAAAAGGTGGAGCGTACATTTCCTGTCCGCTACAGATAGGGAAAAAAATAAATAAATCGGAGATATCTGAATAAACATATCACCTTCAGGAGAATTTACTGTAAGTAGCTCTTCTGTGAGTGTAAGGCAACGTTACATTAGCAAACCAAAGCAGATCAAACCAAATCAGATACTTCATTCGTAGATTTACTGTAAATTGTAGGATATTAATATTAGCTTGAGTTTGACATATTTCAAGTGACACTCTTCTCATTTTGATTAGCTAAAATGACTGATTACTTATGTTGTTTTACTGTAAAAATATACAAGACAATCATTCAGTGGGGGAAATAAGTATTGAACACGTCACCATTTTTCTCAGAAACAGATTTTTAAAGGTGCTGTTAACTTAAATTTTTAACCAGATGGTGGTAACAATCAAAGAAATACATATTTGAAAAGAAAATAAATCTAATTATTTTACAAAGCTATGTGCAATAAAATGAAAAGACACAAGACAAAAGTATTGAACACATGAAGAAAGGGAGGTGTAAAAAGGCATGGAAAGCCCAGACAGCAGCTGAAATCTCTCAGTAGTTCTTCAGCAAACATCTGCACTTCGTCATTGTAAATGAATTTTAGCTGCTTCAGTCCAGCATCTACAGGGTGGGCCATTGATATGGATGCACCTTAATAAAATGGGAATGGTTGGTGATATTAACGTTCTGTTTGTGGTACATTAGTATATGTGAGGGGGGCTGTAAATAACTTATGAAAGAATAAAGTTACGTTAAAACCATTCATAAAGCACACCATTGTTTTTCTTGAGAAATTCCTATCAAATTTGACGTGTCAAATGACCCTCTTCCTCAACTATGGTCACCACCCATCTTCAAAAGTTTGCTCCCTCACATATACTAATGTGCCACAAACAGGACGCTAATATCACCAACCATTCCCATTTTATTAAGGTGTATCCATATAAATGACCCACCCTGTACATTAGCAAGATGATGAATATGAAACAGGGTGGACATTTAAAAACATTTAACAATTTAAAACATTTAAAAGCCGATTCACCCTGCTTTGACTGAACTCTTGGAACTTCTAGTTTATTTGATCCTAATGATCTGAGTGATCTGTTAGGTTTGTATTCAGTGAGCATATCTGTGATGTATTTAGGTCCTAGGCCATTTAGTGATTTATAGACCAGTAATAATACTTTAAAATCTATTCTGAATGTAACTGGCAGCCAGTGTAAAGACCTGAGTACAGGTGTGATGTGCTCTGATTTTCTGGTTCTGGTCAGAATTCTGGCTGCAGCGTTCTGGATGAGCTGCAACTGTCTGACTGTCTTTTTAGGAAGTCCAGTGAGGAGTCCATTACAGTAATCCACCCTGCTGCTGATAAAAGCATGAACAAGTTTTTCTAAATCTTCACTAGAAACAAAGCATCTGATTCTTGCAATGTTTTTGAGATGATAGTATGCTGATTTACTGACTGCTTTGACATGACTGTTGAAACTTAGATCTGACTCCAGAGTCACACCAAGATTCTTGACCTTATTTTTTGTCGTTTGACCTTTAGTACCAAGGTACGCATTTACCTTGAGAACCTCATCTTTGTTTCCAAACACAATAATTTCAGTTTTCTCTTTGTTTAACTGAAGAATTTCTCTTTGTTTAACTGAAGGTTCGTTCCAGGGTGAGCCAAGGCCAGTCGCGTTTCCACTGTGACTTCCGGGGCCTAATCGGGCCAAAGCGAGGCTTTCTTGGGGCCAGCGGCTGGCCTTTTTCGGCTCGCCGAATACCTTGGGCCAAAGAGGGCCAACTGGGGCTTCGGGGCGGAGTGAAAGGAGAGGCGGACACAGTTTTCTGATCGCACACGAGTACATGCGCCAAACTAATAAATAAATAAGGGAAAGAAAACATCTAGCCTTATAGGCTGGGATCTTTTTGCGTATGATCACTCTTATGTTTCCCTTTTAAATGTAAGGCTGTTGCATAAAATAATAAAGTTTTCATTTATAAGTGACTTTCGAAAGGATCCTTGCTGCGTCCTCCTTGATGTTTCAAGAGCACAATATTAAAGACGCAGCAGACAGTAGAATGGCCCAGCCAATCACCTGACACGAATCCAATAGAGAAGACAATAAATAGACAAGACCCACAGAACCATCAAGAAAATCTCACAGCTGAGCATCGCATGTGACTTCATTCTCAACATGAGAGGCATCTTTAAGCCGCCATCACCAAAAAGTTTTGGTTTAGTTTTTCATTTTTTATTATTATTATTATTTATCAATCAGCATATTTTTGCTTACCACAACAAACTAAACATAATCAGCAATAACTAGACACAATGCATCTATGGCTTCTCTACTGAGTAACAGTATCCTGGAGGAACTGATTTCCTGTTTTGATGGCACTCGGCCAAGCAAACTTCAACCCTCATAATAGTGATCTCAGAAGAAATACAAGTACTTCAGGCAAAACATTTAGCGTATACATGTCGTTAATCAAGTGCAGTTGATACTCGGAGCACAATTTGAGTTTAGAAACTAGAAAGTACAAGACAGATTGAGAAGAGAGTCTTGAGAATAGAGCAGCGCTGACAGCAGTGCCCTTGCCCTGGTCAAACTCAATCTCATTACACTGAGCTGAAGTCATTCTCTGAGCCTGGCAGAGGCACATGGAAAACTGGAGAGACAGAGAGAGAGAGAGAGAGAGAGAGAGAAAGAGAGAGCTCCTATGAATAGCCTGCAGAATCCACTTTCTCACGAAGCCAATTATCATGTCCACACCTGATGTGAACTAATTCCTCAAATCTCAGGACCTGTTTACACCTGCGCTGCGTCCGAAATCGCATGCTTCCATACCATATAGCACTGTTTCCCAACCCTGTTCCTGAAGGCACACCAACAGTACACATTTACATAAATGCAAAACAGTATGCATGCCGAGTAGCATGTCTGAATTGAAAAACAGTATGCGAGAAGTACCTGTGACCTACTTCTTCCGGTGAGATTCTGAAGTGTGCATCCGTTAGATGCTACGCTATGTCATGATGCCATGCGAGAGAATTCATAAATGGGGATTCCGCTGTCCAGCATAGTTTAGCTCCAATTTGCTTCAACACACCTGCCTGGAAGATTCTAGAATACCTAGAAAGAGCTTTATTAGCTGGTTCAGGTGTGTTTAATTGGGGTTGGAACTAAATTATGTTGGACACCGGCCTTCCAGGACTGAGTTTGGGCACCCCTGATATAGAATGTAGTTTTCTAATGGTCGTGTAGTATTCACATTCAAATCTAGTACCTACTGAGTAGTAGGCGATTTCGGGCGCAGCTCTGGTATCAATTAGAAACATGTGTATACAAGTGTAAATGGGGTCTACAATGTTGGCCTGTTGCACAAATGAAAGTGATGAAACTTTTGGTTTTGCACGTTTCGGATTGACAAATCCTATTGCCGAGACATACCAAGCTGATGCCAAACATATAGAGCCATCGAAACCCAACTGAGTTGTTGCCTCGTGTCAGGTAAGCAACATCTTTAATTAAGGGGAGATCTCCTCCACTTTATCATACTTGAAGGGGAAATGTGCTTTATGCAATAGCAAAGTTATATAAAGCCTGAAGCATCAGAATCTGTACTTGGTATCGGCCGATCTCCATGACAAGGAAATGAAACTCGCCATCGGCTGCAAAAATGCTGAATGGAGCATCCCTATACATTACCGTGCATGTCATGCTCATCACATGATGTCTTGCTGATAAATATAAAGAGAAACTGCACATGGGAATCTTGTGAAAACTAGATGACAATATTGTCCATGTAAAAAGCGGGCGAATTTGACAGGATGACAAAACCAGCATATAAAAATAAGTAAGTTCATTCTTACTAAATCATTAATTTTCCTTCGACTTAGTCCCTTATTTATTAGGAGTTGCCATAGCGGAATGAACAATTCAACTATTCCAGCATGTTTTACGTAGCGGATGCCCTTCCAGACCCAACCCAGTACTGGGAAACACCCATACGCACATTCAAGCTTTCACACCTACACTTTTGTTTCGGAACCTGTCTCGTTTGCCCAGTTAGCGTGGCTCGTTTGGCAAATGTGAAACCACTGATCGCTCTCGGATCCACGCCAAATCAATCGCTCCGAGATCGCTTGAATGAGGTGGTTTCGGCTCGATTGAAACAAACTCTGTAGCGGATCGATTGCATTGAGAAAGCGATACGATCCGAGCGCGGTTATATCACTGTGTTTTATGGATCGCAAGTCTCCAGATGCCCGCAAACGAGTGATGATCTCCTGGTAATCTCGCGTCTCCCTCCCGGTCCTCAAATAGGCTAGGTCACGCACCCTTCTCACCCCTCCCCACCGCATCTCTCCTCACTCTTTAGACACGTCGCGCGCACCTTGTCGAACACCACCAAACCACCAACCCTCCTGACAGCTAAGCGGGACTCTGCCAAATAAACCCTGACACTGACCAATGTGAGGAGGGTTTACTCGCACGTGACTTGTTTTCGCTCTTTTTGTCCGATTAGAAACTTTTGCAGTGTGAAAGCGAACCACTCCAAGAGCAAAGAGCAACAATGTAACAATTGTAATCTCTGTTTCGGAACAACTGAATTGATTCACAGGTGTGAAAGCACCCTTAGTCCCTTATTTATCAGGAGTTCCCATAGCGGAATGAACAATTCAACTATTTCAGCATGTTTTACGTAGCAGATGCTCTTCCAGACTCAACCCAGTACTGGGAAACACCCATACACATACATTAAAGCACACACTCGTACACTACAGCCTATTTTGTTTACCCAATTCACCAACAGAGCATGTCATTGGACTGTGGAGGAAACCGGAGCACCCGGAGGAAACACGGGGAGAACAAGCAAACTCCACACAGAAATGCCAACTGGCCCAGCTGAGACTCGAACCAGTGACCTTCTTGCTAATGCTAACAATTGAGCCACCATGCCGCCCACCATTCTTACTTATTCTGCATTTATTTTGCTGTCTGTTTTTGCCAATGGCTCATTGACAGTTCAAAGTAAGGGTAGTACTAGATTTCATTTTTGAGCTGTAAAAGAGTACAGTGTGTTCAATGGATTTTTCTGTTGATGCAAACACACACACAGCAGGCATAAAACTATTCAACTGCTTTAAAAACTGCATGTGCTGTGCTTTAGGGCCTTTATATAAATCATTACTGCAAATATATCCCTCCCATGTTTATTTTCCCCTGCATAATTCAATATGCTGTCTACTCTAACTGAAGTCTATTGATTTCTTTTATTCTCTGAAACCCTGATTTGGGTAAAATCACTCGTTCGTGCTTATCAGCATTCAGCAAACTCAATAGTTTGAATCAAAAAAGAAGTCGAAAGTCTCAACCATGACTTACACATTCATGTCCAAACATGTCAAAGGTGGAAACACGTACATTTATTTCTCCAGAATTCTCCACCTTCCAGTGAACATTAAAAAGAATGTGTTGTTAAAACATCATATCACTTGTAAGCTGTATGGACTAGCGTTTTGCATGTTGTTTTTGGAGGTGGGAATCTTGCATGCACATTCAGATAAGCCTCAATATGGGTCATTTTATCACTCACAAGAGACTCAAAACCCGCACAAGTAGGTTAAACCTTTAAAAAAAAAAAAAGACCTGTGGAGACTTGAAGCCTTTCCGCCAGGCTACTAACAATAACAAACTAACCGTGCTTGGAAATTCACAGGAACGGAGGCTGATGTTTTCCTAGGAGAGCTGTTTTGTTGATGTAAATTGTTCAGCTATGACTATTGGAGGCAGTGAGACACCAGCATTGATGCTGAAATTCATTACCTAACTCCCTTTCACATGCCTAAAGCCGTCTAAATCCTCTAGCAAAACTGGTGGGGTTTGGATGCAGATGATACGAGGGATTGACAATGAAAAACAGGGATAAACCTCGGCGCGCTGTTTTGACGGGCGAGACAAACAACAACACAGGTGGTGCATGACTCTGTGCCTCATTCTGGGTGGAGGGAACAGTACAGACCAATGATGAACAAGTTGTTTATCAGGGCACAATGATAAGGATGTTTTTTTCTGATTCGTCCATGCTTGGCCATCATTTTTACAGACCTTACCTCTACAAATAAGGCATTTTAAGCAAAATAGCCGTGTATAAAATTGATTTAATGTTACATGTTGCGGCATGGTGGCTCAGTGGTTAGCACTGTTGCCACACTGCAACAAGGTCACTGGTTTGAGTCCCAGCTGGGCCTGTTGGCATTTCTTTTCATTTCTTTTCTTTTCTTGCATTTCTTTTCTTGGAGTTTGCATGTTCTCCCTGTGTTTCATTCAGATGTTGCGGTTTCCCCCATGTCCAAAGACATGCAGTATCGGTGAATTGAATAAACTAAATTGGCTTTAGTGTATGAGAGCATGAAAGTGAAACCATGCTGAACTATTACAGCTTGTTAGGAACATTGACTTAACTGCAGTCTTGGTTTATCTGTTATATCTTTATAATAGCTTTACATAATGCATAATTCTAGCCAATGGTTATGTATGAGAAAGTCTTACCTCTGATTTATATTTGGTGAGGATGTCTGACGATGTCACCATTCAAAATTAAAGTTTCTAATCTATATATTTTTTATAAATTAAAGTGCACCTTTTCACTTATAATGTCTTATTTCTCATCGTCATAAATTAAAATAATGAGGTGTGACAGTTGAGCGGGAAAAAAATAAACCCTGCAACTCTGACCAACGTGAGAAGATTTTCCTCTCACGTGACTTGTTTTAACTATTTTAGTCTGTTTAGAAACTTTGCCGTGTGAAAGCGAACCACACTAAGAACAGTGTAACAATTTAAATCCCTGTTTGGGAACAAAGCAATCGATCTACAGGTGTGAAAGCACCCTAATATTCGCTTTGAATTTACTCTAATTGAAGTTACTCTACCAAATGGGAGCATACTAATGTACCATACATATATACATTAGATGTCGCCAACCCTGTTGTTGTCTATTGGAAGGAATGCGTCAATAGAGCCGCCATTTTGGAACAGGGTAGCGCTCCTTTGAAATGAATGCAGGACCAAGCTGGAGTGGAGGACTGTGGCCATCCAGACCCAGAGATATACACATATATCTATGATCAGGAGTTTTCCTGGATGTTAGTATGCACTTTTTTTTTTAAATTACGAAAATTATAATTTTACATCACTTTTCTAGATTGATGGATCAGTGATCGCACTGGCATTTCTGACAAAAAGCTTGTGTTTGTGTGTATGGAAATGTACTTTCCACCCTCCCAGTTAAATTTGATATAATCATGTCCTGAAGCACACCTCCTCTCCTGCTGTCACTTCTCATACTGACGGAGCGAGCGATTCGTTTGTGAATGAATCTCCGTTATGAATGACTCCTTCACTGGCCGACAGTAATACAAGTTTCTGGCAGCACAGCATCTCGTTGTCATATTTCTTTTACATTGTTTGCTGATTTTATTCAACAAAACAAGCATAAGCCGAGTATTTAGTGCGAGTTGGAGCTGCTTTGCCGTATGGTGAATGCAGTGACTGATTGTGATCATCAATAATAGGGCACAAAGCACAAAAGTTCATAAAATACAAAAACGTAAAAAATTTAATCTTACCTATGTAATGTTCTGCCTTTGTGCTTTGTTTTCTTTGTTTGCTCGTTACTACACCCGTAGACAGCGCTAAAGTCCCGCATCTTCACGTAATAACACTGTTTTGACTAGTGCGGTTGAATGACATTTGTCCTGGGAGCACTGTACCAATGTGGCGGCGCTATTGACACATGCTCAGGGTTCCTATGCGATATCTAGTGTATATATCTATGCTAATGTACCATCAACATTTCAAACCATAATAAAAGAGTTTGATTTTCTAGGAAGAAAAGAAAAAACAAATCTTACAGGTGAAAGTTTCTGAATAAGGTCATGCGCAACGTGCACCAGGTTCTTGTCCTCTTGCAGACTTTTCTGGAAGCGCCGGCTCTCTTCCTCCTCAAGCAGATCAAAATCATTGGCAGCATCTAGCAGCGCCTGGATCAGACCTTTCCATGAGCGCAGCGCTGGCACCTGAGGAGCTACGGCTGAACTCACACCTGTGCCGATCACCAAAACCAGCTCAGGAGCTCGCTTGGTCTTCAGGCTGGGCAACAACTTCCTACGGACGGCAGAGTGGGAGGAAATGTAATCAGGTCAGAGGAAAAATGCATATGAATGGAAGTACAGAGCTCTGTGCAAAAACATGATTTAACCTGACTTCAAAAATAGAATCCGAAACCAGGTGTTGTTGTTTTTTTGTTTTTTGTGGACAATCAAATACATTTAAAGGCAAAAGACAATTAATACATTTAAAGACATTAAATACAGTGAAAGTCAGAATTATTAGCCCTCCTGAATTATTAGCACCCCTGTAAATTAATGTTTAAGGGAAAGCAGATTTTTCCAACACATTTCTGAACATAATCGTTTTAATAACTCATTTATAATAACTGATTTCTTTTATCTTTGCCATGATGATAGTAAATAATATTGGACTAGATATTTTTCAAGATACTAGTATTCAGCTTAAAGTGAAATTTAAAGGCTTGACTAGGTTAATTAGGCAAGTCATTGTATAATTATGGATTGCTCTGTAGACTATCGAAAAAATATATAGCTTAAGGGGGCTAATAACTTTGACCTTAAAATTGTTTAATAAATTAAGAACTGCTCTTATTCTAGCCATAAAAAAACTAATAAGACTTTTTCCAGAAGAAAAACTTATTATCAGACCTACTGTTAAAAACGCTTGCTCTGGTAAACATAAACTGGAAAATATTTGAAAAAGCAAAACAAATTGTCAGGAGGGAGAATAATTTTGACTTCAACTGAATATTTAAAGGCAAAAGATTGTTTTTTAGTGAAATATCCATAAACCACTAGAACAGTGTCATATATTTTGCTGACTTATGAACTTACGATGTTTCTAAGTGAGTGATAAGTGAGAAATAAGCAATTTTAACTTGTGACGTGGACCATGTCTTCTAATTTCAAGAGTTCACACTTAGCTGATGATTGATTATAAAGTGTGTTTGTCATGCTCTCCCAGCAGAGAGCCCTGAGCTCATGAGATTCTCGAGCCTGGGGCTCCCTCCCATTTGCAGGGTGAAAGGGGAGTTTGAGATAGGTAGGTCTCGAGAACTCCCCCTTTATTTAGGCTAATGACAAATTAGAGATTGCTATGTAGAGATATACTGCTGGATAAGAGCTCGAATAGAGTGCAAATTTAGATTGGTCATTTTACCTATTATGCATTTCTTAGGACTGTGGGAGGAAACCGGAGAAGCCGGGGAAAACCCACGTGAGCACGGGAAAGACATGTAAACTCCACACAGAAACTGTGACTGGCCTGTTAAGGACTTGAAGTGATGTTCTTGCTGTGGGGCAACAGTGCTATTTACTGAGGGAATAGAGGAGGAGTAGGACAGAGGGGTGGAGTAGGGGTGGAACGGGGGATTCTTCAAGATGAAGATAACTGTAGTAAGAAACTGGTTATTTATAGTGAGTTAGGAATAATCTGATTGGTAAATCATTCGTTTTCTATTGCGGGACCAGCCGTGATCAATCATAAGCACGTGCTCCTCTTGAAATTAGTTTATGAATAAACTTCACTTAATCATACACCGTTGATTTTTTATTTGATTTTATAGAAAACAGGAAAAAATACTGATAAGTTTTGAATTCTTTAGCCCATCATGAAAATGATTTCAATAGGAAATATGGACTTAAAATCATATCACAATATTTTATGGTATTTACTGTGATAACAGTATTAATGACGATAATTCACATGTAAGATACAGAGACTCAGAGATACTCAGAGACCAAAAAAAAGCCCTGTATCTTATTTTTATTTTTAAATTTTACAAAAAAAAAAAAAAGGTAAACTCTTGCATTCATACTGGATGTTAGAGGACACTCTTGCGCACAAACTCCACATTTATGTTACTGAAGAAAGGAAAAGACATCAGCTACCACTGCAGGATAGCAAGTAGAATAAAAATGATAGAAATGGACAAATTTATCAAAAAATAAACAGACGCCTGTAATGATAAATGGATTATTTGTCTTCTTAAAACCTTCTTGGCTATTTTATAAGCATGAAGTACATTTATAATGAAATGCTAATCAGCCTAGCCTTTAATATCGTATTGAATATTATGAAAAATCATGATTTCTTCCTCATTCTGTAGATGCCTGGTCACAAAATTGCTATTTCGAAAACATTTGACTGATGGTATGAAGAGAATTTAGAGTCAAAGTATGTCAGTAAATCTCTTTTTGCAAAATGTTATAACACACAAAACTATCACATGTGTACTATTGTAATAACAATTAATTGCACATGCTGATTTTAGATTTTTATAGATCTTTTTTAATGAATTTTGTGGAATTTTTCCAGTATACTGTAAATGATTAGACATCGTTTATCCCTAGACAAACTATGCCTTTGTTTGTTGTGAATACACGCCCTCTAGTGGCAAAAATTACATATTGTGCCTTTAAAACCCCTGGTTATTTAAAGTCAATATTAGTCAGCACAACCCAAGATTTCTCCTTATCTTATCGGAAAACGCATGTTGTAGGTTATATTTTGGTTTTTTTATTCCATGTATATTTTATTTTTAAGCCTCATAATGTTTCATCAAAATGTCATAAGATCAAACAACATACTGAAATGCATTACCTAACTCCCTTTCACATACCTAAAGCTGTCTAAATCCTCTAGCAAAACTGGTGGTGATTAAGCCACAACTCCCATGATTCAACTCAGCAGTCGCTGCATCATCAAACTATGCCTTTGTTTGCTGTGAACACACGCCCTCTAGTGGCAAAAATTACATACCTTGGTTATTTAAAAGTAAACATTAGTTAGCACAGACTAATAATTCTCCCTATTTGAAAACGCATGTTGTAGATTATATTCTGGATGTTTATTCCAAGTATATTTTATTTTTAAGCCTTATAATTTGTCATCAAAATGTCATAAGATCAAACGACAGACTGAAAATCATTACCTAACTTCCTTTCAAATACCTAAAGCTGTCTAAATCCTCTAGCAAAACTGGTGGGGTTCAGACCACAACTCGCATGATTGCGCACTCAGCAGTTGCTGCATCATCAAACTATGCCTTTGTTCGTTGTGAACACACGCCCTCTAGTGGCAAAAATTACATACCTTGGGTATTTAAAAGTAAATATTAGTCAGCACAGAATAATAATTCTCCGTATCTGAAAATGAATGTTGTAGATTATATTCTGGATGTTTATTCCATGTATATTTTATTTTTAAGGCTCATAGTTTCTCATCAAAATGTCATAAGATCAAACGACAGACTAAAAATCATTACCTAACTCCCTTTCACATACCTAAAGCAGTCTAAATCCTCTAGCAAAACTGGTGGGGTAAACTCCCGCAACTCCCAAAATTCCACACTCGCCAGCATCATCAAACTATGCCTTTGTTTGTTGTGAACACACGCCCTCTAGTGGCAAAAATTACATACCCTGGTTATTATATTCTGGATGTTTATTCCATGTATATTTTATTTTTAAGCCTCATAATGTTTCATCAAAATGTCATAAGATCAAACGACAGACTGAAAATCATTACCTAACTTCCTTTCACATACCTAAAGCTGTCTAAATCCTCTAGCAAAACTGGTGGGGTTCAGACCACAACTCCCATGATTGCGCACTCAGCAGTTGCTGCATCATCAAACTATGCCTTTGTTTGTTGTGAACACACGCCCTCTAGTGGCAAAAATTACATACCTTGGGTATTTAAAAGTAAATATTAGTCAGCACAGACTAATAATTCTCCGTATCTGAAAATGCATGTTGTAGATTATATTCTGGAGGTTTATTCCATGTATATTTTATTTTTAAGGCTCATAGTTTTTTCATCAAAATGTCATAAGATCAAACGACAGACTAAAAATCATTACCTAACTCCCTTTCACATACCTAAAGCAGTCTAAATCCTCTAGCAAAACTGGTGGGGTAAAAACCGCAACTCCCAAGATTCCACACATCAAACTATGCCTTTGTTTGTTGTGAACAAACACCCTCTAATGACAAAAATTACATACCCTGGTTATTTAGAAGTAAATATTAGTCAGCACAAACTATAAATTCACCTTATCTTATCTGCAAATTCATGTTGTAAATTATATTCTGGATGTTTATTTCATCTATATTTTATTCTGGCTTTTTTTTAAGCCTCATGTTTCATGTCATAAAATCAGATTACAGATTTTCCCTTCTCTTTCGTCCATTCATTGTATTCTAATGTGTTTAAATGGGAATTAAAACTAGCTTCTCAGCCCTTTCAAAATAACAACATTGTCAGTTCTGTCTCATGCAATCCTTTAAGTTGACAGAAATATTGATCAACTGATATTCTTCAAAGAATAAGAGCATAACTTCCTAGTGAAAGCACCGTCAAGGGAAAGTACATGTCGTTGAAAACTCATTTGTCAGAAGAACAGGTCAGAAAACAGGAGCTGACTGCAATGAAGAATATTTGGCTCAGCTTGGGAATGTGCTGGCAGCGAAGCAAGACACGAACATCTGTTGTTTTCATACCTGGCCTTCTTAGCCATTGTGTCTCCATCCTCGGAGTCAGGGGAAGGACGCTTCTCTGTCTTCACGGTGACAACAGAGGCCATTCGACTCCTAAAAGAGCAAATATCCAGAAATACAATTAATTTATAAAGCAGCAAATATGATAGTCAGACAGATAATGTGGCTTTATTACATAATTCCAATGTATAAACTAGGGGAATTTAAGATTAGTATTGTTAGAAGGAATTCATTAGCCTAACATCAAGCTTAATAAAACCTAATTGTTTACAGTGAAAGAGATTTGTTTTACTTAAGGCCGGAGGAACAGGTTTCTGAGCATTTACATCATCATGATGAGAGAAAGACAACTGAAGATGATGCTGCAGGGCTTTTGTTGTGCACACTTGCCTCTTTTGACATCTTTTAGTCAAAACAGTTCTGATTTTTTTCTTTGTTTCCCTTTCAAACTCTAGTCAGACATAATGGAGTGCACTTTAAGGACTTAGAAAAATCAATCACAACATACAACAACAAACTGGCCATAAAGCCAAGACAGCCACTTTAAGCTAACAAGCTAACAGGTTAGCTACATGTGATTTTTAGCGCCTAAATTAATCGAATTACTATGTAATAACTTAATTAAAAACTAACATTGCGAGTACCATACACGTAATTACAATGTTATTTCAATAATATCAATGTTATTGTTATTTTAAGCGGGAAGGTTAACGTTAAGTTGAACTCTTCAATCACCTGTTGCTTTTGTTCCATATGTGACACAGTTCGGCTTTAGCATTCAGGCTAACATTACACTATTGTCTACAAGGATGTAATGTAATATCGAAATTTAAACAACAACAGAAAAAACTAGTAATGTTATATGCATTTCGTTATATCGGCATTCAAACAGGAATGGCGAGATAACGGATGGGAAAGCGGAGGTTTATCAATCCGCTAATGTAACAGTACATCAAATGTGAGTGAAATAAAATAAATAAAAGTAATGTACATAAATTAGACATTGTTTTTAAAAGCACCAAAATCCACTTACCCAGATGAACCGAGGAAATGAAGATCCGAGTGCTTTGTTATATAATTCAAAGCGTTATCAATGATAAAGCAGAGCAACAAAGGACAAACTTCATCAAACACGCGTTTAGTGGTTTGATCTTAATGCCAGTATGGTATCAGTACCAGTCAGTGTCCAATAAGAAACTATAAAACCGCTAAAGGCCTTCAATAAATCAGGACAGCCTTTAGAGAACTACCTGTCCAGAGACTCGCCTTTGCGGATCCTTCTGTACACAAGCTGAAGCTTTTTACACGTGTCCGCGCTGCGCATCACAGCGGATGTGCGCACCCCCGCGCGCGTGCATGTGTGTGTCTGCGGGATGTGAAAGTTTAATCCGCCAGACAGACGGTCAGTCGCACTCTGGACAAAAGCCAACACTTTACATTTGAAAAGCTCGAATGAATTACTTGAGATGCTTTAAGAGTGCATACACATGCTGGTGGGTGTGCTTGTTCGAAGACTTGAGTATGCGCACGCATTTCTGGCTAGATTTTGATTATAAATATATGATTTATTTCCCCCCTTCTTTGTCATAAGTCTGCGATAAAATCACTTCATATAATCACTAATTCCTACATACATCCCTATAATCTGTAATTTGCAATGTTAATTTTTAATTTGTGTGTGTGTGTGGTTTTTTTAAGTAATCTTTGCTGCCATTGTCCATCTCCACTGAAAGAGATAATATCTATTAGTAGCATCTCAATGAGCTCATAAAAAAAAAATAATAATAATCCTACATTCAATAGGTTGTCTTCATTCAGAAATGGGAGTTTTAGTATCTTCAAGTCGTAAGCACAGTGCATTTTGATTTGTAAACACACTCACCGGCCACTTTATTAGGTACACCCGTCCAACTGCAAGTTTCTGATCAGCCAATCACATGGCAGCAACTCAATGCATTTAGGCTTGTAGACATGGTCAAGACGATCTGCTGCAGTTATTTCAGAAACTGCTGATCTACTGGGATTTTCACGCACAACCATCTCTAGGGTTTACAGAGAATGGTCTGAAAAAGAGAAAATATCCAGTGAGCGGCAGTTCTGTGGGCGCACAATGCTTTGTTGATGCCAGAGGAGAATGGCCAGACTGTTTCGAGCTGATAGAAAGGCAACAGTAACTCAAACAAGCACTCGTTACAACAGAGGTCTGCAGATGAGCATCTCTGAACGCACAACATGTCCAATCTTGAGGCAGATGTGCTACAGCAGCAGAAGACCACACCGGGTGCCACTCCTGTCATCTACGAACAGGAAACTGAGGCTACGATTTATACAGACTCACCAAAATTGGACAGTACAAGATTGGAAAAATATTGCCTGGTCTAATGATTCTTGATTTCTGCTGTGAAATTTGGAGGGTAGGGTCAGAATTTGGCATCAACAACATGAAAGCATGGATCCATCCTGCACTGTATCAATGTTTCAGGCTGGGGGTGTAATGGTCGGGGGTTGTTATTTCTTGGCACACTTTGGGCCCATTAGTCCCAACTGAGCATTGTGTCATTGCCACAGCCTACCTGAGTATTGTTGCTGACCATGTCCATCACTTTATGACCACAGTGTAACCATCTTCTGATGGCTACTCACAGCAGGATAACGCACCATGTTATAAAGCGCAACATAGACTGGTTTCTTGACAATGAGTTCACTGTACTCAAATGGCCTTCAGACACCAGACCTCAATCGAATAGAGCACCTTTGGGATGTGGAGGAACGGGATATTTGCATCATGGATGTACAGCTGACAAATCTGCAGCAACTGTGTGATGTTATCATGTCAATATGGACCAAAAACTCTGAGGAATATTTCCAGTACCTTGTTGAATCTGTGCCACGAAGGATTAAGGCAGTTCCGAAGGCAAAAGGGGGTCCAACCCGGTAAAAGTAAGGTGTACCTAATAATGTGACCAATGAGTGTGTGTGTGTATATATGTATGAATATTTTTGAATATATATATATGTGTGTGTGTGTATACTCTGTATATACTCCATATACTACAGTTTAACTAAAATGTTGTTTAAACATGTTATTGATGCATCATTTGATGAAATATATGCAAATTCACATGCATTTCTAGAACAAAAACCTGAAAATGTGTCAGGTTTAAAATTCCTTTTTTTATATGGCGAACAGTAAAAAAAAAAAGCATCTAATTTTTCTGTAAATATTTAATGAACTAAATCATACATAAATATAATGTAAAAATCTTCTGAACACTGATATGAACAAAACTGAATTGTGGTGTTGCTGAAGAAAATTTTTACAGGGAGGGTCGGGGGAATCATTAAGCATCCAATAAAAATTCGTATTGTAATTTAGAATCTAGAGACAAAAAAAATAATAAAGAACAAGTGCATTTTGGTGTTTTCTTCACATTAGAGACATATTGAAAAGCCAAAAAGCCCAAAATCTCAAAGCTGACAGGTGCACTTTTGCCTTAACAATTACTAGCATTTTGGAACATGCAACTCAATAGCAGATGGCTGCAGAAAGATCTCATGTCTGTGAGTCGCTCCTTTTATAGCTCTTCAGTGGCAGTGAAAGTAGGATATGTTCCCATTTGAACGCTGCCTACCATAAAAAACGTTAATGGGTTAATGACAGGGCATGCTCTATTTTGGACAGGTCATGATGTGCCTGGGCTTAATGAAGCATCACATTTTTTATAGCTTCTTATGTAAAAGGCACAAGAGCATTCAGTGCTTCCTTTGACTGGCCATGTATTTGATTGCTTTATAATGTAATGTAAATTAAAGGGATAGATCGTTCAAAAAATGAAAATTTACTCACCGTTATAAGTTTCTTATTCTGTTATGTTCAGCAGAACAAAAGAAAGTTAAACAGGTTTGTAACAAGAAAATGTTTGAGTAAATAATGACAGAATTACACATTTTGGACAAACCTTAACTTTAAATGAAGAATTTGGGTAAAAAAATGCAAAAACAGTAACCTGAGAAGAATTTCTTTTTATTTCTGGAAATTTGTTGGTTATATTTCTAGATTTAAAATCTTCAGAATTACTTTCCTGTCCTTAAAATGTATTACTTCAGCTGATGAATGATGTCCTAAAGATTAGTACAAATAAATATTCAGTAGTTTCGATTCAATTAAAGTTTACTTGTATGGTGCTTTTCACAACAATTATCATTCGGGCTTCACAAAAGGTTCACATCATTACATTACAGTCAAAATCAGAAAAGTTAAGGAGTTGTGTAAAGGGTTAGTAAATATGGAGGCAGATCAGTCTCATAAATAATTGTCCATCGTAAATCCAAAACAAGATTCATAAATACACAAATCCAATTTGTATATTCAAAACACGATTCGTAAATATCAAATTCAAAACACGATTCATAAACACACAAACCAACTCAGAAATTCAAAACACGATTCGTAAATAAGCAAATCCAATTCATAAATTCAAAACAGGATTCATAAATATCCATTTCGTAATTTCAAAACACGATTCATATATACACAAATCGTAAATTCAAAACACGAGTCGCAAATATCAAATTCGTAATTTCAAAACAAGTTTAGTATATCCAAATTGTAAATTCAATACAAGTTTCATGAACACACAAACCAATTCAGAAATTCAAGACACAATTCGTAAGTATCCAATTTGTAAATTCAAATCACGATTCGTAAATACACAAATCCAAATCTTAAATTCAAAATATGATTTGTAAATATCCAATTCGTAATTTTGAAACTATTCATATTTACACAAATCGTAAATTCAAAACACGATTCGTAAACACACAAATCTATTTCATAAATACCAAACACAATTAAAAAATATTCAAATCCAATTCATTTAGCAAAAATATTTACGACTTTTACTCATGAATTTACGAATTGTGGGTTGTATTCATGAAAAGTGCTTTGAATTTACTAATTGGATTTTGTAAATGTGAATTGTGATGTGCATGGATGAATTTTATTTTGTATATATATTAATTTCGAGACTGATCTGACTCCATAAATGTATTATTTTTAAGACTGATCTGCCTCCATAGTACATAAACATAGTTAACCTGCAGCTATATAGTATATAATTTTATTATATATATATATACATATATATATATATATATATATATATATATATATATATATATATATATATATATATATATACAGTTTATAAGGCAGAGACTGACATCTAGTGGTGTGTTTGTAAAACAACTGTAAACATTGTTCTTTAAATTAGTTTATTGCATCAGGAAGTTGTGGATGATGCCAAAAAGATCCATCACAAACCAAGGAGAGGCATTAAAGGTATATTCAGGTCTGCAAAAACACAACACTGCATTTTCAAAAGTGAGTGAGAATATTACTTTGGTTTAGGTTTTATTAGATACGCTTTAAAAATGCCTTTCTAACTTAGAATTTTTGTCTTGTTTCTAACCCAAATATCTTGAACCATGAAGCCTTTTCCTCAAAACAAGCAAGATAATCTGCCAGTGGGGCAAGTAAAATCTTATTTCAAAGCAAAAACAAGATAATTTTTCTTATCTTATTGGCAGATGGATATTTTGCTTGTTAAAAGGGAAAATACTTAATTTTGATATTATTTTTAAAAACAAGACAATCTTTTATGCTTGTCTAGAAAATGCTTCTTGATTTAAGACTTGTATGATATTGGGACAAGAAACAAGACAAAAAGTCTAAGTAAGAAAAGCATTTCTTGCATTGTATCAAACTTATTTAGTTCATTATTGTTCACAATAACTGCAGACAGAGTTCTTCCTATCAAACCTCCGTTTCTCAGTTTCACATTCAGTAATTACAGGCACTTTACCCTTCAACAGCATTATTATGTAATCAAGTGGTGATATGTGCTTTAAAATAATCATTTTAGTCCATATTTACTCGACCGCCACGGCTTAAATCTTAAAATGCTTTCTGATTTTACAGTACAAATGCAAATATACAGAGTAAAGGCACTGTGTTTGCTCCTTTTCCGCTGAACGAGAAAGTACTTTCATTATTTCAAATACACATCAAGCTCATATTTCAGCCCAAATCAAAACAAATTGAATATATAACTTTATATACATACAATATTTGTGTTATCAATTCGAATAGAGCGCATCAAATATTACCATAGTGTGATTAAATACAAATAAAATAATTTAACTATCATCTCCCTTTTTGGTTTTACGTTAATAATAATAATAATGGGCTGAGGACAATTATCATCGTTGATTTCAATTAAATTGCTATTTATTTTGGTTTTGGGATGACATATAATTCAGATTAGTCACAAAAATGACTTTTCATGAGCGTCTAATTGTTGCTTCGCTCTCTTTTCAAATCAGCTGTATCCAAAATTTCATATTAAAGGGAGGATCTTGTGGTATATTCCGAACACAAGAAAAACTTTGGGTATCTAGGCAGAATATTGCACACTAAACTGAGATTGAACCTTCCCTAAAGTTGGTCTTTCCGATTAGGACGTTGAGCAGAACGGCTTTTCCCTCTTTGCACTCCTTCTGCGCCTTCTTAATGATGTCTTCAAGCTGCGACTCATCCTCTCGGCCAATAAGATAACCTTTCCCCCCGTAACCATCAGCTACAACATGGTAATCTGCAAGGAGGAGAAGAAACCTGACGATGAGTTATCAATATGTAATTTAGTCTCTCAGAAAACAGCTTGATTGTTAGACTCAATGTTTATCTGGATCATTACTGGAGGTTTTGTTTAGTTTTGCGTTTTAAAGAAAGGCACTGAATTTAGGCTTAATGAACCGTCTCACCTGTAAAGGCAAGACCGCAGGCGACGTTGCTGCCGAGCATAGGCACTTGTTCTCTGGAGATCTGACTCCAGCAGGCGTCGTTTCCCACCAGAGCAATCACTGGGGTCTGACATGCAACAACAAAGAGGCAAATCAGAAGGAAACCACAGTAGTTTTGTTGTTCCAGATTACATACAAGCTACATTACAGCATTAAATTCTAGAGAAGTTGGCAGATAAAATTTTGGATAAATATATAAACCCCTAAAGGCACAGTGTGTCATTTTTTTGCCAATAGAGGGCGCATATTCATAACAAACAGTCTTTGAAACATTTGGGATTATGTAAATCAGTGTTGCCAAGTTTATGATTTTCCCACGGAATTGGGCTACTTTTCATCTGTTCGTGGGTTGTTTTTTTGCATTCCGCTGGTCGTCACTAATCATTTACATAAAAATATAAGCAATCATATACTCATATAATAATTACGTTAATTATGTTCTGAACTTTTATTATAATTTTTTAAAATATCAATGCATTGATTGAAAGAAAATCTTTTATTTCAACAGATTTTATTATTACAATACACTTATTTTTAAAGAAAAACCTTGAGTTTTTAGAAAAACTCATTTTTTTTATTCATTTAGCCAATCTCCAGGTCTGGCGGGAGTACTTTTAGCTTAGCTAAGCATAAATCATTAAATTGGATTAGACCATTAGCATCTATTCTGCGGTACATAGTAATTAGTGCCACATAATATAAAGTGATTTAATTTACTCTTCTTTATATAAAAACAGTGCCTAATCTTAAATATTACTTAGATAAAACTATTTAATTCAGATAAATTGTATTATGTCCTGAATTTTTATTATGAAATCTTTGAAAAGTTTTGTATTGAGTGAAACAATTTGTTCAAATTGTATTAAAATTCCCTAATTTCTAAAGAAAAACACAACTTTTTGAAAATAGGCTGTTGTTACAACTCCCCCAAGAGTTAAAAAGTTGAGTTTTACTATTTTTAATAATCCATTCATTTATAGCTTAGCTTAGCATAGATCATTGAATTGAATTAGACCGTTAGCATCTCTCTCGCAAGTTGTCACCAATCAACCCCCCCCAAGATTTTCTGTACAACAACCTTATTTTTTAAACTGTTAGATTTTACCATTTAATCCATTTAGCCTATCTATGGGTGTTAAATTAGATTGAATTAGTCCACTAGCATCTCTTGCATGTAAATACAGGTATGTACATAATAAGTACATTGTCCCTAATTATTAATTTACATGCAAGTACGTAGTAATTTAGGTTGATAAATATAATTTAATTGACTCTTTTATTTACATAAACACATTGTCTAATCTTGAAGCTTACTTGGTTTAAACAACTTGATTCAGATAAATTACTATTTTACAGTTGAGTTTTACCATTTTGTAATCCATTCAGGTCTGGTTAGAGCATTTTTAGCTTAGCTTAGCATAGATCATTGAATTGGATTAAACCATTAGGATCTCTCTCGCGGGTTGTCACCAATCAAACCCCCCTATTTTCATAAATAGGCTTATGTTGTAACTCCCCAAAAGCTGAATTTTACCATTATTAATCCATTCAGCCGATCTCCAGGTCTGGGTGGAAGCACTTTTGGCTTAGCTTAGTTTAGCTTAAACCATTGAATCGGATTAGATCATTATCATCACTCTCAAAAATTACCACAGAGTTTTCACACAAGCTAGCGTTTTGTCCTAGCAGAACACATTTTAATACATTCTTAACTTAATTCTGTAAAAGTCTTGTTGCATTTATTATGGATCCTACCTTGTGGCGTGTAAAGGTATCAAATTCAGCCACTGTATATCCGAGAGAACCGTCGCCATAAACAATCCATACCTACAAACGACAAATTAGCTTTTACATGCATTCTTATAACAAGATAAAGTCTGCAAATAAGATCAGGAAAAAATGAATAAATAAACAATAATCTTATTTTACCTCAGACTCAGGTCGACAAAGCTTTGCTCCCAGAGCAAATCCTCCTCCAACACCCAGAGTCCCAAAAGCCCCTGATGCACAGAGTAGTCATGATGAACACAAATACTGAAATACTGTCATGGTTTAATAAACAGAGCTTATCATGATATTGCATTAAAACATTTATTTCTATATTATTTAGTAAATAATCTCAGACATACGATATCAACGATGATGTGCTAATTATTAACTGTTTTAATAATGTGCGAGCTGACTAACAATAAATGTCAATTTTTCTTGTTCCTGTTTTCTTTTAACTGAACGGCACTTTGGATCCACATGTGGTGTTGTAAGTGCTTTATAATAAATAAATTGAGCTGACTTGAAGTGATATTAAGAACTGGTATTAAAATCATTGGAATAAATGTTTTTTTTATTATTATTGTGTTGTAACACAGTCAAAATTATTTGTCATCCTGTAATTTTTTTTTCTTTCTTTTTCAAATATTTCCCAAATGATGTTTGACAGAGCAAGAAATTTGTTCACAGTATTTCCTATTATATATTTTTTTCTGGATAAAGTCTTATTTGTTTTATTTCGGCTAGAATAAAAGTTTTAAATTTTTTTTAGATATCATTCCAAGGTCAATATTATAGCCCCTTAAGCAATATTGCTTCAATATAGTCTACAGCAGGGGTTCCCAAACTTTTTTATTCCGGGACCCACCTTGGCAAGTAATTCAATCTCAAGACCCACCATAACATTTTAATATGGAAAAATGGGTAAAAAAAAAAATATATCCATTCAAAGCAGTCAAAAATATATGGTGTGTGGCTTTTTGGATTTTGCAATTTGATATGCACAAAGTGAGGCTCAAAGTGCTTTTTGTGGGATGCTGGCTGTAACTGTGATCATTTTTTTTGTTGTTGAAAAAGATACTCTTCTTTTTTTAGAAGAGAACATGATCAACCTTTGATCAAGCCCCTTGATTATGATCAAGCCCCGTCACATCGCAGTAAATTCCACTTCTAGTGTATCGTCATAAGAAACTAAATCGCTTTTTGATCGACTACTACAAGCTGGGTAAAGGTCAGAAAAAGATTCCAATGCAATTAATGTCATAGCTGTATAGATCTAATATTTACACATTTGCTTGAGGAAGAAATGATGGGGTACTTGCATTACTATTTTCCATAACATCTATGCCCTTCCATAACATTAGATGACGTTAAAACTAACAGATAGCACCAGAGCTATTTATTGATTGGCAATCTGTCAATGTTGGGATGTAAAAAATATGGGACAACAAATAGCTTCAAATGATGGAATACATAGCAAACAATAGAAAATATTGACAATAAAATAAAAGGTTTAATCTTATAAAATCAATGGCCTATAAAGAAATTAAATAAAGCTATAAAATCTATTTCACTTTTAATTGTATTTGCATATTGATTAAAGCTACTATAGTTATTAAGTGAAGAGCAGCAAATGAATCTCTCATTGTGTTTTGTTTGATAACAGAGGTGTAATATAAGAATGCACAGATCTATAATGAAGCCTTCGACTACTTTAGTAACCGTTTGTGCTCATTTAGGAGAAAATTAGTAGCGTTTAAAATAAAACACGCAGGACGGAGCAAAAAAAAGAAAAAAAAGGGGAAAAAAAACGAAAAAAATTAGCACTTTTCCGACGGTCCCTTACTGAGAGCTCCGCTCTGTGCAAGCTCTCCCAGCTAAACGCAGATTGCGAGGGCTTAAACGGAGCAGTGCTCGTAATGTCAAGCGAAAAAAAAAAATAAAAAGACAGCTGTGAAACATAACCAGCTTTGTCTTTTTGTAGGAAACACACTTTAGATCTTTTTAGGGTAAGAGGTTTTTAAGTTTTTGCCGTCAATCGTACTGGTTTTGATTCACCGCAATGTAAATCTAGCTGCAGCTATGTGACAGTGCGACCCACCTTTGTTCACTTTGCGACCCACAGTTTGAAAACCCCTGGTCTACAGAACAAACCACTGTTATACAATGACTTGCGTAACTACCCTAACTTGCCTAATTAATCCAGTTAAACCTTTGAATGTCACTTTAAGCTGAATACTAGTGTCTTCAAAAAGGTCTAGTCAAATATGATGGGCTGTCATCATGGCAAAGATTAAAGAAGTCAGATATTAGACATTAGTTCAGGGGTCGGCAACCCAAAATGTTGAAAGAGCCATATTGGACCAAAAAAAGCAAAAAAAACAAATATGTCTGGAGCTGCAAAAAATGTAAAGCCTTATATAAACCTTATAATGAAGGAAACACATGCTGTATGTATCTATATTAGCCTACTATAAAAATGACTAAGGCCCCGTTTACACTAGTGCGTTTTAGTTTGAAAACGCATAAGTTTTGCTACGGTTACGCCATCCGTCCACACTACGCCGGAGTTCTCGAGCGCCGAAAACGGAGCTTTTTGAAAACGCTGGAGAGGCCGTTTTCATTCTGAAACGCTGTTGCTCCATCTCAGTGTGGATGGGGAAAGACGGAGACATCTGAAAACGGAGGCGGGGCTGCAAACGTTCGCCTATCTGATTGGGGCTTTTCCTCAATATTAAGTAGCCCACACACAGTTCAGTCTCGCATCCTCTTCTTGTAAGTTCAGACTTCGCAAGTTTGATCAAGGCTGCAGTCTCCCCCTTCTCATAGGGAGAATATCACATATCACATCAGTTTGATATGGAAAACATACCGAGGACACGGGTAAATCTTCAAAGGGAACAGTGTACTTTATAACTTCATTCACATCACCCTGGCTACGTTGTTTCACTTTCTCAACATTAAAATTTAAACATGATTTAAGGAACTGATTATTTTCTTTTTAATATTAGCAACTTAACAGACAGCAGAAATGTTGAGGCGTCGTGCTGCATATATGAGCGTCATCTTCACTGTGTGGATATTTATAACAAAACGGAGCCTATAACAACTGTCTCCTTTCAATTTCAATGAAAATACGAAACGCACCCTCTCTTTTGCTGAATATCAGTTTTAATAATCGCTAATTATAAAACTATAACATACAATAAGTTTATACATTGTAGGAAATAAAGGCAAGCGATCAGTCAATGTACCTGGATTAATCATTAACTTATCTTTGCGCTTAACCAAAACATGTTACCCGTGAACAAGTAACTTAATAGATTCCAATGACCAAAGTCAGGAAATTGGCCTATGTCGTTAGATAAAGACAACAACATGAATGAAATATCACGTTAAGCAAATATAGTGAGATTAGATCCAGCGGGAGATGCGTGATGAGAAGTCCGACAAGCAGAGCTCTCATCTGGGTAGAAATGCTGGAGCGCTTGCCCGAGAGTGTGTGTGTGTGGTCACGTGATGTGCGTTTTCAGCGTTTTGGTGTGGACGGAGAGCTGTTTAGAAACGCTGGGTAAAACGCGAGTGTGGACGCGGATCGTTTTCATTCTACAACGCCGTTTTAAAACTAAAACGCACTAGTGTAAACGGGGCCTAAGTTGGCTACAAATAAATAATGAGCCTTCATGATTAAATAGCCACTGAAATCAGGTGGTTGGTGTTTATTCCGTTGTCATTTAAACACTTCAGCACAGCCTCTGGCCTTTCAGTGGTATAATTTGATCATTTCTTCTTGCTGCACATTAGAGTTCACATGCATAAAAGCGCGTTGAATATCGGTCACATCACAGGCAATTGAGTATGCTGGCACTGAATTAATGTTCTTGGTTTGCTGATCGGTGATGTTACCTGCCATTTTAATAGCCCTTTCCTTCACTGTCTTAGCAAAGAGAGGTATATCTTTAATTTTTATATTATCTTGGTTTTGTTTTTTTAGTCAAATAAGTGTTGTAATATGTTGATGAATGACTTCTTCATATAGTCACCATCTGTGAACGGTTTTCCATGCTTTATTATCTCCCGGTTTGTTTACAACAGCCACCTGCCTGGCATCCCGCCCTGCTGATGGAAACCTGTGTCGCAGGCTATGACGCAAATCTTCGTTGACAGAAATGTTGAAATTAAATATTAATTCTACACAGTTTTACAGCATTTGAAAATGTTAAAAATGTTTGTCCTCCTATAGAAATCCTATTAAAACAGAAAAATATATTAACCTCCCCCATCTTTATCCATTTTCAAACATTTTTGAAAAAGCTCCAGGGAGCCACAAAGGCAGTGCTAAAGAGCCGCATGCAGCTCTAGAGCCGCGGGTTGCTGACCCCTGCATTCGTTATTAAAACTATTATGTTTAGAAATGTGTTGAAGAAAAAAATCTTTCCGTTAAACAGAAATTAGGGAATAAAATATACAGGGGTGCTAATAAATCAGGAGGGCTAATAATTCTGACTTCAGCTGTATATTTTTATTATTGTATTGTGTTTTTTTATTTTGCATTTTGTTATGTTTCTTAGATATGGACATGGAGTCTAAATATAAAAGGAATAATAATAATAATAATGAACGCCTCTGTCTCTCACCTGGGTCCAGCCAGCAGAGCGGGCCGCGGGGTCTCATGATATATGCAGCGCTGCCCACGAAATCCCCCCCATCAGCCACTATGATGCTGTCCTCAGCCAAAAGCTCATCCACACGGTGCAAAACACTCAGAGGATTCAAATGCCTCTCGGTCTTCTCATCTGCTTTCGCTCTGAAGGCAAAAAAACAAGCATTTGTCAGATTTTCATTTATTAACATTGCGATATCGATGCACAAACGTCAGCCCTAATATTGTGCATGTTCATTATCGTGATATATTGGACACACTGCAAGAGTTTCCTAAAAAATTATTTTAGTCTCTTGAAAATGCATAGGAGAGAAATGCATCCTGCAACATGATTTGTGCGATATTCTAATTCTGTGCAGAAATGTGCAACTTTGAATGTAAATATAGCTTTTGTATTCTAATATCAGTACAACGGATCACCTGTTAGCTTTCTCTTTGACATTATCTCCCTCTTTCAGGCTCTGCGGCCATTCCTCTGGGCATCTGTGTCCTTTTAGGGCTTTCGAAAGATTCAGGAGAAATGAACCAGCATCACCTGAATCAGTAAAGAAACAAAGCCTTTTAACATACCATATGTCTGTGTATATTACCTACCATATTATAATGAACTGGTTAACTTGAGTTTCTGATTATTAAGCTACTAGTATTTAAAGAGCTTGTCTGAGCAATATTAATGCAATATACTGCGTTATGTACAACTGATGTCTGAATTATTAGCCCTCCTGAATTAATAGCCCCCTGTATATTTTATTCCCCAATTTCTGTTAAACAGCACATTTCTAAATTTAATAATAACTCATTATTATTTTTGAATAACTCATTTCTAATAACTGATTTCTTTTATCTTTGCCATGATGACAGAACATAATATTTGACTAGATATTATTCTAGATGCTAGAACTCAGCTTAAGGTGACATTTAAAGGCTTAACTAGGTTAATAAGGAGGGTTAAGATAATTAGGCAAGTCATTGTAATACAGTGTTTTGTTCTTTAGACAATCAAAAAAAATGAACGGGGCTAACAATATTGGCCTTAAAATGGCTTTTAAAAAAAACTGCTTTTATTCTAGCCGAAATAAAACAAATAAGACTTTCTCCAGAAGAAAAAATATTATAGGTAATAATGTGAAAAATTCCTTGCTTTTAGACATAATTTGGGAAATATTTAAAATTTCACAGGAGGACTAATGTGTCCAAGAAGAGCCCTAAAATAAACATAATTTAGGAAATTAACTGCTTTTGTGCCTATATTTTGCACCTATTTTGTGCCTATACAGGCAATGGATTATAGATTGTTAGTATAATTTAATGTAACTGTAACACATTATGTTAAATTAAAATGTAGTTGTTAACCTTGAATGGCCACTGTTGGCTTCCAGAACATGTCGGAGTTCTTCAGTAGCTGACTTTTGTCTCTGTTCACTGCGATGATCTTGCTCCGTCTGTTCAGCACTCGTCCATAACTTAGTCTGAAGTCACACACCGTGCCTATCCACGACAGTGAAGAGTTTCAGGTACAAGAACTTAAAGTATGCATGAAATCAAATCTAACCATACTGACTTTGTAAATACTGTTTTGTGGTGAACAATTCACCTGTGCATGCCATTAAGAATATTTCCCTTGTAATCTCTCATTGAAATCTGAAAAGCACTTCCTGTTTGGGTTTAGTTCAATTCTCAGATTACGTCTGTCTGAGGTAGTGGGCATAGCTAACATCCTTAACCACACCCCTCCAACTTCTGACAACAAACAAAAATGGTGAGGAGGAGGAGTCTGTTAGGTTGTAATAACTCTCCCCAAACCCATTTCCTAAACTTTCTGAATGAAATGCCTACTTTACTACATCCAATCAGCTCGCAGAAAAAAACAAAACAAGCCACGCCCACTGATTCTCATTTAATATTCAGTTTCTCTGGGAACTCTGTCTCAATACGGAAAAAAAGGTTGCCGTTTCCGGTTCATGTGGGCTTTAACCGAGCAAGATACAAGGGTCACAATTATTTTCAAAATTATTTATAAATTGTATAATTATTTTTTCCCCATGTCTGAAAATCACAATTAAAAATTCATACAGTTAAGGATGTATAGTAGGGTACATAATTGTGTTTATATTCCAACTGTACAGCAGGTGGTGCTGTTTCTCACCTGCCAGCAGGACGAGGTCGGCATCTTTTAATGCGTCTCTTCTGTTCTGTCTGATGTGCAGTGGACTGTTCTTTCCCAGCAACCCTCGGGACATCCCACCCAAAAAGCAGGGAATGCCTAAAGACTCTAAAGCTTTTCTGTAACAGACATGTACAAAAACAAAAACAAATAAACTTTAGGACTAAAAATCACCTACTATGAGAGAGAGTGAGTTACAGATGCTTTCTCAAAGTTAACCTTCAATTAATGTTGTAAATAATTTGTTGTCATTTTGGACACAAGTTTCCAAAAGATATGCATATTATTTTTTAACTAGCTTATTTCATGTAGATACAAGGTTTATAAACAGCAGATTCAATGACTGTCAAAGACCATTTTATAACACCATTCCATTTGATCCAGCAACTTTGTAATTCATACCCCAGCATGCACTAACCGGCCACTTTATTAGGTACATCTTACTAGTACCGGGTTGGACTCCCTTTTGCCTTCAGAACTGTCTTAATCCATCGTGGCACAGATTAAACAAGGGACTGGAAATATTTCTCAGAGATTTTGCTCCATATTGGCATGATAGCATCAAGCAGTTGCTGCAGATTTGTCGGCTGCACATCCATGATGCGAATCTCCTGTTCCACCACATCCCAAAGGTGCTCTATTGGCTATTTGAGTACAGTAAACTCATTATCATGTTTAAGAAACAAGCTTGAGATGATTCACGATTTATGACATGGTACGTTGTCCTGCTGTGAGTAGCCATCAGAAGATGGTTACATTGTGGTCATAAAGGGATGGACATGGTCAGCAACAATTCTCAGGTAGGCTGTGGTGTTGACACGGTGCTCAATTGGTACTAATGAGCCCAAAGTGTGGCAAGAAAATATCCCCCACACTATCACACCAGCACCACCAGCCTGAAACATTAATACAAGACAAGATGGATCCATGCTTTCATGTTGTTGATGCCTAATTCTGACCCGACCATCCAAATGTCACAGCAGAAATCAAGACTCATTAGACCAGGCAATATTTTTACAATCTTGTACTGTCCAATTTTGGAGAGTCTGTGTTAATTGTAGCCTCAGTTTCCTGTTCTTAGCTGACAGGAGTGGCACCCGGTGTGGTCGTCTGCTGCTGTAGCACATCTGCCTCAAGGTTGGACGTGTTGTGTGTTCAGAGATGCTCTTCTGCAGACCCCGGTTGAAACGAGTGGTTATTTGAATTACTGTTGCCTATCTATCAGCTGGAACCAGTCTGGCCATTCTCCTTTTCTCCTCTCGTCTTGACCATGTCTACATGCCTAGATGAATTGAGTTGCTGCCATGTGATTGGCTGATTAGAAATTTGTGTTAACGAGCAGTTGGAGAGGTGTACCTAATAAAGTGGCTAGTGAGTGTATGTAGCGCTATGAAAGTCTTTATTGTACTTAAAATTTCACTTACACTTTTATATAATATTTACATTTAAAAAAGAATAATTTTCTAGGATTTTGACCATTTAAAAAAAAATTCAGTTCAATACTTGTTATTTTCAAATGCGGTTTCTGAAATATTGATCAAATGAGCATTATTTGTCAGTGTTAGTGGGAATATACTAGGAGGGGAAGACAATAGTATATACAATACAGTGTTGCTCAGCATAAATGAGTTTTAAAAATGACATTTTTTTCCATTTCTCAGTTCATACATCCAATATTGTTTGGTGCATTTAAACTCATTTATTAAACAGGCATATCTATTAAAATAAACGTTTGGTGAGCTAACATCTTTTTATAAAAAGGTCAATTTAATTTACCTGATATCATCGGCTGGTGTTGGGGGTAAAGTTGCCTGACTGCCTAACAATATGACAGGCTTCTTGGCTCTGCTCACCAGTTCCACACACCTTTGGACCTGTGAAGAATAAAGCGTCAAGTCATCTTATCTTCAGCATTTGGGGCAAAAGTCACCGATTTCAACATTTCATCTTCAGCTTTGTTATACGCTTCGCTGATGAGAAACCAAATCTTGAATGATTATCAAATATTAATCAGCTGCAAAAGCAGCAAGGTGGCTCAGTGGTTAGCACTGTCGCCTCACAGCAAGAAGGTCGCTGGTTCGAGTCCTAGTTGGTATTTCTGAGTGGAGTGTACATGTTCTCCTCGTGTTGGAGTGGGTTTCCCCCACAGTCCAAAGACATGCATTATAAGTGAATTTAGTAAACAAAATTGGCTGTCGTGTATATGTGTGTGAATGTGAGAGTGTATGGGTGTTTCCCAGTACTGGGTTGCAGGTGGCAGAGCATTTGCTGCGTAAAACGTATGCTGGAATAGTTGGGGGTTCATTCCGCTGTGGCAAACCCTAATAAACTAAGTAAAATAAGTAAAACTAATAATCAACAATTGTGTCGTTTCAGCTCATTTTAAATAAGTAGTTTGAACAAACAGCAAACGTCATTTGTTTGAGTGCCGGTTTCTGCACCTGATCGTCTGTGGCGTGAGGGATGTGAACAGGAAGGGGTGACAGATCTCGGCTCTCCCAGGCTCCAGCAAATAAGTTTGATAAATGATTTTTGAGATACCTATGAGATGACAAAAACAACAACGGTGTTATTAGACAAGCTGAATAATGCTATGATTTCTCAAGTGAAAGCTGGTGCAGAAATAATAGGATGTGAAGAGTGAGAAACCTTTATACCATGCAATGATTTTCCCCATCAGGCCTTTGGGAGTGTTTTTGGGGGCAAACTCTTTTTCCACCACATGATACGGGTACAGTGTGTCTATGGGAAACTCTATAAACACTGGGCCTGTGAAGCGATAAGGGACAAAAATAAACATAATTAGGAAAGAAATCCTGAACGCAAATGCTAATTAAACACAAATAACAGATTATTCAGATATAAAGGAAGCATTTGTGTTTTTACATTAAAGGTGCAGTAGGTGATTGTCTTCAGAAACATTTATTGTTGTGCTGGTTTAAAGTCTCTTCACATTCCAAAAGTAATGATTAAAGTAAATGATCCAAATGTGTTTATACAGTTGAAGTCAGAATTATTAGCCCCCTTTTGATTTTTTTTTCTTTTTTAAATATTTCCTAAATGATGTTTGACAGAGCAAGGAAATTTTCACAGTTTGTCTGATAATATTTTTTCTTCAAGAAAAAGTCTTATTTGTTTTATTTCGGCTAGAATAAAAGCAGTTTTAATTTTTTTTAAATCTATTTTTGGGGACAAAATTATTAGCCCCTTTAAGCTAGTTTTTTCCATTCATTCATTATTCATTATTTATTTATTGCCATGCCAGCTACTAAGGCTATTTTCATGGCAAGAGCATTTCAGTAATTAACAAAAATCAACAGTAAAAAATAAATAATTGAATATACAGTTTAAATAAGATTTTTCTGCTTAATACATGTTAAAAATTCTAATACTTTTTCTAGAGTCACTTTGTTAAAAATGTCCTTAAGAGAGTTTTCATCATAAAAAGTCTTTCTGGAGTCATTAAAAGCAGGGCAGTCTAGTAAAATGTGTTTTACAGTCCATGGGGTTTTACAGTGTAAACATTGGTTAGGGTCTTCATCTTTGAGTAAAAAGTTATGTGTTAATCTTGTATGTCCAATACGGCAATTTTTTTTCTTTTTTTTTTTCGATAGTGTACAGAACAAACCATCATTATATAATAACTTAATTATTATTAATTATAATTATTAAGCCTAATTATCCTAACCTGCCTAGTTCACCTTATTAACCTAGTTAAGCCTTTAAATGTCACTTTAATCTGTATAGAAGTGTCTTGAAAAATATCAAGTCAAATATTATTTACTGTCATCATGACAAAGATAAAATAAATCAGTTATTAGAAATAGGTTTATAAAACTATTATGCTCAGAAATGTGCTGAAAAAAAATTTCACTCCATTAAACAGAAATTGAAGAAAAAAATAAACAGGGGCGCTAATAATTCTGACTTCAACTGTATTTGTTTTTATATTCTGGGCATGAGACTAAAGAATGTTTATCCAGTTAAATATTGTCAGGCCAACAATTCAAATAACTCTCATAAGTAGCCCAAACAGGCTGTCAACATGTGTAGATTTGTAGAGAGTGTCATTCTGTGGAAATCAGATTCTATTCCTCAAATGAAGACATGGTTAACTCACTCAAATATTGCACATGGAAAATGGAGTAAATGGAGTTATTGGTTTGTTTTACAATACATGTCAACCATTCCTTGATCACCTGGACCAGTACAATGCTGATTCAGAGCAGCAGTGTAGTGCTTAGCCCCAATCCCAATTCTACTCCTTAGCCCAGGGGTGGCCAATCCTGTTCCTGGAGATCTACCTTCCTGCATTAATTAATTGGTTCAGGTGGGTTTGATCAGGGTAGGAGCTAAACTGTACAGGAAGGTAGATCTCCAGGAACAGGATTGAGCCCTTCCCTTTACCCCTTGTTTTGCGCATTCCCATGAACGGGAAGGGGTGTACCAATTCTCTTTAGCTTGAAGGTGTTGGGCTAATGGGAAGGGGTAGATAGCCCTTTGAACGGAGATATTTCAGGACCACACTCGAAACCAAGGGGTAAAAAAATTCCCAGAATACACCAGCCACAACAGCAGGATCCCTGCACACGGAATCTGGAGATGCATGCAAATTAGCATTTTTTTTTGTCATTATTGCGAATTATTACAACAAACAAGCACATGTTTTAATATATTCATAACCGTGTTTGTGTTTTACCATCATGCTTTTAAAAAACTAAACACTAAAAGCCGCTACATTTCGAGATCTATAATCTCCTGTACAGCAGTCCCACAACATTCTGACACTCGAATACCCTGTCAGAAAAGTCTAGTGGCTGGGAATGGGCTTTTACAGTGTCTGGTATAACGCTAATGTTGTTTTTGGTGTGTTTACAAAAATGAATAAGGCCACTGTGTAAATGTGCAGTGAAGTCACGATCTACATTAGATCGTTATGATAATGAATATGCCTTCAGTGAATTCCTGAAAATAAATACCAAAACTAGAATAACTACAACAGTCACCATCGTTGATCTCATATGAAGCAAGAGATCGCGATGACATCTGATGATGTGTGCAGGTGTTGTAGTGCTGTCCCATTTCTTAGGGGTAAATTTTGAAGCCCTTCCCCTTCACACTCAGTTTTAAGGGCCAAGGGGAAGGGGAAGGGGTACAAAAATAGAATTGGGCCTTAACATGCTCACTGACCCTATTGACTGCCTCATTGAAACTGTTTATATGCCCTGATTGTTCTTTTTTAATAATAATAATAATAATTTTTATTTATTTATTTATTTTAGTTTATTGTTTGGTAAATATTGAAAAATGTAAATCTAACAAAAACACTTGTAAAAAAAAAATGTATAATGCAAATCAATGCCACTGTACCTGGTGTTCCAGACTGTGCGATGGCCAGGGCTTTTCTAACAGTGGGAACTATTTCTCTCACAGTCCTCACTGATGCACAGAACTTACAGAGAGGCTTGAAGAGAGACATCTGGTCGATATCCTGGAGTGCACCTCTACCCTGCAAAGAAACACAAAATCTAAGTCTTTTAGATTAAACATATTTTAAGGACATATTCAGTATAGGGAGGGGGATATCGATACAGCATACTAGTATTGTGATATTTACTGCAGCAATACTATAAGAAGAGTTCAGATGCAAAAACCTCTAAATCCATCTGACCGCTTTTCTTGTAAATGAGCATTTCAGGCTCCTCTGATTAGGTTTAGAAGTTTATTTTATATGTAATGAAAAGGTTATTGGCAAATAAAATGACTGTTTTTTTTTTTGTTTTTTTTTCAAAAATGTCACTTTAGACCAGGGGTCACCAATCCTGGTCCTGGAGGGCCGGTGTCCCTGCAGGGTTTAGCTCCATCTTGCCTCAACACACCTCCCAGGATGTTTCAAGTATACCCAGTAAGACCTTGATTAGCTTGTTTAGGTGTGTTTGAATAGGGTTGGAACTAAAATCTGCAGGACACCGGCCCTCCAGGAACAAGTTTGGTGACCACTGCTTTAGACTATTCTTTTTTTTTAACAAGGTAAATTTTCTCTCGCGTCAAATCCACGTCTGCTTTTTATGCAAAACCCTCTAAATCCACCTACTGTAACAAGACAGTGTAATTTGTTAAAAATTAAGATGACATTAGAAATTATTTTACCAAACATAAAACACATCACACAAACAACCTGAAAACTACTTTTGCTTCCTAAAGTTGCTGTTATTTGTGTGCGTTTTTGCATTTTCATTTCGCAGCTGACTGCGTGCGCACAGCCCCTAGAGAAACATTAAATGATTAATCATTTAATATAAGATTCAGATAAACTTCATACTCGGGGAGAACAAAATGACATCTAGAATGGCTGCAAAATATTAGTACTTCATAAGAAAGGGCTGATCAACTAATTTGCCATATTTAAATAATGTAAACTTTTTATTCTAATAATAATTTTTATTATTTTTGCAATAATGTATTTTTATTCATTTTTCTTATATTTATTTCTAATTTGCTGTATATTTTATTAATTTAATGATGTTAAGATATTATATACTTTATACATATATAAAATGTTTTGACGATACTGTAAATGTGATTCCAATATAGCAACTTTAGAGAGAGAGAGAGAGAGAGAGAGCAGAGCACCCTTTACTTGTCAGTGCGTGCACATGGCTCCTAAATAGCATAAGTAAGAGAAATAGTGGATTTCTATAAATTCAGCAGCCTTTTTAAAATAACTTTAACTCATTGTAAAGAAAAAGATGTATAACAGTGTCATAATAAATAAAAATCAAGTTAAAAATCAGATTATTTTTTGTTTGCGCATGTAGTTGACCATTCATGTGCTGTGGGAAAAATGTGTTTTTCAATCCGGCTACCACCTCAAGTATATTTCAAACCTGTGGGAAGCAATGCACACAGAGGAAATGTAACTATTTTACGTTTTGTTAGTGGCTATTTCGTACGAGTCCAGTCGTATGAAAATGTACCATTTGAAAAAGGAGGCTTTAACCCAACCCTCTATATTGTTTCATATATTTTCATTAAAGTGGAATCCAATGTACAAAGTAAGGTAAACTTGACTGAGTGCTTCATTTCCTTTTAAATGTCACTTAGAGCTGAATACTAGTATCTTGAAAAACATCTAGTACAACATCATGTGCTGTCATCATGGCAAAGATGAAAGAAATCCGTTTATTAGAAATAAGTTATTAAAACTATCATGTTTAGAAATGTGTTGAAGAAATGTTCCTTCCGTTAAACAGAAATTGGGGAAAACATATACAGGAGGACTAATAATTCAGATTTAAACTGTATATTATATTAATACACACTCCTAAAATTGGTATTTTACTTCCAATTCCTGAAGATAGTTACAGTTTTTATAATTTTATAAATCAATATTAGGCAAACGGATCAACAAACCAAAGTTAGTTTTTTTAAAGTGCGGTTACATATTATGGAAGTCAAAAGTACCTAAGCAGGTTTACCACAAAAGCCATTCAGGTTTGAAAAAACATGAGCATGATTAAATGATGATGTTATTAAAATTTATGGGTGAACTTACACTTTAAATCCTCATGCTCAAGGTTAGCTTCATAAGAAACTTACTCGTAAAATGAGATACAATCTAGTGTTTGCACAAGACAGAATGAAAGAAGATAAGGCAGTGTTTGAGGCATAAGCCGACCAGAGCAGAGAGCAAATGCGCAGTTGACATGCGCATGTTAATGAATCATAATCTATAAGAAACTTCCTTACCTGCAGGAGAGTCGCAGCAGCTCCACCAATCAGAAGCAGAGGTGATTCAGCCATCTGAGCGTTCTTTACTGCGGTCACTGTGTTGGTCAAACCCGGGCCTGCTGTCACCGCAGCCACTCCAACTGTACCTACACCAGCAGAACAGAAGATTAACACATTTCTGACAGGGGGAGGGGATTAGAAAATCAGTTTTTGTGAATTTTAATGATTTTTTCAACATCCAGCAAGAGAACAAAATGTGCAATCTGTTAGGGCCAATAGCCTACTGGTTAAGTGTGTCGACATAAAGCACCAAGTTGCTCCTGTCAACCCAAGTTTGACTCCCAACTCGAGGTCCTTTGCCAATCCTTCCCCTCCCTCTGCTCTCCATGATATCCTGTCAGTTTTCTACACTGTTAAACTATCCATTAAAGGGTAAAAACCCCTGAAATACACTTATAAAAAAACTGCAATCTACCTGAGATATGATCTATATAAGAGGCCTCTTTCATGTTAATGTTGGTAAATAAAGACAAAGCATTTCACATGTAGCATATTCTTAAACTCAGACTTTATTCTTTAAACAAAAAAAGACCAATAATAAAGGGTCAAGCATCAAAAGCAGTTTATATTATATTAAAATACAATTATTTTTGTCATCTACATATTTTTTAAATGTACTTTTTACAGAAGAGGCTGGAAAAACCATTGCATTATATTTACATTTAGATCTAGTCATTTAGCAAACGGTTTTGTCCAAAGTGACTTGCAGTACAATTGGGGCGGCTTTCAGCAATTCAACAAGAGGCAATACACACGAAAAAAATGCTAATTATACAAAAGAACTGTTAGTGCTCAGAGAATTAAGTGCTAGCGTTAGGGGGGAGACTTTAATCTCTCTTTTTCTAATGATTGATAATAAAGCTTGTTTGGCATGTTGTCCTGGGAGAGAGCCCTGAGCACATAAGATCTTCGTGCCTGGGGCTCCCTCCCATTTGCAAGGCGAGAGGGGAGTTTGAGCTCAGGTAGATCGCGAGAACTCCTCTGCTGTAGTAGCTAATAAACAGATAGTGATTGCTCTTAAGAGATAACTACTTACTAGGAGCATGTCTATGGTGCCGATTTGGATTAGTCCTTACTTAAGTTGTATGTTTTTGGACAGCGGGAGGAAACTGGGGAACCACGGGGGAAACCCATGTGAGCACAGGGAGAATGTGTAAACTCCACATAGAAACATTGGCTGGCTTGGTAAGGACTAGAACCAGCAACGTTCTTGCTGCGAGGTAACAGTGCTAACCACTGGGACACTGTGCCACCCATCTTGGAAAGGAGGAGGAGTAAGTGTGGAAGGGGGGATTCTGCAAAATGAAGATGGCTGTCATATGGAACTTCGGGTATTTATAGCGGCTTAGGAATCGCCTTATTGGTTAATCATAAATTGAATAATGTGGGACCGGCTGAAAGCAATCATAAGCATCCTCTTGAAATTACTTTATAAATAAACTTCACTTATTGAGAGCAGAGCGTTTCTACAGGTGGTTTGTCAAGACCACTCACCTGTGTGAAGCTCAATTCATACAGTAAACAGCCTTGTTTTTTTATAGAGATTGAAATATAGAGTGATTTTAAGAAAGGGTGTGGTGAAAATGTGCAAAACTGGTGCAACTGTCAGTTAAAGTGGTAGAGAGAAAAAAAAAGAGTGTGTTTTCTACAGGTGGTTTGTCAAGCGCACTCACCTGTGTGACGTACTCTCAGTATTGCAAAATGTTTTGAAGCTGTCATGTGGTGTTAATACTAGTAATATTTTAATATAAATTATTCAGATGGCCACATTCTGACATTTGAGAACATTTGCTAGCCAGTTTGTTTTTTGCCTAATAAACAACAATGTGCTGCAGCTTTTTTCTTATGGTCTAAACCAGTGGTTCCCAACTTTTTTTGCCCGATACCCCCTTTTCCCTAAAAAAAATATTGCGAGGGCCCCCTTCACATTTAATGATATCAATCGCTCATAAAAGTTTGCAGTAATGATGACAAAAAATGGGGGGCGGGGCATTTCTGTGTTTCGTAGGTTGCTAGGCGACCATTAACTGTTTTATCAGAGGATGACAAGCTGAAAAAACATTGCTGCTATTCTGATACAAGTTTTATTCAAGGAAAAAAGTACAAAGCACTGCAGTGTTGGTTTGTTCTGTGTTTGTCTGAGAAAACGAATCTAAACGAAATGTGAATATTCCATCCAAGCTGAAGCTGATCGGTCAATTCTCATCACGTGACTTGCAGTGCGCTCTGGGCTCGGGGTGCACGCCGCTTGTGCGCGCAAACCGCGCACCTCCATTGGAAACAACAAACTTGTGCAAACTCTAGAAATACGCGATATGCGAACGGCCCCTAAAAGGCCGCCGCCATTTGTGATCTCCATCAGTTGATCTTCTTGCACAGACATGCTGAATTCACCTGATTTGTTGACAAATGGGTTGTGGATTCATTCCTTGGCAGTTCCTTCACTGGGCCTTTTCCCCTTAGCCAAGAAACTTTCCAAAGACGTCTGTTTCTTACTCATTTTGCTGCTTTTGGGTTAAATTTGGGCTCTAAAGTGATCGAGATTTAAGCGAGAGAATACAGTCATTTTTCAAAATAAAAGATTATTAAAAATAAAAGATCGTTCAGACTCAAATAATAATAAAACGGAAATAATTAACGATTTCTTGAGCAGCCTGGTACCAATTGATTCATGGACCGATGGTTGAGGACCACTGACCTAGGGGATAAAATGAGCAACATGATCATTCTCCTAATTGTCCACTGCTAAGAAATTTTTTAAATATGACGCAACCCCCATAAAGATCGCTAAGGCCCCCTTGTGGGCCGGGACCCCCCTGTTGGGAACCGCTGGTCTAAACAATGTGTGCTGAAGTGCTGTGCACACTATTTTTCACACTTAATTCAATTTTTTTACAGTTAAAACACTAATCTCATAACATTACTTATAAAACTGTAATATAAAACATCCATTTTAAATACATTTTTGTAAATAAATAAATACTATTATAAATAATAGTATGGTAATTTGACAAAATTTTTGAAAATATTTTGGTGCATCAAATAGCATGCCCATTATCAGCCAACAAGCTTCCAAGCACAAATTAGTAGATAAAATGCTACTGAACTGCAGTATTTAAACCTCATAATTAAACACAAAATGATGGGAAAAACTGCAAACAGTGAGATGTGTTTTCTGCTGTTTGGGTTTAGTCTTACCAGAAAGTCTCGCTACGGCATCAGCAGCAAACACAGCTGTGGCCTCGTGGCGGGTGTCGACGATGCGGATGCCTAGCTTCTCACAGGCCACCAGGATGGGCGAGATGTGTCCTCCCACCAAAGTGAAGACGAATTTGACACCGTGAGAACGCAAAACCTCTGCCACACTCTCTCCTCCATGTCGAGGACTCTGTCTCTCTGTCTGGGAGTGATGAACGTATTTAAGTTGTGATGAAACGGAAAAAGCACTTGATTTTTTTCTTTTGTATTTTGACAAATATTCTATCTGATTTAACAAATGATTGTAAAGGTGGAGAGCATGTCAGCAGAGAAAAGTCGTTTTAACTGGAAGATCCAGTTTGACTAAGCATTTAGAGGAAACAAACAGTACGCAACAAATTAATTGTTCGTAATAAAATCAATAATGCATGTATTCACAAAATTAAGGCATGCATGCATTTAGAAAATGCTAAAAAAAAGGGTGTAAATTCATTTTATGTTGTGTTAGGGCTAGACCTGAATGATATTGGAAAAATCTGACATTGCGACATTTTGTTTTCCTGCAAAATCAATTGCAATATGAATACAATTTCACCAGATGTTTTGAACAGCTCTATATCAGTATTCAGGTACAGAAATTGAACATTGAAATGTAAAATAACGCTGTACAGTGTTCACCAAATTAATTCAGTAAAATTAATCGTCATTAAAGTTCCAAATGTACTTCGAAACGTAAACTCTCTTGAAACGTCTTTAAAACACATGCAAATCATAAAGTTTCACTCTGTTATGAATATACTTTGCAGTGACTCCACGAATCTCTTGTATTTTATTTTGCTTATCAACTATAATCATAACCTAACATTGCATATCCTGCAGACACACACACTGCGGTATTGATGCTGAAACAATATATTATGCAGCCCTACTTAGGGCTACTGATTTTAGCAATTAATGCTATAGATAATATACATTTTCAGCAACATACTGGTTAATTTTCTTGCAATTACAACAACCAATGAAGACTGTAGACTTAGACATTAAGATCAAATTTAAATAATCAGGTCTGATTTATAAAATAAATCACTGAGTGATCTTTCTTAATGGATCAGCTTCAACTTCAGAATAGCTAAAGTAATTAAGCATAGATAGATAGATAGATAGATAGATAGATAGATAGATAGATAGATAGATAGATAGATAGATAGATGGATAGATGGATAGATGGATAGATAAAACTAACTAGTTTTAGAAGGCAGTTTCTATGACAACTTGTTAACAAAAAGTTGCTGCAATATGATGTGAAAACTTTACATTTCATAACCCATATCTGTTACAATCCTCATTACCTTATGAAAGAGCTGGTAAAGTAAGCCCAGTTTATAGGATGCAAAGATCACACCTCCAAGAGCAGCTCCCAGAGAGCAGCCTAAATACATGGATATGTCCATCGCGACGGTGCTCTGCGACCTGACGCCCACCTGTCCTGTTAGAGACCTGTCCGACGATAAAAAAGGCGTAAAATTAACAAAACAGCCACATACTTATAATGACGCTAAGCTCCAAATGCACTTTTCAGTACAGTTACTTGACAAATCTCGAGACGGCGGTCATGTTTCTACGCGCTGTCATGTGTGTTCTTGTTGTAGCCTGGTTTAAGGTCAGGGAAACACTGTACCTGTGCCAACTTTTCCTCCCCTGCTGCAGTCAGCGCTGAGGCCGATGAACTCACTCCTGTTGACGGGCCACGCAAACTGAAAGCTCTGAATGGACTGGGTGAATGTGAGAGTTACGCTATATACGTAATAATCGCTCAGCTATTTGAGCAGTTGAGTGTACTCGCGCGGCCAGCGTTCTGTGAATTCATTTGGAGAATAGCAGTCTGCGCCGTAACATGATTGGCAGCGCAGTCATCCAATCAGAGCCCGAGACGTGACTGGGTTACTCTAGTAACGTACTGTACTACCAGGAAACTCGTGTGAATAATAGCAAGTATATCTTTGGTAATACTCGCATGTTTTCATTGATTTGTTTTAGGAGTGTTTTTATTGTTTTTACTGTAATTACGCGGGTGAAAATATATTTTGTAATTATGGTAAGTGATCACTAACAATATAGGTCACAAAGTGAATGACCTTTGTTCTAATAGTAAAGTCCTACATCTATAGTCTTTGCTAATAGTGAACAAAATTACCTTTGAACTTCGACAGGTGCCATCCCTTAGTATACCAGAATAACGTTAACCATACAATTATACAACAATACAAACTTTGAACAGAATTATTTTTATTTTCATAAAAATAAACAAACCCTGGAACAGATCCCGCCCCAAAATGTGTAGAGTAAATGTGAAACGTCAGTACAGAGTTTTACTTTGTCAGGGCTGTAAGGAGGAGAGTTTGCGTTGATTATACACATCATATTATGTCTACAACAATATTTAGTTTAAAACAATATGGTTGCAAAACATGTTGCACTTAAGAGTTACAACTAATACAGGAGGAATATGAAGGCAAAATACCACAGCTAAAAATATTTTAGGCACTTCCAAAATGCTACTTTTTTCAAACTAGTGGAAAGTAGAAACCTTTAAAATACACATTTATTACTACATTACATTTATTTGTGGCTGCAGTAAAGGTCCAGTGAAATGAAATAAACGTTTTTTTACATGTTAGTATCAGTATGTTAGTCTTAAGGAAATCTCCCTGCTGAAAAATCCAGCTTAAACCAGCCTAGGCTGGATGGCTGGTTTTAGCTGGTTGACCAGCCTGGTTTTAGAGGGGTTTTGGCCATTTCCAGGCTGGTTTCCAGCCATTTCCAGCCTGGTCTTAGCTGGTCAGGCTGGAAAATGACCAGCTAAATCCAGCTAAAACCAGCTTGACCAGCCTGGTTTAAGCTGGACATAGCGGGTATTGGCTGGGCTTTCACCCTGGCTAGGCTGGTCAAGCTGGTTTTAGCTGGTCATCTCCCAGCCTGACCAGCTAAAACCAGGCTGGAAATGGCCGGACACCAGCCTGGAAATGGCCCAAACCCCTCTAAAACGAGCCTGGTCGACCAGCTAAAACCAGCCAACCAGGCTGGTTTAAGCTGTTTTTTTTAGGGATATTAGCTAGTGTGGCACAAAACAGTGACAAAATTCGCATTTAAAAGATATAAGCGTCCAAAGCTTCAAGTTTGTCAAATTCTGCCTGAATCACTTCATACTTCAGTTTCTCATAAAACCTTGACCAATCAAATGCTCTATTGGGCGCACTCACACTATGCTATCCGAATCGTGCCCAGGCCCGTTTCCAGGACCGTTTGAGTAGTGTGAGTGCTTTGAATCGGGCTCATGCGCGGTTCACTTGGCCACCCCTGGCCCAGTTGGAAGAGAGTGCGGTTAACTTGGGCTCAAGCACGGATGCTTGTGTGTGTGCAAAACGAGCCTGAGCTATAAACTGAAGACGAGATGTGGTTTTTAAGGGACTGTTTGATATGTATTTATTAATCATTCTTAAGGTTCAATGAGCGGGAACAGTCGTAGTTTATTAAAGACGCACACCCCTCACTGCACTACAGCTGCACCTTTAGCAAACCTCCTAATTCCTGCAGCACGAGGACTTTATGGTTGTTTATGAGCGTCAAAAGTGGCTGATCTGTTCGGCGAAATATTTGACTGCGTGTCAACACATATCAAATTACTAAAACGATATAAAGAAATCTCCACTGCTGAGCGAAAGCGCTTCTTTTTAAAAAAATTATTAAATACAAGAACAACAACATCACTGCATTGAAAAAAATACAATAAAAAAATAAGAAAGGAGTGAGAAAAAAAACTTTACAAAGCCTCAATTATTAAGAAAAAGGATTATCATAAGCTTTAAGAAACGTATTATTTTTATTATTCATAATATGCTTAAGAGATTCAATATTTTACGAAATTTTGAGCAAGAAAAATTTTAAATGTAGGTAATGTTCTTACGAGAGCGCTTCTTAAACTGAACAGAGCATCATCGATGATGTAGGCATGCCCAGGCTCGAATGTAATGTGAGTGCGGGCCATCAGGGGAGAAGGAAGCAGGGACAAGCGTGCTTTGGCCCGGGTCAAGGCAACTGTACATAGTGCACAGTACGCTATTAGTATATGTGACATGTCTTGCCTCCTTAAAGACGCTTCTCATTTGCTTTACATTTGATGCACTTGAGCTCAACTACTCTCACCGGCAGAGCTGTGATAAAAAAGCTATTGGCTGTTTTGTAAAAAGGGGAGGAGTTACTCTATATCCCGCCCTCTCTTCATTTTTACACCAAACGTAAAATAAAAACACACATAAAGCACTTCACAGGACAAAATCCAATACAAACATTTAAAGACCATTTTTTTTGATGAGTTTATTCCTATATTCTAGAGGTTTTTACACAGATGGCTGTTTATATATCACTCGCCTGATTTATTTTTTATATAGAAGCACTTTTTTAAAGGTCCAGTGAAATTAAAATAACATTTTTTAGATGTTAGTATCAGTATGTTAGTCTTTAAGAATATCTATAAGCTTGTGTGGCACAAAACAACAATAAAATTAGCATTTACAAGAAAATATAAAACCGGTATAAACATGTAAAGCATGTAAAATAAACTTTGAATAAAATAGTTTGTTGCTTCCACCTAAATGGATCCACTTTTTTTCACGTCACCTCATACTTCAGTTTCTCATCAAATCTTGACCAATCAAATGCTCTCTAGTATTTGACATGCCCCGCTCCCTTTAACTTGCTTCTCATTTGATGCACTGGAGCTCAACCACTCCTACTAGCAGAGCTGTGATAAAACAAAACACTACTTGTTGTTTTTAAAAAGGGGAGGAGCTACTCTTTGTCCCGCCCTCTCTTCATTGTTCAGAGATTACATCAAACATTAAAAAAAAAATGCACATTTCGAAACACTTCACAGGATCTTTGAATACAAAACAAACCTTTAAAGACCATTTCTTAATGAGTTTATACTTGTAGATTCAATACACAGAGGGCTGTTTATATATCACTCACCTGATTTGCATATAAGAATACCTGTTTTTAATACAAATCAATTTTCTCAATATACTGTGATTACTTATCAGTAACATATCGTATTACGATATCGCTGTGGGGATTTCAATTTAAAGGGTGTAAGTCTGAGATCAGGTTTTTTGAGAAACCATACGTGTGTGTTTTTACATCAGGGTGCAAAACAGCTGTGTAGAAACGTCGATTGTCTTGCCAAACTCTGGATTTTCGGCAAAATGGATTGTTTCCGTAGCTTTGAATTCCTCAAAAACAATAATCTAAATGACAGAAGAAAGAAGAGTTAGACATGTATTATCATTCATTGATTTCATGGTGGATTATGACGGCTTGCTACACAAATGTTTAACTTGCCTATGCACAGTTGAAGTAATTATTGTCCCTCTGGTTAAGTTTTGATTATTTTTCAAAGATTTTTAACATAGAAAATATTTTTAATAACTAATTTTTAACTACTGTATTTTCCTTGCTCGATGACAGTACATAATACTTTGCTCGTTATTTTGCAAGATACTAGTCATCCACCTAAACTGCAATTTAGAGGCTTAACCAGGTTAATTAGGTTAAAGTTGGGCAAGTCATTGGACAACCAGTGCTTGTTCTATCCGCTTGTCAAGTGGTGATGTGTTCGTGACGTGTGTAATACTGTTTCTGGGTCCAAGCCGCCATTCATTTGAGTGGAGAAATCATTCGTTTATGATCACGTTTTATTCCTATCACACATTAAAGTTAATTTTATATAAAATCATAGTGTACACAACAATCTCTGGGCTAGCTGCATAACAAATACCAAAAATGTAACAATTTATAAAAAAATGTATCACTTTCTGGCCATCGGATATTAGGCATGGACATATATACTGCGATCGTGATTTTCGAAAGCATTAAATCGCTTTGTAAACGTTTATTATTACCATTTCATGAGTCTCCCCATTCAGTTGAATAGAGCGCTTGGACCCGGAACAACTTAACAAGCGGATAGTCAATCAAAAACAGAGTTAGCCAAACTACAACAAATAAAACTTTCTCTAAAAGAAAATCATAATAGGAATGCTGTGAAAAAAAATCTTGCTGTGTTAAACATAATTTGGGAAAGAAATGAAATTTTAAAAAAAAACTCACTAGAGGGCTTCAACCATATATTTACATGCAGTACATGAAGTAATTCACCTCATTTTCTCCAGTCTTGAGCCAGGGTCCGGGTAGATATAGCGCTTTCTGAGGACCAACCGACCAATGGCGTCCAAGATTTTGCCCATTCACAAAAACCACTCCTTTACTCCAATTCTGTGAGAATATTAAACACCATGATTTTTTGTGGTCTCTTTTGTATTATAAGACTGCCAGGTGAGAACGAAAAGCAAATGTGAAAACAGAAATGAAATGGTTGTTGCTAGAAGAGATATAGTTGCGGCCTGAAGTAAACGATAATTACTATTCATTCATTCATTTTCTTATCGGCTTAGTCCCTTTATTAATCCGGAGTCGCCACAGCGGAATGAACCGCCGATAAATACTAAATTACTCATTAAATTGTATTATATTACATCTAGCCCTACCCTAACCCTAAACCCAACCACCACGGTGATGTAAAAACACTAATTACACCAAGTATTATTCATTTATTCATTCATTTTCTGCTTAGTCCCTTTATAAATCGCCACAGCGGAATGAAACGCCAACTTATCCAGCATATGTTTTACGCAGTGGATGCCCCTTCAGTCGCAACCCAACACTGGGAAACACCCATACACTTTTGCATTCTCACATACACGCTACAACCAATTTAGCTTATTCAGTTCACAGTTGGACTGTGGGGGAAACCAGAGCACCCGGAGGAAACCCCCGCCAACATGGGGAGAACATGCAAACTCCACACAGACATGCCAACTGACCCAGCCAGTAATGTAAAAACAGTAATTACACCAAGTTTGATTTTTATAATTTATCAAATTACCCATTAAACTGTATTATTTTAACATCTACTCCACTCCAAGCCCTAAAGCCAGCAATCACAGCAATTTAAAAACAAAAATTATACCAAGTATTATTCATACAGTTAATTAAATTACCCATTAAATTGTATTATATTAACAGCTACCACCATCCCAACTCTCACAGTAGTGTCACAAAGTGACAAAAATATGCTATATTGATTATTGATGACAGTATCCACAGCTGTATCCCATCCAGAATTCACTTAACCAAATGAAACCGAGTAGAGTTCAGCAGAATACTCACTGGAAGCTTTATAAATGTGTCTGTGGGTTGATCCACTACAAGAGATCCTCTGAAAAACGCAGGATAGGTGGGCTTCTCACTGACAGATGTCCATTTCCGAGACTGCAGTCTTATAAAAAGAAAGAGACATTTTGAATTTATTTGAACAGTTTAAGTCAACAGTTTTAGGTGAGCTATCCCTTTAAAATTAGCCCCATCAAACTTTAGCTTTTGCAAAGACAATAGTAGGGGGTAAAAGCAAAACCTACAGAATACACAAGACGTGTCACTTGTATAGTTTTGAATGGGGAAAAGTGTAACGGTCAATATGGCAAACGGAGCCCCGCCTTCCAGTACAGGAGCCAATCATTGATCGTTTAGAAATGAAACTAAAGAGACACTCGTTGAATTTTATTGGTGATTCCTAATATGAAATTTAATCGTAAGCTTGGCAAGCAATTTTGGAGAATTTGATGTTCCCCCATTCAGACAGAAAGCCCGAGCGTACTCTCTGAGAAGCATTTCAAAGATGGCCGCCAAGTGAAATGACTTGCCTTAAAAGGACTTTGGTAATAGTCAAATATTTAGTAGGTAGAAAGTTCAGAAGTATCAGCGTAAATAAAAACACATACATTTTTATTTAAGTAGCAAATATATCTTGACTACAATTAGTCTGAGGTGAGGCGTGGTTTTGTTTTAGATGCCAGATAAATCAGTTATATCACTCCCACAGCTTAAAGAGCACTTTTGATGCAAACTCTTTTAGAAGCTGTTTGGACAGATCTGTGTGTAAGTAAAGTGTGTCCGCTGTCATATTGGAGTTATATAAACACAATAAGTCTCTTTCTTTAAATTTCCTGAGGTTAAAATAGGATCCAAATCCTAGTGATTTAGAGGCCAACCACAATGTGATGTAGGACTGCGGTTTCTCCACCCATCGTATTGATTGACAGCCGTGTATTAGCATGTGAACATATTGACACGTATGATCATATCCACAGAACAGGATTTGCAAAGAAACTTGGATTAAAATATCTGTTCCAACTCTCTCTGATCAGCTGCACCTCAAGAATGCAACCCAAGCTCGTTCTGGAAACGTAGCCCCGCGGACGTTTCTGGAGACCGTGATTTACGTGGCCGGAGGTACGTAAAGGCCGCGTTTGGTTTTTTTCGAGTGAACGCTGCGGGGTGGTGTGGCGCCGCTCCGCCCCTCCTCTTCGCGCTTGCCGGCCGACGGCTCGCCTCCGAGTGGAGGGCTTTCCCGATGCAATCAGTTTGTACGCTTAGCTCACAGCGTTGCGGAGGCACAAGAATGCAAGAATGAGTTTTACAAGTTTATGACGTTTATTAATCAGTGCATGTTTAGGTGGGGAGAACCAGCTCATAAGCATTTAAAGGCACAGGTTACAAAAACAGCTACAATTTCCGGTCCCACTTTATATTAAGTGGCCTTAACTAATATGTACTTACACATGAATATATTGTTTGTTACAATGTACTTCTTGTGTAAATACATGTATTTACTGTGTACTTATGCTTAATTAAATATATGTATGTAATTACATCTGTATTTAACTTTTGTAATTACGTTTGTAAATACACTGTAGACCATCCTTTACACCTTAACCCACCCTTAAACCTGCCCATACCACCAAACCTGTCCATAACACGACCTCTATCCCAACTCAAAAGCACCACAAGTGTTTTCAAATACATTATAAACACAGTAAAACACTGTATTTATTTTCTGATGTAAGTACATAGTAGTTAAGGACACTTAATATAAAGTGGGACCCAATTTCCTCTGACCCCCAAATTGACATTTTCAGCAGGGTAAAATGAATTATTTGATAGGTATTTTGAGCTGAAACTTTATAGAAATTCACAAAATCTTCTCTTACATCTTGTAAAAGGGGTAAAATAGGAGCACTTTAAGATACCCAGCAGACAAATACTGATAACTAACAAAATAATAAATACAACAGACAAATACTGATAACTCACCTGTTTATGAACCCCGGCTTCATGTCCAAACAGTGCATGGTGAATTTTTTCAGAGGTACATTTTCCAGAGTTATATCTCCAACAAGGCCTGCGTAGATGAAAATAATGATTTAGGTGTCACTATACTGCCGCTCATACAGTATCGTGATGTTGAAGTTAAATACCTGATTATTTAATTAAATATGAAAAGCCAAACCTTTCTGCTGGCTGTCAAGGGCTGGACCATAATTTACTCGTCCACAGTTTTCAACCAGCAAACTTAAGGTCCTTTCACTCTGTGAAGTGCACAATAAATAATTTTTTATTAGCACACAAAAATAATGGGAATGTAGTAATAACTGTTTCAAGGTGTGTTATAATAGCAATTATTAATATTATTAATTCAATTTTAACTAATATTAGCTAATTTTTAACTAATATTAGATTTAACTAATATTATATAATAATAATAATATTTTTGATGTTGATGCTGTTTTTGGGGTACACTTTACAAATAAGTAAATGCATTAACTTAGTTAAATATAATTTTTTTGTATGACATATTCAGATGTCAGATGTAGTATCAGATACAACTTTTGACTTTTTTTACTTCTGAATAATTTAATTGTTACTTTAAAACATAAATAAATAATAATGCTACATACATACATATATATATATATATATATACATACATATATATATATATATATATAAACCTAGATGCATAGTTTGTATTTTATTATACACTGGCTCACACATGGAAGTTAAACAGTAAAATAAAAAATATGTCTCATGGTAATCCATTTAATATTTAGTTTATTTAATATCACAAATGTCATTGAAAACCACTCAATATCCCACAAAACACTGAAAACATAATAACAAGTTTGATTAATAAATGAAATGGAATTGATTTAAGTATATAAATTTGGTTCATTGAGACATATTACCGAACATAACTGAAAAACTTGACCCTCCGCCAATCGTCAATGTATAATTCACAACCTAAACAGAACATAATATTTACCTTACTCTGAGGTATTTTAACTTTCTGAGTTCTGTAGTCCAAAACGCCGATGAGTTCTCTGTCAATAAACACCTTCAAAAGACACATTATGAATTAGAGATTAATCCTTAATTAAATAATGTTAATCATTATATTATCCCATGTGACACGCAGGCCAACATGGAAAGGAAAGATCTTACTAGAGCTCTGTCACGAACATGATTTCTTGAGTTCAGTTCTCCACCTGAATAAATGTCCGTCTGATAGAGTGTGTATCCATAGGACTGACCATTATTGTTGTTCGCCGGAAGATTCTCCATACTGACAGGATCATCAGCTCTGAAACTCTGTAGAATAAATAATGGTTTTACTCAATTTCTTCCCTAATTTAATTTCTTTTTTCTATTTTTCCTATAGTACGACAATATTCAAAACCCTTTTCTTCCAGAATGTGAAGTGTTTCTCAGTGAAACAGGGTATTTTAATGATAAAACTATGTATTAATGATGAAACATAGGCTTAAATCAATTAAAGGTGCTGTGTTTAAGTGTTTGACTCTTCTAAATCATAAAAATACCATACTACATTTGCAGAAATTTAAGAAACATGCTAAGTGAACATTAAAACAATGCTGAATTCAGATAACCTGCTTTGAAAATGTGAGTTACGTGCCGGAACTTCTGGCTTTGTTTTGGTTATTTACCCTCCCAATGCCAGTTTAGCCAATTATATTTCAGCACTACGAGTTGCCTTGGTGTGATTCATTCAGTCTGGAAGGCTTTCAAATCATGTGTCCCAGACCATAATTGCAACCTCCGGTGGACAGTAGCAGCCTCCGAAATGAGACGCAGATTCAGAGTTCCAATTAATTAGCAAATAATATAAATATGTCAAGCGTAAACATTAAGGTGAGCAGGTTACATTGTAACCCTGTATCCCAACAAGAGGCTGTTTGCACCAGACGAAACATGACAGAAATTTAAATACAGCCATTAAGAAGCACAGAATAGTGCACTCACTGCACTCCAACGAAAAGGTTTGTAATTTAATTATTACATACTACTCCCCTTTAGCATTATTAAATGTACATTTGTTAACACTGAGCCACACTTCTGAAGTTCAAATGGTCTATTTTATTTAAAAGATCTGCGGCTGCTTTTAGTATTATGGCAATAAATATCAAGTAAAATGGCATTCAAACTCACATTATTAGCATTTAACACTGAATGAAGCACATGAGGTGTACTTGAGGTGATCATTGTCAGTTTATCTTGTTATTGTTCAGCTGCAAAAAATAGAGGCCATTTCTAATATATCAATTCGAGGTGTTGGTTAAAACAAAAACTCATTTTAATATGGAGAATATCTCTTCTATTGTGTGTCGCTGCTTTTGGTTAGAACATGATTTAAATCAGCCTTTATAGGCTCGATAGTCAGGCACACTCCTGTTGGTGTCGTCAATCTGGCAACCCGGGCTTAAGTGTTTTGAACCAAGAGTGCAACTCCTAGTTCAACCACTGGGTATCAAACGTACATACTGCACCTTTAAATATGCACGCAAGATATGCAAAATAAACAATGAGGTTTCTGCATATGCAATATATGAAGAGCTCTGTGAATATACATCAATCCATATACGTGTAAAATAAAAGCCTGAATTGTTTATTTATTTATTTTTATAAGTATGTTTATTGGTGATATACGTAACATTATGTCGGATGCAATAGTACAGTAAATATTTGAGTATTCCTTTTTTAACAATTAGCTAAATAAAATAAACAATTCTTAAATTGTCTCAAATTCTGTGTAAAGATTTGTTAAATTGATGTTAAATAAATATAACAGTATTAATGATAATATAAAAAAACAATATTGTCCAGAAATGAAGAATAAATAGTATATTCATTATTATATTATAATATAATAATATATTATTATTATTATTATTATTATTATTATTATTACTATTATTATATTTTATTTATATTTTTTCTCAAATTATTTTTTATTCATTATTTTTTTTTCATATATATATATATATATATATATATATGTATATATATATATATATATATATATATATATAATCTTATTTTTTTATTAAATATTTATCTTATTTAATATTTTAACCATGAAAAATAAATAGTATCAATGTAGAAAATATTAAATAAAATAAATATGTAATAAATAAAAAAATAAGATAAAGTAAATATTATATTTAATATTATATAACTTTATATTTATATTTATTTATTTATTTATTCTATACAAACAAATATATATGTTTGGTTCCTCCAGATAACATTTAGCAATATATGAACTTTATGAACGCCTAAAACATTTCTTACTGTGTGTAAATGTGTGAACAAAAACAAACAAAAGATTTGTTGTTTTGAAACAACACAAGTGTGGGTAAATCATGACAGAATCTTAAATTATGGCAGTATTAACCCTTTAGGAAAAAAACAACATAATGGTGGCTTCATTTATCTTACTGTTTCTACACACTGAAGACTCTCCCATAGTGAAATGTGCTGAGTAACAACCACCGGCTCATACACTCTTCTGCTCTGCACAGCCGGCGGCTCTAATATCGGCTCTTCTGTCATAAAACGGCAAAAGACAGAAGTAAAAATACATCAATTCATTTTTAAATAACAGATTAAGAAGCAACAGTGTAGAAACATACTGCTGTAGGAGCTCAGCAGACTCCTCAAGAGATGATACTTTGTTGTATAATCGCCGCTTTCTGTCAGTGGAGCATCATAATCTAAGACAGAAACAGAGAATGGCATTTAGTAGATCTTCACCAAGAGTAAAATCACTTGAGTGAAATCAGTTTATACACACACACAAAAACACACACACACAAACACAAATACACACACACACACACAATAAATATTTCAAAATAAAAGTCCGATATAAGCAAAATAACAAAATTTTTTTTTAACTTTTATTGGGTTTTTTGATCTCACACTCTGCGACCCACTGACCCACCAGTTGAGAAACACTGCACTATAATATATACAGTAATACACACTTAACTATAGTATAGCTTAAAAACACTATTGTATTTAATATAAACTACTATTCTTATTTTTCATGTGGGCATGATTATTAAAACTACTAACCATAGCTGCTTGTCTGTGGTTTGTAGGTGCCCAAATCAACTGCTCCGCTCATAAATCCAAAGCTGCTCCCTCCATGAAACATGTAAAAATTGATGGAGACGCCGCGATCCAGAAGCTCTCGAACTATGGAGATCATTTCTGTCATAACAGAGAAAACACAGACACAAAGCTGAATGTAGACAGTACAACTTACACTCATATACTAATTCGGTATACCTATTTAGCTATTTGTTAAAGCGTCAGTTCACCTAAAAACAACAATTCTGTCATCATTTACTGCTTGATCTAGTTGCTTTTTTCCTGTTAAAGGTCTTGTGAAGTGCTTTGAATTGTGCATTTTTATTCGATGTTTAAAGTAACCTCAACTGAAACATGAAGAGAGAGTGAGACAGAACAGCTCCTCTCCTTTAATAAAACAGTGAATAGCGTTTAGTAATATCAGAGCTCTGCCGGTGAAAGTGGTTGAGCCCAAGTGCATTAAATACGAAGCATCTTGAAGGGGGTGGGTATGTAAGACACTAGAGGGCATTTGATTGGTCACGATTTGATGAGAAATTTAAATATGAGCTGATATGAACATCTCATATTTAACCATTTTAGGCGGTAAACTGTAAACTTTAAATGTTTATGTCCATTTTAAATATCATAAATGCAAATTTTGTCATTGTTTTAATGCACACTAGCTCATACACTACCTGACAAAAGTCTTTTTGTCTATTCAAGTTTTAAGAACACCAATTAATAACTTGACTTCTAGTTGATCATTTAGTATCAGAAGTGACTTATGTGAAAGGCAAAGGCCTCTAGATTACGCTGATTTTACCAAAATAAAATATGTCCTTTATGTACAGTTGCAGTCAGAATTGTTAGCCCCCCTGTTTATTTCCCCCCAATTTTTGTTTAAGGAAGAGCAGATTTTTTCAACACATTTCTAAACACAATAGTTTTAATTACTCATCTCTAATAACTGATTTATTTTATCTTTGCCACGATGACAGCACATAACATTTGACTAGATGTTTTTAAGACACTTCTATACAGCTTAAAGTGACATTTAAAGGCTTAACTAGGTTAATTAGGTTAACTAGGCAGGATAGGGGTAATTAGGTAGGTTATTGTATAACGATGGTTTATTCTGTAGACTATCGAAAATAAACATAGCTTAAGGGGGCTAATAATATTGACCTTAAAATGGTTCTTAAAAAATTAAAAACTGCTTTTATTGTTGCTGAAATAAAACAAATAAGACTTTCTCCAGAAGAAAAAATATTATCAGACATACTGTGAAAATTTCCTTGCTCTGTTAAACACCATTTGGGAAATATAAAAAAATGAATAAATAAATAAATCAAAGGGGGGCTAATAATTCTGAGTTCAATTATATTTAAGGACTAACCGTAAATTGACTTTCCCAGAATTCCCTCCATGACACTTCACTTTTTATTATTTTTGTGGAGGCCAGTAAAAGTTCCAACATAGTAGCAGGCAAACCTTATAAAGTGGCCAGTGAGTAAAATATATTAAAACATATTTATTTAATTCTTCAAGCAAAACAGAGGTAAACCTGTCTATGTCCATATCCAGATGCCCATTTTCCTAAGATTTTTTACCTTGCGCAGAGAAAACATGATGCAGTTCTCCCCAGACATCAAACCAGCCAGACCAATACTCCATCACCATCAGCGGCTTCTGTGGCTGCAGGACAGAAAATGGGTTCAAAAACAAGCTTGTGCAAGGGTAAACCCTCTTTGGTATTTTTAAAAACTACTGTCAGGATTTGCATATGCATTTGTAGCAGTTGATCATCCTGCAGCCCAGGCTCATTGGAAATACATGCCTCAGCCCAAATTTTTTGTGAAACAAAATTGTACGTTTCTGATGAAAAATCCAGTAAGTAAGTGCAAGAGAACTGTTCAAACTTTCAGTTAGAGGAGTCATCAGAGGAAAATCTGCTATCGTTCTGGGAGAAACGAGATCACTTATTTACACGACTGCAGCGCCTTGTGAGGAGAATCTTGTTCATTCCAACAACAATCGGTGCGAGTGAACGCTCATTTAGTGCAACTGTCTGTGTTTTGGAGGCGAGGCGGAATCGCCTGAATTTAGGCACAATAAATGCTATTCTGTTTTTGCACAGTGCGAAGAAAAAGGCCAAGTAAACACGACATACTGTAGCTGCCGTTTAGGCTGAAGTGGCACCTTTTTGTTATCTTGTTTCTGTATCTGTAAAAGCTAACATGTCTTATTTTTACTTTCTGTATTTGAAAATGAAGAAAATCTTGTCTAAAGACAAACTTTTGTTTTTATAAATAAATATTCATTTAAAAACGCTTACGATTGACGTAGGCTATTTTTTTCTATCAGAGATTTGCAGATTAGCTCACTGAATCTGCTGTTAAGGTGACCTATCATCTTGCCTAAAACAAAGACTTAGAATTATTAAAGTGACGATCGCGTGCAGATAAATATATCAGATAAAAGTATACATGCAGGCGGGTGGTCAGTGGATGATAAGTATGAAGCCGCAGATTCGGGTGTCATTTCAGCTGATCCGCGCTTCTCTATTGTGCACCTTTGTTACTAACCAAGTTTGTGGACGCCATAATAATGACACAGATCACTCTGCCTATTATTGCCAGAGTCCTGCGGAAAAAGTGATTGACAGGTGATAATTTGTGTGTAACTTATCTTTATTTATTTATGATTTGGTTATGGTTAAAACAAAGACCATGCTGGTCATGTAGTTGTAACGGTAGGCTACAAATAATTAATTTGTTATGATTTAATTAATTATTCATAAATAATTAATTCACCACCACCACGATGCCATTGTCTATCACCATGTTTCACATTAGACATCGTACAATGCCAAATTGGTCGACATCGCACAACCCCAGACTTTTAACGCTGTAGTCATAAGGAAAAATGTGAGAACATGTTACGATTATTACTGACCTGCAGTTCTGCCAAATGCTGCACATCACCGTAAGACAGTTTCTGTAGGTTCACGGTCTGCAAGACTATTAAAAGAGATGGCATTCAGTTAAATATAATATGTGAGAGAAAAGCTTTCCTTAACTATATTACTGTTTAAAAGTTTGGGGTCATAGAATGTATAATTGTACTGTTTGATTCATAGCGGAGGAAAATGAGAACTAATTTTGTTTTCTGCAACTAGATTGGATCCACTGATCTCTTACTGATACTTTGATATTGTAACTCTCATATACACCAATGAGTGAAGTTTCATAAACTAATTTCGAGAGGAGCATGTGATATGATTGAGCCGCTCATCTGTAATCAGTAATAATCCAATCAGAGTGATCCTAGTTTACTATAAATGGATCATTTTCTCCCTACTGCTCTCTTCGTTTCGGAAAAATCCCCCCTTCCACCCCATCTCCTCCTTTTCCTCTTTTTTTCTAAAGGGGAAGCTATCGAGACCTACCTGATCTCAGAGCTCCTGACATGCTTATTGTCCAGGCGGGAGCCCTGGGCTCAAATATCTCAGAGCTCAGGGTTCTCTCCCGGGACAGCATGCCAAACCTGCTATAAATGCCAAGCATATCTAAGTGGGAACTCTTGAAAACAGAATTAAACTAAAAGATAAGGATAATTTATTTTAATTCTTAAAAAGTAAACCCAATAATTTGGCAAGGCTGGATTAATTTGATCAAATATGATTCTTTTCATTCTCAAATGAATGCATCGTTTAGCTCCTCTGTTTTCTATTCATTAAAAAGAATCCTAAATAAATGTGTCATGGCTTCAACATAAATGGTTTGATCAAATAAAATGCATCCTTTGTTACGATAAGAAAAGTCTTTCCAAAAATATTTGTAAAAATCTAAAACAAAACACCATCATAACCATATACGTTACTCCAGTTAATAATATCAGATGAGCACCACATTATTAACAAACAGGTAGACTAAATAAATGACTGTATTTATGATTGTTACCTCCATCCACGCCTCCACATTTTAACCCTTCTCGGTTATCTGATGTCATGAGAAGCTCTGAGATTCCCCGGGACATTAATGCCTAATGACAGCAAACTGTGTAAAAGACTTTACTTGCGAAATAAAAGAGTAAAAATAAGGATTTGATTAAATTTCATACCTCTTTGACGACTGACAGGTACTGCTCGTCCTTTGCATATGAACCATATTCATTCTCTACTTGAACTGCAATAATAGGGCCTCCTTTTTTATACTGCAGGGTGAGCAATGAATACAATGTAAAGACCAAAAAACAAGATAATAAAAATTTCTAAAATCATCAAATCAAAGAAAAAGGCACCTGGAGTGGTGTGATTCTCGGAATGAGCTTATCAAAGAAGGAGTTCACAGCACTTGTGAAACCCGAGTAAGTCGTCCTTAATTTCATTTTCTTGTCCTGCAGCAGCCAGCTAGTAAAAACAAAAGGCGACAAAAGTATTAATAACACTACATAATGTGATATAAAGATAAAAGGAATTGTTCACCCTTAATAAAACTTTTATAATTACTCACACACTGTAAAAAAATGTAAGCCAGTACCAAAAAAAAAAAAAACACAATTATTATTTCCTTTCACTTTCCTTGTTCAACTTTTGAAATCAGCAGCTGGACTGACGTAAAATAATTTGTCAGTAATACAAAAAACATTTAGTTGGGTTAACATCAAATATTAGTTTTCTGGAGAGGTGAACTACTCTGTAACAAAAGTTTTTAAGTTGTGCCAACTGAACATTTTTTTGCCTGTAGAACTGAAATGCCTGAAGTTGAGTTAACAACAAAACAATCCTTATTTTCCTTCATTTTTTCTTGTTTACTTGATCTTTGAAAACATTAGTTGCAATGAACTGAAATGTCTGAAGTTGAGTGAACAAAAAACTTTTTTGGATATTGGTACTAAGAAATAATACAATATCAGAACAAACAAACTAGTTCAATTGAAGAAAAAAATAAATAAAATAAAACCGAGACAAATGTTAACAAAACATTTGTTAGACAGAATTAAAAACAAGACAGGAGGCAAAACAATAATAACGGTAAACAAGACAAGGATTAAAGCATAGCATGGCAAACATGCTTTGTAATGCTTCATAGGGAAAAACAAGACTCAGCAAAGAGTGTGTGAGTGAGGTGTCTTTATAGTCCTAGTAATCAGTCAATCACGAGCTTCCAGCTGTGTGTGTGTGATCAGGAGGAAACAGAAACTGTTGGAGCATTTGATTTGTTATTAAATAATTACAGGATTTTCCTGAGTTGATCATGAAAATTAAATATCAAACTCATTTAATGTCTTATTTGAGACTGCATTTGATTTATTATTTGACTGTTTGAGCAATAAAACAGTAAAACCCAACAGTTAAATACAAATTAACAGTCCATATGTTCAAGAGTTTATTTTTGTAGAGCGAACTATTGAACGTGAGATGAAAATTCACATTAAAAGTGTTTCTGCAACTGTAAATGATGACAGAATTTGTTTCTGGGTGAACAATTCCTTTAAAGACTAAAGCGAACAACAATAAATACATATACTTCAACAGAAAAAATATATACTTTGTGAGGCACTGACCTTGGTAAACCACCCAAATCCCATTCTGCACAAATGTACGGCCCAGGACGCAGAATAACCCACAGATCTAATTCAGCTGCTAGACGAATGTACGCCCTTTATATAAACAAAAGAGTTTTATATAATGATTAACATCTAGAAAATGACTTAATATGAAGAAAAAAAACACCACACATCCAGTATATTAGTAGAGAAATACAACTTTCAAGCTAAACAACAGGCCAAAATATTGGAGACTGACACATTAAGCAACCACATTCAATTTAATTCAAGTTGATTTGTATAGCGCTTTTCACAATTATTATTGTTTCAAAGCAGATTTGCAAAAGGCGCACATTATTGCATTACAATAAATAAAAAGGTTAAGGTAATTAGTCACTCCCCCCCCCACCCCCCACCCCCCACCGCAGCGCCCCTGTAGTAGTACTTTCAGGAAGCTTAATAGTACATTAAATTAACATTTAATGAATCACTCACTCCAGATCCAGCTGATCCTGAAACACATAAACTCCTCTTTCCGGTTCATGAAGATTCCACGGCACATACCTGATGGACAGTATTAATATGAATAAAGTCATATTTACACAGACGATTTAAAGGGAATCTATTATGCTCCCTGTAAAATAAGTATCTGATGTCCCTAGAGTGTGTGTGTGTGTGTGTGTGTGTGTGTGTGTGTGTGTGTGTGTGTGTGTGTGAAGTTCCAGCTCAAATAATGTTTTATAACTCTTTGAATCTGACCCTTTTAGGCTTTGATCCTAATTGTGCCCTTTTGATGACTGTCGCTTTAAATTCAAATGAGATTGTGCTCTCAGATAGTGCTTTTCAAAAGAGGGCAGATCTACAAATGCCTATGCATAAGCCATGATTCAAAACAGGACTAAATGTATCTTTATGAAAAAAACTCAAAATACGGAGTGTAAATGTCTAACGGCGGACAGCAGCATCTCACTCAGGGCTGTTGATGCTAATGAGGGAGAGATCATCACTAATGGGCGGGGCTTTCTCCCTCTGATGACATGCACACAGGAATAATGTTAATCAAAGTGTTTCTGCAGACTGTTTTTATGAAGTGTGATTATAAAAAATAGAAGTCATTACATTTTACCATTATGAGCTGGTTATATTCACACACTGGTGCCACACAACTGTGTTTAAGCCATTTATAAAAGTGATTTTTGCATAATAGGTCCCCATTAAGGTGGTCCTAAAGTGGGTGTCTATCTGCTCAGAATTTACTGTTAAGATGCTATGAAATTACAGTAAAGGCTTTATGCAAATACACATTTTTCAAAATTTATGCTGCTTCAGATTTGGTTTCTGTGGTGGCTTTGCTGTATAATGATGCTTTTATATGATATGGAGATTTTGAGAAACAAAATCTGTGCTTTAAACGCATGTCATGATCTTACGTGGTGAGAGTGTTGAGACCACAAGCCTTCAGTTTCAGCAGCCGATCTCTCCAGTGGGCCCTGGGCACCCGAAAATAGTGGATGGAGCCTCCCAAGATCCGAAACGGAGCTCCTGCTAAAGTGAAGTGGGTGGAGTCTGCCCTCAGTCCCTCCCTCTCTGACATTCTCTAAAAAAGCCACAAGATTAAAAAAAAAACATAAAAAAACTATTCTCACACTCAAGATTTAGTGCAATCTACGCTTACTATTAGAATTATGATTAGAACTGTTATTGTCATTGCATTTTATCTTAATCTTATTTTAATTTTAGACTTTTTCCTTCTATGTGCACAGTTTTCATGTCTGCTGTCTGGCCTAAATGTTCATAGAGAGTTATTAAAATTTATAGTCCCTGGTGAAAAAGACCCACACTTAACTGTATGGAATATGCATTGATGTACTTTCATTCTTAAAAATACACTACCTGACAAATGACTTGTCATCAATCCCAGTTGTAAGAGCAACACATAATAACTTGACATCTACTTGATCATTTATAAAAGTGTCAGAAGGTAGATTTTTCAGTTCATCTGTTGACCTGCATTCCAATCATCACAAATACTGCAGAAGACCGATTGGAACCCGCATGGACCAAAGATTCTCATAGAAATCAGTCAAGTTTGGTGAAGGAAAAATCATGGTTTGGGGTTACATTCAGTATGGGGAGATCTGCAGAGTGGAAGGCAATATCAACAGCCTGCGGTACCAGGACATTTGTGATGCCCATTACATTACAAACCACAGGAGAGGGCAAATTCTTCAGCAGGATAGCACTCCCTCCACATCAAAGTTTTTGAAAGCAAAGAAGTTCAACGTGCTCCAGGATTGGCCAGCACAGTCACCAGAAATGAACATTATTGAGCATGTATGAGGTAAGATGGAGGCATTGAAGATGAATCTTAAGAATTTGGATAAACTCTGGGAGTCCTGCAAGAACACTTTCTTTGCCATTTCAGATGACTTTACTAATAAGTGATTTGAGTCATTGCAGAGATGTACAGTATGGATGCTGTCCTTCAAGCTCATGGGAGTCATACACAATATTCATTTTGCCACTGCACCAAGACTTTATATTGTATATTGGACATTATTTCTGTTAAGTGACAAGAATTTTGTCTAAGCAAAGTCAGACCTTACTGTCCTATTTAAATAATTAATAATCAAGGCATGATCATATTTAATTTTGGTAAAATAAGTGTAATCTAGAGGCCTTTCCCTTTCATATTAGCCACTTCTGATATCAAATGATCAACTAAAAGTCAAGTTATTATTTGTTGTTCCTAAAACTTGGAACCTATGGAACATGTAAAACTTTCTAAAAAAATCCATGCAGATGTGTTGAGGCAAGTTGGAGCTAAAATCTGCATTTTCTCCAGGACCAAGTTTGGACATCCCCATAAATCATGCAATATACAGAAATATTCAGACTGTTTTAATGCCGTTTTAAATTCTAACATTAAATGAATCTTTTTAAAACATGCTTTTTTTAATAATATCAAATTTGTTTATACTCTAAACTACATGTACATGCTACATGTAACGCACCTGATTAAAAAATTTAACTGTGATGAAATATATAATAACACACAGAGTTAACACATTTAAATGTACTAAACTGAGTCAAATGTGTAGTTATGAATATACCGAGTTACATGACAAGTTCAACATTTAGTACATTTCATCAATAAACCTCAACCCTATTTCAAAGATGAAGTCTCCACAATAAATAATAATTTCATAATCATAATTATAATAAAGGTGTACTTATTACGTAGGTCAAAATGAACTCTTATATTCATAAGATATAAAATTATATATTATCTCTCCACAATTATAAAAAAGCTTCTTCACAATGGTCAAATAGTAATGTTATTCAAACAATTAGAAATTTAAATCAAACAAGTCTAATTACAAAATAGCTTCGATACGTAAACGACATTTATTTATAAATCATATATTATGAGTCTTACCTTACATATAAAATAATCAAACACAATTAGATTGGCAGCAGATAAGAGAGGAGCACTAACTGAAGCTCTGTTCGCTGTACCAGCTGGACCAAAGTCTAAATCAATGGAGCAATGTCCAGAAAACATTGATACAAAGAGGACAATGACAGCTTTGTTTGAGACGCAAACAAAGTCTGCTGCGTGTTGGAGCTTCAGAGTAGAGGACTAATTACAGGCATAGAGAGATTTATATTATTAGCCATTAACATACAGTGCATTCAGAAAGTATTCATGGCGCTTCACTTTTTCCACATTTTTTGTTACAGCCTTATTCCAAAATTAAATAAATTCTTTTATTTCCTCAATTTTACACACAATACCCCATAATGACAATGTGAACAAAGATTTTTTTTTAATTGTTGCAAACTTTTAAAAAATAAGAAACCTAAAAATCATATGTTTTTTTTTCTCAAGACAATCCTGTATTCAGACAATTCCTTTGCCTTCATGCCTGGTCTGTGCTTTGACATGCAACCCTGGGACCTTATATAGACAGGTGTATGCCTTATCAAATCAGGTCCAATCAACTGAATTTGAATTTGAATGTGTAGAATTTTGAGGAAATAAATGAATTTAATCCATTTAGGAATAAGGCTGTAACATAAAAAATGTGGAAAAAGTGAGGCGCTATGAACACTTTCCGGATGCACAGTAAGGTGTTCAATACTTAATGTTATTTCATTATTATAATCCACTCTTCAAGGGAAAACAATAATGTTGGTGCATTTACAAAATACTGACATCATGTGGTGTAAAACCGTATCACATAGGAGGAGGGTAAAACTATCAAGATGTAAAACAAAAGAAAAAGTAATTTTAAAAAAAGGCCACAACTTTGCTGAAACAAAAATAAATAAAATAATAGAAACCATTACAGAGTTTATAATGGTTTCAATTTGGTTAAATATAAATGGTTAAATATATTTCGGTTAATATAATGTTTTTAATACTGGAAATTGTATTGATTTTAATGGAAACTGTAAATGGTCATTTGAGGTCTGTAATTTTTGGCTTCTATTTGTGGCATGTTAAAAGGTAAACATGATTATTCGCACATTCATTCAGTGACTACTTTTGACATGCTCCCTATATTGTTTACCATAGTACTTGTGATTTCAGAACGAATATTCAAATATGACTTGAAATCAGCATTAGCACTATTTAATTGACTGTAAACAATGTTGATAGTCAATAGCTGCTAACAGGATTTTACCGTCTAGAATTAGCATATTTTTGTGAGTATATTGTTAAGAAAACAGTCTGAATGTGTTACTCTAAAGCTAATCTCAGTCATGTAAAAAAACAATAAATCTTGACAAAATAACATTAGAAACCATTTACGTAGTGGTTATTTTGAATAGCAGTTGATTATGTTTTTTTTTATTTTGTATTTGTAGTGTAAACAATGAGAACTTCTGTGACGGTTTATATTGTTGTTGTCGTTGTTATTGTTTTTCAGAAGGGAAAATATCTGACAAGAAACACTGAATATAATGATCACTCAAAATCTTAAATTACTTTTTTGGAAAGAAGAAAATGCTTCTAAAGCTACTCATAAAGTTAGCATGACAGAACAAACGTTAAAAAGTAGGTTTAGACCATAGACTTACATCGATAATAACAAAAAAATACTTTATGAATCTTTCTTTTTATGTATCAGCTGAAATACCCTGGATTTGGTTCGCCCAGTGGAGTTTTCCTCTTTGTGTTGACATAAGATGGTTCTCTGTTGACGTTTCTCTTTAAACAGGAAGTTGTTTTTTTGCGCTGGTCAGCGACATCTGCTGACACAAAAGCGGAAATGTGTTATGTGTTGAATGAGTGTGAGGTCAGAAAAATAAGATATGAGATGACACTTTATGCACAATATATGAGCTACATCCTAAAGTATTACAACTGGACCACAAGGTTTACAAAAGAAAAATAAATAAAATAAATAAATAAATAAATAAATAAATAAATAATAATAATAATAATAATAATAATAATAATAATAATAATAATATATATATATATATATATATATATATATATATAATTACAGTAAAATATTTCCCAATGCAATGCAATATCACACTTGTAGCAGGGCGATATGGCTGTATATCAGCAATGGTGGGACACTTAGGCACTCAGCCTGCCACCAGTGCTGATATACAGCCATATAACACTGCTACGAGTGTGTTATTGCTCTTCTATCCATCCATCCATCCATCCATCCATCTATCTATCTATCTATCTATCTATCTATCTATCTATCTATCTATCTATCTATCTATCTATCTATCTATCTATCTATCTATCTATCTATCTATCTATCTACACATAAAATTTACTAGATATTTTACAAGATACTAGTATTCAGTTTAAAATAACATTAAAAGCCTTAATTAGGCAAGTTAGGGTAATTAGGCATAATTACATAACATAATAGGCATAACAAAGTCATAATGATGGTTTGTTCTGTAGACAATCGAGGAAAAAAAAAAGGTTGCTTAAGGGAACTAATAATATTGACCTTAAAATGTTTTTTATACAACTCTCTCTCTCTTTCTCTATATGCATATCACAAGCTATTTAAGCCAACATTTAAATATTAAATTCTGTGCGTGTGCAAATTTTGTAGATATATTTTGAAATTTTGAAATATCCATCAAGCTTCATATAAATGATTTATGGCATGTGGTGTAAAACACATACCTCATTTTTCTTAAATTAAGCTTGATGAATATTTCACTTCTTCTTTCTCAAGACGACTCTGTTTGGGAATGTGTCATCTTCACCTTCACACAAAGCAAGCAATACTAATCTTATTCATATATATAGGCTAAAGGCCGCTTAATTTTGGTTTTTACTATTTCAGTTATTCCACTGTGTGTTTTGTAGAATATTTTTTTAATGTGATAAAAAGTGTCATGTAAAAGCACTTTTGTCTTGTGTGGTAACTTATTGTCTTCATAAATAATCATGTTTGCATTTCCTCTTCTCTGATGTTATTATAATTGCTACATTTGTGTTTTAAATGATTGTTTATTGGCAGATATTAATGGTTAATATGTGTCTGTATATGGTCACACAACACAACTATGTTTGTGACCAACAGCATCCTGTGGTATCTGTTTGCACCATCTTGCTGTTCACACCACAACAGGGTTGTGTGCAAGCTCTGAGCAAATCTTAGACTAAAATAAAGTTCATTAAAATAATCACATATGTAGCCGCAATGTAAGTACATTGATTTATATTAACTTTATTATATCTCTTGCTGTCTATTGCACCTCCTGACAGCTCATTAACATTTTATTTGTGCTTTTTGCTTTTAATTCTTCTCATATATCTATCCTTTGTTTTATTATCTCTCCGATTCTCTATCAGTGCTAAAATAGATTTTATCAGCGGTGACTAAAAGTGTTTTTAATTGTGAATTGCAGCTTCCGGTGACACACTGTGACTCCACCTCAGAGTCGAGGCTTGTTAAAGGAGATTGGGTTTAGTCTCTTGTACAACTCTTTTAGGTAAACTCTTATTTCCTTTCTATTATTAACAAATTGTTTAGTTGTAAACCATTACAATTGTCAGAACAAAACCGTAATGAAATACTTTAAACTCAATGATTTCTAAATTTACAGGTTACCTCGGGTGAAACTAGAAATGTTTTCTGCAGCTTTTCTCGTGTTCTGCTCCATTTTATCAGGTTGGTCTTTTTTATTATTAAGAATGAATTTACAGTAACCTCAAAATGCTTGTCACACTTAATGCTTTGTATTTGTATTTGAATGAAAGTAATCCAAATTTTTGAGTGTAGTTAACAATAAAAGAAGTAGTTACTGTGATTAATCTGCTGAAAAAGTATTACTGTTCATTTTTACATAATTTTATTTACAATATATTTGCCTTAAATACTTTAAATTATTTAAATGCTTCTATATAAATCATTTCAGAGAAACAGAGTAAATATATTTTGTGTTATACAGATATATTTTGCAGGATAATCCTGTTTTTTAACTAAAGAAAGGTTTCATTTTTCATTTACATTCATACTGCACATGCTTAAGAAATAGTAAATAGTGATAGCATTACATGGTTTGTTAGAAATAAGGGTAAGTGTAGTATCAGATGTATTTGTATCAGGGGAAAGATTACAAGTTGTACCTAAGTACAAGTTCTTGGGTGTTTTGATAAATTCAAAACTATCATTTAGGTCACAGGTTAAAAAGGTTTGTAACATGACACTCCGCTACTCATTCGTTTGCACTGGCTGCAGTTTGCAGTTGCTGCTCACATCAAATTCAAAGCTCTGGGGCCTCATATAAGACTTGCGTGGAAATCATACTAAAACATTGCGTACACACAAAGCTGTAAATGTTCGTACGCAGAAAAAAATTCAGATGTATGAAACACTGCGTACACCGAATCTCACGCATATTCTTTTGTACATCCGAATGAACGTGAAACTGAGCGCAACATGCACGAGCACAAAACCCCTCCCTGCCTCCTCCCCCGTATGAATATGCTAATGACTCTACTTTGGCAAAACCCAACGAAAAAGCAACGGCAAAAGCAAGCAAAAAGAGAAACTTTGAACAGAATGTGAAGTGGTGGTGCTTCTTTCGGAGGTAGACCGGAGAAAAGCGGTGTTAGAAAAAGAAAAAGAAAAAAATATAGTGGGAGAGTTTAGCTGATGCGGTTAACACAGTTGGGTCTGAACATCGCACTGAGTGATTTAAAAAAGAAATAGTGTGATTTATAGGTGTAAAATGTTGCAATATCCTTAATTGTCTCAATGGCGCAGCTCGTAAGACGCAGAACAACATGTTTTGATACGTTCGAGCATGAACTCGGTTCGAATCCAGCATCTGATGAACTGAGATTACATTGAGAAAACAGGTGACCGCTGCAAATTGTGCTTTAATGTTTAGCTGGTCAACTGTATGGTATGGAAACCTTATATACCTGCTAGATGAACCCGTCTCATACAGCTGCCATTGCAAGGCTTAGACACTTTGTAGAGAGGAATTTAACACAACTGCCTCTAGGAGTCGCCAATGGAAATAAAACAGACGCGCACAAAAAATGTGTGTACGCCAGCCATAAAGCTGGCGTGAAGCTGCGCACATTCCCATGTTCAGTTCATCGTTAGTAAATCCAAATGTGAGCGATTCTGAGCGTGAAACCTGGCGTACGCAAAGTTTTTGTGCGTACACAACGTTGATACATGACGCCCCTGATGTTTGCTTACAAAGCGACTTCTGGCTTTGCTCCTTTTTATCTGCTCTCACTTCTGCAGATTTATGTGCCCTCCAGAAACTTGCGTTCTGTAAATGAACATCGCCTCGTGGTTCCATCCCAAAGAGGGAAGAAATAACTTTCCCGAACTCTCGCATTCAATCTGCCCAGTTGGTGGAATGCATCAGAACGGCAGTCACTCGCTGTATTCAAGAAACGACTAAAAACTCAACTATTTAGTCTCCACTTTCCTCCTAATCTGCAATTGCCTTTCTGGCTCCACCGCTAACTCTATTACAAAAAAAAAAAACATGAGGAGATCATGCAAACTCCACACAGAAATGACAACTGACCCAGCTGAGACCGAAACCAGCGACCTTCTTGCTGTGAGGCGACTTGACTTGTTTCTAGTCCAAATATCTAAAAATTCTTAATTTGAGAAGCATTTTCTAGACTATCAAAAAAGATTGACTCGTTTTAAGAAATAATACGCCAAAATAAAGTGAGTTTTGTCTTAAAACCAGCAAAAAATTCTGCCAATAGGCTAAGCAAAATAATTGTATGCCAAAAGGAAGTTTCTTATATAAAAAAAGGATCTTTTTTGCTGGTTCACATAATACTTCCCAATTAAAGAATCTATAGATATTTGGACTAGAAACAAGCCAAAAACTCAAAGCAAGAAAAGCATTTGATGTTTCATGGAGCATGGAAATTTCCACAGTATTTTTTCCAATACAATGGTCTCAAACTCCTGGATTCCAAAGTTCCCGGAGGACTGCAGATCTGCATAGTTTAGCCTCAACCACCTCCAACTCACACCTGCTCAATAGTCTATAGTAGTCTTGAACACATTGATTAGTTAGATCAGCTGTTTGATTAGGGTTAAAGTAAAACTGTGCAGAGCTGCGGCTTTCCAGGAATCGAGTTTGAGACCTACGCTCTAATGTTTTTCTTCTAGAAGAGTTATGGCTGCAATAAAAGCAGGTTGTAAACATTTGAACTGAGTACAAAACAGACCACTGAGTTGCCTAATTAACATACCTTGCCTAGTTAGCCTAATTAATTGCCTAGTTAATCCTTTAAATTGCACTTTTCGCTGAATACTAGCATCTTGGGACAAAGCTAGAAAAACATTATGTACTGTCATTATGGCAGAGACATAAGAAATTATTTATTAGAAATTAATTATTAAAACAATATGTCGAAAAAAATCTCTCTGTTAAACAGCACTTGGGAAACTTTTCAAAGAGTTCAAATTTCACAGGAGAACTGTTGATTTTGGCTTTAACTATATTCTCAGTGTAGCTCATTTGTATTTCAGCTGCATGGTGTCAGTCTGTACTGATTCCTAAAACCCTAAACACAACCAGCGGCTCCTGCATCCTGATTCCCTGCCAGATGACCACTATAAGTGAATCTGTACTGGACAACTCCCCAGTAGTATCATGGAGGCGAGGATCCCTGTGGAAATACTATGATACAAATAACTTCATCAGCGAACATCGTCAGAAAGAACCTGAGATGGAGTTGATCGGC